TAGAAAGTTCCATCCAAAAAAGGCCAGAGGGGCAGGGTTACAAAGGACAGGTGAGTGTAATTCGGCCCAAGAGACCATGCCCTCAACTTCCTGGACAGGGCAATGTCCAGGTCACTAAGAGATGTAGTGACCAATCAAAGCCTCTCTGCTCCAGGATGGAAGGCACGAATCCTTCAGAGTGGCTTCCCACACCTGGGGGTGGGGGAAGAGCGGAACTGGTCAGAGGCTGAAACAATGAAGGAAGAGAGGTACGCAGAGGGAGGGACAGACAGACAGATGCTATGGGGAGAGCGGGCTCTCCCTTGAATGCTCAGCTCTCCTCCTCCAGGAAGCCCTCTCTGAGCCCTGAGGTGGTTCACAATGTCTTGTGCTGTCTCCATTAAAGCACAGATGTCACTAGACAGGGCCTGTGTCCCTGTGTGTCCTTCCTTCAGAACCCAGGCCTGACCCATCTCTAGTCTCCAGCATGACCGCACACAGGGCCTGTGGACAGGGTCCTCAGGACAGAAGTCAGGCATGATGGAATGAAATCGCGCTCAGTGATGTCTCTCCGCAGAGATTCTGCCCTTCTGGCTGCCGGAGAGACACCTGGATTTCCTGTAGTGCTCCCAGAGGACCTCCTGTCCTCGGGGGGGGGGGGGGGAGTCTCCCCTGACCTCCCAGGTGCCTCTTCTGCAGGCTCCTGTGGTGCCTAGTGCTGTTGCCTCTGGGATCACACATCACACCATGTACAATGTCCCCAGGGCTCTCCCTACCTGTACACTGGCTAGTCTCAGTGCCAGTATTTCCTGGGAGACTTTAAAAGAACATTTTGAGGGAGCTGGGGGTGCAGTTCAGCGGTGGAGCCTGTGTTCAGCATGTGTGAGCCCCTGGATCCACCCCAGCACTCGGTGGGAGTGGAGGGACTGTGTTGAGCTAATGAAGAAGTGAGAGGGTCAAATCAGGGAGGGGTGTGGTATTTACAGTGAGGCCAAGAAAGGACTTTTCTGCAGGGGTTAAGAGAAAAACTTCCTGGTGTGTTGGTGACATTTAACTTCTCTTTTTTCTTCTCACAACTCTGAGAATATCTTTCTGTCCCATGATCAACTGGGGCTGTATTCAATTCATCACTCCTGCTGACTCTTCCTGTCCCCACAATCCCAGCCAGGGCTCAGAACAACTCATTGCCTCCCACCTGGATCCCCACCTCCCACCCCCAGGCTCCCTCTAAGCTCTCCCCCTCCAGCCCACCCCCACACATCCCACAGGGTCTTTTACACCCAGAGTTGACTCTGCCTCTACGGTGGCTCCCCATCACCCTCGGACGAAGCCCCCACCCCTCAGTTTTTCCTGATCAAATCCTTCCCCAGGAAAAAAAGGCCAGGCTTTCCTCCTGGTCTTAGAGACCCCGCATGTCCTGGCCACCCCCACGTCCCAGCCCCATCTCTCTTTTACCATGTCAGGCCCTCTGGCCGCTGGACCTTTTCACAAACTGTTTCCTCTATCCGGGTCTCTGACCCCGCTTCTCTGCAGGGCAAACTTGTCTACCCTTCGGGAGTCCCTCCCCAGGAGGCCATCTGGCAATGCCGTGAGATGGCCAGGGGCCTCCTCTAAGCTCTGGAAGCCACCTGTGTTACCTCCATTATAGTGAATAGACAATCCGGGCTCAGTGCCCAGAGCGGAGGAACGGCCAGGCCGGAGGTGGTCCCAGATGTGCATTTCACGCCTATTCGTCTCGGGCGCTGGGAACAAAGTTTGGGTCATAAGGAACATATGGGGCTCTGCCTGCTCTACACTTTCATCCCCTACCTCCTGGGCTCCTGGGTGGGAGGTGGCAGGGCCAGGACTCTCCAAGCCTGGTGGTTCCCACAGCCCCTCTGGACCTCCTCAGCCCTCTCTCCCTGCCCTCACCTCCCACTGCCTCTGGGAGCCCAGCAAAATCCTCTCCATCTGGGGATCCTCTCCTTTCCCCGGGGAAGGTGGGGCTCTGCATGTTTACACAAAAGCAACAAAGGCACATTCAGAAGGCTCTGACTCCGTGCTTACTGCTGTCCTAACCCCAGCCTATGGATTGACTCACTTCATCCTCTGAATGCGCCCTATTATTATGATCCCTCCCATTTAACAGAGGAGAGCATTGAGGGACTGGGAGTAGCAGTGCTGGGATTTGGACCCGGGCCATCTGGTTCCAAACACACAGCTCTGTCCAGCAGGACTTCCTGTGAGGGTAGAAATGGTCTGCACCGGGGCGGTCAGGATGCAGCCACTTGAAATGCATCTAATGTGACTGAGAAACTGAATTTGTACTTTTACTCCATTTCGATTGATTTATACTCAGTGTGGCTGCTGGCTACTGCCTGGGACGGTGCAGCTCTTGATGGCTCCGTAGGGTGTGACCACTGTTGAATCTTCTCACCTGTCTGAGCTTCAGTTTTTCTGTCTCGAAGAGGTAGTTAGGGTTCTAGCTAAATCCAAGCACACCTGGGTTTGAATTCCACCCACACACACCTCAATGTGGAGCCCCCCAGGAGCCTCAGTTTCTTCATTTGTATCCTGAGGATAACAGGCCCTAATTATTCCACAAATATTTATTAAGTACCTATTATGTCCCAGGGGCTGAAGTTACAGCAGCAAACAAAACAGACACAGATCTGAGGTCAGGGATCAGGAGGTGGGATGGAAAGCCATGGCCAGACATTACCTCCCTTGAATCTTAGCCACTTTTCCAAGATATGCTAATGGCTGCTCTGCCGGCATCTCATGATGTCATAGCACACTCTGGCTTCTGATTGGTCAAAGGTCTGGTATTAGTGCAGGGACATAGAATTATTCTAAATATCTTTTCCCTTGATACAAAAACACCCTATGCAGCTGAGTCCAGCATTAAAGGCTATATCCCACCCTTCCTTCATCCGGCTGCCTGGATATATATGCAATAGCTGGAGCACTAGTTTCCATCTGGACCAGGGGGATTAGGACTGTTCTAAGGACGATGAGAAGGAAAACTGGAAGAGTCCTGGTTCCTGGACTATCTCCAGATTTCTATTATTCAAGAGGGAAACAGGACTGGGGATCTAGCTCAGTGGTGGAGCACTTACTTTGCATGTGGGAGGCCCTGGGTTCAACACCCGGTACTAAAGAGAAAGAAATAAACTTCATTTTATTTGAATCACTGTTATTTAGGGATTATTAGGAACACTAATGATACAGACAATATGAAGAACCATGTCAGATTTGGTTGGGTTACAGATTAGACCATTCATTGATTTATCCATTCAACAAATATTTATTGCGCACCTATTATGTTAGCTAATTTTCTAGGTACAGAGATACATCCATGACCAAATTAGAATCCCTGTTCCCATGGTGCCCATGTTACAGTGGAACAATGACAACACAAAGAGTAAACAGATAAATATATTTTGGCTTACATGGCAGAAGGTACTTTGCAGATGTGATTAAAGTTAAGACACTTGAGATGGAAGAGATTATTCTGGATTATCTGGATGTGTCTTTTCTAACTACTTGGGTCCTTAAAAGCAGAGAATCTTTCCTACTTGTGGTCAAAAAAAAGACATGAGACAGGAAGAAGAGGTAGAAGAAATTTGAAGTGTGAAAAGAACTCAACTCTTCATGCTGGCTTTGAAGATGGAAGAAGGGGCTACAAGCTAAGGAATGTGGGTGGCTCTAGAAGCTGGGAATGGAAAGGCAGCAGCTTCCCACCAGAAGATCCAGAATGCAGGGCTTTGGGGGTTTTCTTAAGCATTTCTTAATTTATTGTTTTAGTTATACATGACAGTAAGGTATATTTTGACATATCATGTATATGTGGAGTATAACTTCCCATTCTTGTGGTTGTACATGATGTGGAGTTACCCTGGTCGTGAATTCATATATGAACATAGGAAAGTGATGTCCAGTTCATTCTGCTGTTTTTCCCATTCCCCGCCCCCCATTCAATCTAGTGAACCTCCACTCCTCCCTTCTACTGAGTCAGCATCCACATATCAGAGAGAACACCTAGCCTTTGTCTTTCTGGGGATTGCTTATTTCACTAACACAACAGTTTCCAGTTCCATCCATTTACTGACAAATGCCATAATTTCATTTTTCTTGTATGGCTGAGTAATATTCCATTGTGTATATATACCACATTTTCTTTGTACATTCATCTGTTGAAGGGCACCTAGATTTGTTCCATAGCCTCTCTATTGTGCATTGAGCTGCTATGACTATCTATGTGGCCACATCACTATAGTACTCGGAATTTTAAGTCCTTTGGGTATACCAGGGAGTGGGAAACTGGGTTATATAGTGGTTCTATTTCAAGTTTTCTGAGGAGTCTCCAAACTGCTTTATAGAGTGATTGCATCAATTTGCAACCCCACCAGCAATGTATGAAGGCACCTTTCCCCCCACATCCTTGCCAACATTTATCGTTACTTGTATTTTTTTCTTTGGTGGGGGGGCAGGGGATTGAACCCAGGGCCTTGTGCATGCGAGGCAAGTACTCTACCAACTAAGTTAAATCCCCAGCTTTGTTACTTGTATTCTTGATAATTGTCATTCTGACTGGAGTGAGATGGAATCTCAATGTAGTTTTAATTTTCATTTCTCTAATTGCTAGTGATGTTGAACATTTTTTCATATATTTGTTGACTACAGAATGCAGCCTTGACAATGCCTTGATTTTAGCCCAGTGAAACCCGCATGGGACTTCAAATTGGTAGGACTGTTAGATGAAGAAATTTGTGTTGTTTCAGCTGTTCAATTTGTAATTTGTATGACAGCAATAAAAAATAAGCCCACCACTTGTCCCTTTCTGGGCACATAAGAGAAGTTCACTTCCCACCTTCAGGCAATTGAGGGACTCACACAAATAATCTTTTTCGCTGGGCTGCGAGTGGAAGACTGGAAAATGTTCCCAGGCCAAAGCACTTACTGCTCCTGTGGGACAATTCAGTGCTTCCTCTGGTTGCCACATGATGCGGGGGGAGGGGTGTACCACGGGATGCAACTGATGACACACCATGGTGCATAACTCTCATCTGGGTCCCTGAGTGACTGAAAAACCACCCCTTGCCAACGGACATTGGACAAGTACATGAGCAAGAAATAAACTTTCATATGCGAAGCCGTCAGGTAACCTGATTAATGGAAGACTGTGGAAGTAGCTTGCTGTTACTGAGGAAGTGTGTCTCGGGAAGAGAGAAAAGTGCACAGGCCCCGGGGCAGAGTGTGTTTGGTTTCTACAGGAACAGGAAGGGGGACAGTGTGGCTGCAGTGGCCTGAATGAGGAAGAGTTGGAGGAGGTGAAGTCAGTGACACGGCAGGGGTAGATCGTATAGGGCCTTATAAGGCAGGCAAGGACTTTGGATTTGATTGTTGGGCATAGGAGTGATAAGATCTGACTGCTATGCAGAGAGATTCTTCTGGATTCGCCTTTTAAAGTGGTCATTCTGCTTCTGCATGAAGAAGACTCTAAGGGGTAGCTGTGAGGGAGCAGTGATGTTGGCTTGAACCAAGGTGGTAGCAATGGAGGTGGTAAAAATGGTTGAATTCTGGACATGAATCTTGAAGGAGCGGATGGGACTTGCTGGTGGGTTTGGAACTGAACATGGAATGGTGGGTGAATTCCCAATTGAATTGGCTTCAAAAGATAATGAAAAGGGCAAACAGAAGAGATTTATACAGTTTTCCTGAAACTTTTCTTATAATATCTCCCTAAGACTTCAGCTTCAGAGATACCCCCATCCTGGGTCTAACTGGAAGCCAAAGGTGAGGTCCCCTCCAAAGGGGATTTTCATTGGTGGCTTGGAACTCAAAAAATAGTTATCCCCTGGAGGCGATTTCCTATTTCTTCTAGCATCACCAGGAGCAAACCCAGGTTCCCTGGAGGACTAGCAGCCTAGCACCGTGTGACATGACCTGTCCTACTTCCCATTTGCTGAGAGCCTCATTTTTGTCTCATGGAAGGAAAATGTTATTTTCCAGGTTCAAATCCCTAAGACTCCCTCCAAGTACCTCCTCAGTGACTCTGCAGAAAAGGTCATTCAGATTTGAAGATGCCTGCTTGTGAGTGCAGGGATTAGGTCTGAGTGTCAGGGAAGGTGCTAAGCCATGACAACCTTCCATCCCTTAGTACTTTGCTTCCTGACTTTTTGGCCCCACCCCTGTGGCCTGTAGGTGCCCCACTATTGGGCAGGGATAAAATTCTGCTTAGCATCAAGTGACGTCGAATTACTCTGCAGCTCTCAATTGGCCGCCTCTCAGGAAAGGGTCCAGGCTGCACTTGAAGCCCATGAACCCATCAGAACCTTCTTCAGACATTCACTCAAAGTCCCCTTATTCCTTCCTCAGAGACTATCCAGAGGTCCCTCAGAAATGAAAAATTACTAAATCTGGAACTTTCTGGAAATTGGGAACCATGGTCCCTTTTAAGGAAGTTAAATTTCCCGCCTTTTCCAGACATGCCCTTCTTTGGGCCTGTCCTTAAGCACCCAGTGACGCCACAGGACTTCTTTCACTGGATTGGCCACTTTGTCTCAGGGAGCCCGGGGATAACTTCAGCTGGGCAGATTCCTCAAGACCGTCTTCATTTGCCCCTAGAGACTCTCCCAGTACAGATCTGGGCTCTGAGGACGAAATTCCTCAAGATTTGAGACTTTATTGTGGGTGATTAACTGCTTGTGTCACAAGTCAAACGAAGAGCCACGGGACCAAAATCCCGCTCAGGCGCCTTCCGGTGAAAGTCTCTTGCGCCTGCGCGTTGCTGGCGCGTGCCGGTGACGTAAGGCGCCCCGTGGCTTCTGATTGGTTCTCTCAGGACGCGCGCAGCTGAGGAAGGCTGCGTGGCAGGTTCCGCATTGCTGGGCGTCGACGCCTCGCGCGCCCTGGTTAGTGTTAAGGCGTAGGGTTGGGTGAGGGAGGCTCCAGGCCGCGGCAACCCCCAGCACGCTCCTCCTGCTGTAGCCGCCTCAGCGGCCGGGCCCAGCGCGGCCTCCAGGGCAGTGCGAGGCCGTAGCGATCTAGGACGAAGCGCCCGGGGTCCGGGTTTCCAGCCGCGCTGCCCAGCAGCAGGTAGTCAGTGCCGGGCTGTAGGCGCAGGCAGCCGCAGGCCAGGTCGGCGCCGGGCACCCAGGCGTCCTGGCCGCCCCGTTGCACAGGCCGCGCCCGCTGCTTGTACACGGCCAGCACCCGCACGGCCAGCCGTCGCCATGCAGGGCCGGCCATCTCCAACGCCAGCACCTGAGCGTGCAGAACTGCGGGGAGGGAGGTGTCAGGCGTGGGTGGTGCAGCGGGATCAGCCTGGTAGGGTGGGCCCCGGGCGGGGGTGGCCTTCCTGGATCGTGGGAGAGAGACCTTGACCCTTTAAAGGTGAGAGGACTGGAAGTGGCCCTGAGTAGTGAGGGTCAGGCCTGCCCCAGGAGATACAGTCCAGGAGCGGGGGAGAGATCAGAAGGGAGCGGGTTAGGGTTTACAAGGTGGATTCCAAGATTAAGGTTGGGAAGGGCGAGGCTGTGTGCTGCCCAACAAAGGGGAGGCCAGATAGGGAAAGGATTCCTGGCTGGGAGCCTGGGGTGTGTTGGGTCAGGCTTTGGGGGTCATATTAGAGGCAGCAGATCTAGGACTTATATTGAAGGGAGAGTGGATGCGGACACCTACAGTAGGTGGGGCTCGGGACAAAGCAGCAGTTCCAGGGTATTTAATGCAGTAGGATTAGAAGGTATCAGGAGAGAAGCCCTTGTGCAAGAGGGGTGTTGCCAGGGAAAGGACTCTGGGATGAATTTGAGTAGATAAAAGGGTGAAGTTAGTCCCTGAAATCTGAGGGTTGAGATCACATTAGTTGTAATTTGGGCAAGTATGAGGTCGGACAGTGCTGAGGGCTGGGTCTGTGGGGCAGGAGATCCCTGTAAGAGGGGAGGAAAAGGCCCAGGTGAACCCATCAGAACCTTCTTCAGGCCTAGGACACTAGTGGCCAGAGCATGATCTTGAGGGTGGAGAAATCCTGGATCCTCTATACCAGGGGAGATAGAAGGGGTTGTTCTGGATTTGTGGGCTGAGCTGAACTCCTGCGTGTCTGTAAGCTGTTACCTGAGGTCATCAGCCCGAGGGGCTTGGGACTAGTGTGGGCTAATAAATTAGTGAACCAAGAGGTGGGCTTTTGTGGGGACCCAGCAAAAGCTTAGCTATCTGGGACCCTGAAGAGAAAGGGAAGGGGTCTGAGATAGGCAGAAAAGAGCAGGGGCCCTTTCACTCAACCAGTTCCTCTTGCCTTCTACCCCTCAGAGATGTCAGGCTGAAGAGGCGGGTGAAACTCTGCAAGCCCAAGTACCCAGGAGAAGAGGAGACACAAGAAGGTAGTGAAGACCCTTCCTCACTGTTCCTCCCCCCATTCATGTCCCATCAGATCCTGGATTGGGAAGGGCCTTAGAATTCAGTGCCCCTTCCATTTAAGATGAGGAAATTAAAGGCCAGAGAGGGTGTGTGCCTGAAGGCAGTTGTCAGGTCATCTGGACAGCCATGGCCCCCTTTCCCCCCAGCACTCACCATAGTCCTGCTGGCAGTACCTCTGAAGGCTCATGTGTACTCTGGTATCCGAAATATTGCAGTAGTTTTGACACTGAGGGTCTGGGGAGGGTCAGGCTTCTGAGGCCTGGGCCACAACCTTCTGCACCACCCATCCTCAGTCCATCTTGATTGACAGCCGGCGTGCCCACACCCCTGGTGACTCTGGGTCCCAATCAGTCCATCCCTTACCCCTCTTACTGCCTGGGGATCTCTGTGCCAGCCTGCCTTACCAGAGCTGGAAGCACCAGGTGTAGTAGCAAAGATGGTTGTTGCTTCTGGAATTCCTGGGAGACCAAAGGATAAATTTAATTTAACCTCTTAGCCACGCTCCCCAAGGATTCCAAGCATCTCTTGCTCTCTTCTCCCAGGACCTAGGAGTCTGGACCCCTACCCCTTCTTCTTTTAGGACCAGAAGTTCAGGGCCCTAACCCCTTCTCCCTAAGACTAAAGAATCTGGAATTTCAGGACTGTATCCCTAAGGCTCAGAGTTTAGTCTCCAGCCCCTGGTTCCCATTTCCTAAGGTCACTTGTCCCTCCACATTCATCCACTGAGATCTGGACTGTCTCCTCCCCTCCCCATTCAGGACTTGTGGCCCTGCCCCTCAGAACTCACGCTGGCAGGGCATCCGAGGGGAGCGGCTCTGCTGGTAGCCAGGACCACAGCGACTGCATGTCAGGCCTGTGACCCCTAACTTGCAGGAGCACTGCCCACTGGTCTGGTTGCAGGTGCCTCCTGTTGCCCCAATGGGGTGGCACTGGCAGGCTACATGTGGAAAGGAACTGGGGACATGGGGTACCTGGGACGCAGATGCTCCTTACCAAATCTGCATGCCCCTCCTCCCCAAGACCCAGGAGTCCAGGTCCCAGCCCTTCCTCCCTCAGACCCAGGAGTCCAGGCCCTGCATCCTTGCCCTCTGGGCCTGGCCACACTCACCCCTGCAGGCCTTTCGGCTGGTGATAGGCTGGCTGGGATCCCTCCAGAACCCTGGCTGGCAGTAGTGGCAGTGTCGCCCAGCTGTGTGGTGGCGGCACCGTTCACATACACCCCCACTCCGGCCACCAGACAGCCTGAACAGCTCAGAGTTGAACCGGCAGCGGCGAGCGTGCTGGTTGCAGGAGCAGGCTAGAGCGAGTGGGGGAGGGCACATGAGGGCCAGGCTCTCTGTTTCCAGCCCTCTCCCCACTGCCCTGCCCTCAGGAAAGGAAAAAAGTGAGGGTATGATGTAAAAGACGCAGCCTGGAGCTTCTGGGTGAGCCTGGGTCCCAGAGCATCTTCATTCTCATTCTAAAATGGGATATTGGTCCAGAAGTGGGTGAGCAGGAGGGGACCTGGGGACTTCTCGAGTGGCACTGTGAAACTGTGGAGCTAAAAGAGGAAGGGCAGCTCTGGGTGGGCAGTGAGCTCAGACGCTGTCTGCCTCTGATTGTGTTCCAGAGCTTGGTTTCCTCGGCTGCAGAATGGCATTTGTAGTGTTTATTTCATGAGGCTTACATGAGATAAAGCAGATAGAAAGTGCTTAACTCGGGGCTGGCGCAGAGCAAGTACTTGCTGATGAGTGCTTCCGCATGTCAGATGCCAGGTGCTAAGTGATAGATGTATTTCATCCCCCAAGGGCTGTGAAGCTACCACTATCATCATCCCCAATTTGCAGATAGGAAAACAGACACAGAAAGGTGAAGTCACTGCCCCAAGGTAGCACAGCTGGGCGGTAGTCAGAGGCAGGATTTGAACCCAGGCATCCTGGCTTCAGAGGCTGTGTTCTTAGCAACCACACTTGGGTGCTTCCATGTGGCTCATCTGAGGACAGTCTGTTTTGCTGGTGGCATTTATCAGGTTTTTGAAGGCAGTAGCCCTTAAGCCTTACTTCTTTAGGAATTACCAGGGCCCCATTTTAAGAAAACAATATAAATCCAGGGCCCACTCTCTGGACAGCTGCTGGGATAAAGATCTGTATTTCTGGTGAGTGCCCCAGAGTGCGCTGTTGAGGCAGGAGGTGCCTAGACCATCCTTGAAGTTACCTGGGTTTAAGGGGGTTGAGAGGCCTGCTCTGTCAGGTGCCTGGGAGTTCAGGAGCTGTGGTGCAGAGCTGGCTGTGTGTTCTCTGAGAAACGACTTGCTCTGAGCCTTGGTTTGCTCCCTGTCTAGTGGGGATCTCCACCTCTGTCTCCCAGGGTTTGGGTGTACATGAGAGGTGTCAGTGCCACTCAGATTATCTGATTTGAGGGGAATCACTTCACCTTGTACCCTGCCACCCAGGAAACTCAGACCTGGGGAGTGGGAGTCTGCATGCCATCCATGTCTGTAAAGCTGCTGCTCAGCCCCAGGAGTTAGCCTCACCTGTCCACCCACCCCACACCACAGCACTGTCAATCTCTCACACAAGTTTGGAGGGCAGTGCCCTACCCAGCCTGAGTGGCCATTCGGAGGGACAACCTCCCAGCTCCCAGGCCCAGAATGAAGCCTGTCCCACCCTTAGGACATGTGAATCTCCCTTGCTCACTTCCCTGAGGGGGGCTGATGGAGCAGGTCAGACTTGGCTGCTCCAGAGGCCTGGTGGGGCTGCCAGATGGAGGCCCTAGTGCAGTGGGGAGCAGAGAACTGGAACGTGGTGGCCTCCTGGCCCCAGGGAAGTCGCTAGTAGGGGCAGAAGAGGGTTGGGAGCTGAGGCCACTAGGATGATCTGCTGGTACAGTATGTCCCATGGGGGTAGGGGACTGGGCTCTATCCAGGGTCACAGTGGGGTGGGAAGGAGCTGACCAGGTCTCTGAGGAGGGGCCTTGACCTTAGAAGCTGCAACCTGGGAGCACCTGAAGGGAATGGGCATCAAGGAGAAGCTGGGGGTAATTATCGGCTGGTGGCCCAGTGTGTGGTAGCTTCTAGGAAGGTGTGACTCCCTGTGAAGGGTCTCAGCCCTCCTCCTTGCTGGCACTCAGACCTGAAGTCAAGTGACCTGTCTGTCCCCTTGGGGCTCTCCTTCCTTTGCCGGGGAATGGTAACATGGCAGGTGCTCAGGAAGCTTTCCTTCTGCCAGGTGTGGCCTGGACTCTGCTCTGGAGGCTTTTGTGTGTCAGTTCACTGGATTTCCACTTCCACCTTAAGGAAGCACTGTTACTATTCCCACTTTTCAGGGGAGGGAACGAAGTGAGACAGAGATGTTAAGTCACTTGCCCGAGGTCACCCAGCTGGTAAGCAGAGGAGCTGGGTTTCACACCCAGGCAATCTGGGCTGCCGAGACTGGGCTTCTGTCTGCCACCCTAGAGCACTCAGGTGACAGCACCCAGTGGGAGTTTGGCAAGCGGGAGCTGAGGCCCTGGACTTCCTGAGCTCAGGTCCTGGTTCTGCCACTCATGGTAGCTGTGTGTCTTTGTGCAAAGGACTCCCAACCTCCAGCCTCAGCCTGCTCATCTAGAAATGGGCTTGATGCCGCGGCGAGCTGGCACGTGTTTCGTGATTGTTGTGAGGTTGGCTGGAGTCAGGAAATGTCCCGCTGCCCAGTCTGCTACCTGAGCACCTGCACCCAGCCAGGGACGGATGAGAGCATCCTGTGCCCTTGGGGACACAGGACCAACAAGTTGCGAGGGGGCCCCAGGACTCACGCAGGCAGGGGTGGGGGTGCCGGGGCGTAGCAGGCCTCCAGGGCCAGTCTCGGTGGGATGGGCGGCAGCTCTCGCACCCTGGGCCGGTGGTGTGGTGGCGGCAGCGGCAGCGTGGAGGCCGGGCACGGGCAGCACAGCGGGCCGCATGGCCATGGCACTGGCAGCGGCCTCTCACGCCAGCTGCTGCCAGCCCTGCTCGGCCTCCAAACTCCACACGGAGGTGGCTGGCCACCACCCTGGCCTTAGGGCCTGGTGGGGAGCGAAAGATGACCCTCTCAGGACCCCCCAAAGCCCCAGGCCAGGCAGGTCTGCGCCACAGAGGCCTCCAGGGACCCCCTGCAGCCCAGGCCGCAGACAGAACTAGGGCTGGGGGTCCTGGGGTGCAGAAGCGCAGGCTGACAGACGTCAGGAGGAAGGGGCCATCCAAGTCCAGGGTCAGACTGCCATTGCAGGTGGCCCCAGGGCCAGGACTAGTCCCTGGGGAAAGGGTACAGGACTGGGGGCAGGAGGCTGCTATGCCACCTGCCAGCTGGGTCACTGGTGGAAGGCAGAAGCGAGGGCGTCCCCCTGGATCATAGCATGGGTCCGAGGTTGCCCGGCTTAGGAGGAACAAGAGGGCAAAGGTCACAGGCATGATCCCAGTAGAGCCAGCACCTAGGAGGAGAGGTGGCTGGGTGGGACCTCAGCCATCAGCCTCCACCCTGCTCCCCAAGGTGCCCTGGGGAACCCCAGCATTCCACCCCAGCCCTACCCAAATCCCCTCCCCAACTGCTTTGAAGCGAGGAAAATAGTTCCATCTGGGGAGAGTCACTGTTTACATAACCCAGAGGGGAAAGAACGCAAGCAAAATCGAGAATTTTGCCTGAACTAATCCGTAGCTTAACACCCCAGAGTTATCCGTCAGTGTCGAAAGAACAGGGCCTCTGGGGAGTGGGTGAGGGGTGGACCAGCAGAGGCCACAGATGCGGAAACCCAGAGAGGGACTAAGGAGAGACACAGGGGAACAGGGCTGGGGAAAGCAGAGAGAGAGAGAGAGAGAGAGAGAGAGAGACGAGGACTCAGAGACAAAGAAACAGAGAAAAGACAGAAACAGAGACAGAGGTGGGTGGAGAGACCCACGGGAAGGTCCAGACGTGGGAGGCAGAGATAGGACAGGGCTGGGCACCCAGAGTTCACAGGAAAGTGGGAGATCCTGGGGGCCAAAGGGGCAAGCAGGTGACACTCTGGGACAGCCATGGACAGCAGACAGCCCACAGGCCTGGGGTGGGGGTGGGCAGAGCTGGAGGTGCCCCACCCCCCTGCAGGGGATCAGAAGCAGCAGGGGTGGGGGGATCTGAAGCCGGCTGAGGCCCCAGCCCACAGGGATCAGAGGGAGGCCCTTTCCCATGTGGGGCCCTAACCTTGTTCTCCACACCCTGGGCACGGAGGGGATTATCACCAAACACAGGCCTCCCTGCCACCCACCCCCAGCTCCTTAACCCTTTCTCAGCCACCCCAGTGCAAAGCCATAGAAGAGCGAAGGGCAGGCTGGTGGCCTAGGGGTGGGTGGCAGCCAGGATCTCTCTGGGGCTGAAGCTTGGGACTGCAGAATCCTGTGGGGCTGGGAAGGCAAATGCTTGGGTTCTCTGGAGTACCTGGAGTGGGATTCTGAGGTTAGATTTCTGGTACTTTCTGATCATCTCATCCCACCAGCCACTCTAGGCCTCAGCGGGGCCCAGGAATCAGAGTCCCCACATTCTCCACCCGTCCTCAGGTCCCTGGAGCAGATGGGGGAGCAGATGTTGGGGGTGGTGGGTAATGAGGGAGCAGAGACAAGCAGGAGGGTGGGAGAGGAGGGTGCCAGATGCCAGATCCCCCTTAGGGAACAGAAATCCAGACAGACCCCAGGGCAAGGCAGGAGCTGGGAAGGACTCAGCCCTCAACTGGCCCTTCCCTTCTCTCGCAAACACCAGCGCCCGGGGAGCAGCCCACTCGGAGTAGGGATCTTTCTTGGGTTCCTGCCTGGCTCTGAATCCACACCAAAGCTGGCACCCGGGCTGGGGTCTCTGGGGCACCCTTGGTGGGAAGCTGCGTAGTCCACACTGCTGTTGCCATGCGGACCTGCCTCCCCTGCCCCGGACTACCGACACTGTCCCCATTGAGCCTGGCGCCATTTTGCTCTCGTGGCAGTTCACTGGGCCCCTGGGCCCCAGCCTTGTTAAGGAACCCTCACCCCCTTCTCACCCCGTGTGAGAACATCCCCTTTGCTGGGTGGTTCAGGGAGTCCTGCCTTCTGGCCCTTAGCACCTGGGGAACCAGGGTGTGGGTACCCCGGTGCTCCTGGGACACAGAAACCAGCCCCTGCCCGCGTGGTGCCTGCTATCACATCCCCACATTTACCCCTCGGGGCCTGTAGCCCACCCCCACCCTTCAGGAGCAGGTAGGTCCAATGGGATCCCAGAAGACCAGCAGTTGCCTGGCTTGGGTAGTGGGGTCTATGAGGACCCAGGCTTCCCTCCCTTGGTGTGCACCCCATCCCAGCCTCAAGCCCTGTAGTCAGTCAAACCTGCAACAAGAAGAGCGTCCTGTAGTCGGTCCCCACTGCGCTGCCTTTGCAGGAGCTCGGCTGGCCGCGGTGGGCTCTCAGGAAGGAGTGACGAGTAGCTGTGCTCAGGCCAGGCTCGTGGGGGTTCTGGGCGGGAGCTTTGAGCAGAGCCCGCAGAATCCTACACCACCGCCCCCACCCCCGCCGCCCTAGTCCCCTCGCCAACCACAGCCACACTCTCCCCACAGGGACCCCTGCCAGCCACACCACCGGAGACCATGTGGGACCAGAGAACCGCTGCCCCTGGTGGGCCCACAGCTGGGCGGCCCCAGGCAGGTGGGCGGAGGAGCCTCCAGGCAGGTAGGATGGGTGGCTGGGGTCCTGGGTCCACTCCCACTTGCCCCAGCCTACCAACTCCCCAGGGCGTGGCTCAGCTGTGTGGCGCCACGGCTGCAATTTGGGAGGGCTGACCTATGGGCTGTTCATGCTGAGGTGGGGCATTGGCCATGGGGAGTTCTGCTGACCCCAGCCACCCCCTCCTCATCCTCGCAGGAACCTGGTGTCGGCTGTGGGCTAACAAAGCGTTGAGGTCAGTTGCTTTCAAGTCCTAAAAATCTGTTCTTGGAAGGATCAGGTCAGCTGCAGGGAAACTCAGAGAACTCAATGCCTGGGGTGGGAGGGCGGGGAGAGCAGTGGAGAAGCAGAGCACCTCAGGCCTGTGGGTTCTGGGGCCTGGGAGAAAGTGGGGAGCACCGGGGGCAGGGCTCAAAGGCACCCCAGCAACAGGGGGCCTTGATCCCCAGCCGCTTTTGTTTTTAGATTCTTGTGCAAATGTTGAATCGCCCATGTGAATGGTGGTGACTAGAAAAATAAAGTTTTCTAGCTTCCCTCTGGGGAAAGCAGAGGCCTCCAGTCCCAGGATGGTGCTCAGCATTGGCTGCTCCTTGGCCTTGAGGACCCTGGCATTTGTTGTGGCTCAGCGGGGCTGTGCCTTACAGGGATCAGGGTACTCCCTGCACCATGCTGATCTGGGGTGGGGTGCAACCATGATTCTGGTTCTGGGTGACCCTCAGGTACATATTCCAGGAGGAGCAAGGGCAGGGACATCAGATTTAAAAGATGGGTGTTAATTCCTAAAGCTATGAGGAGGGGTTAGCTTCAAGAAAAATCCATATCCGATTGGGGCCAAGAGACCCCGTCAGAGGGGGACTTGTGGAACCTGGGCAAGGGATGCGTGAGTGACAGAGTGGCATATTGCAAGAGTCGTGACTAGCTGATCAAGGAGTCCTGATCACGCTCCTCCTGCTGCCCAACAGCAGGACCGGCAGTGAACAGTACCTCTGGGAGCTGGCCCTGGAGGGGCCACCTAGAGACAAAAGGCGCTTTCTTTTGAGCACTTTCTTCCTATAAACTCCTAGAGGGTATCAAGTGCTTCAGAGCAAAGGCAGGCCAGGGGACCGGGCCTAGCAAGGCCACCTGTGATCCCAGCGACTCCGGAAGCTGAGGCAAGAGAGGGAGTATTGGAGGCTGGTCTGGGCAACCTAATGAGACCCTGTTTCAAAATAAAAAGGGCTGGGTATGTGGCTCAGTGGTAGAGTCCCCCAGCCTCTGGGTTCCATCAAGGGAGAGGGGTGGGGTGAGGGGAGAAGCCAGCAAGCAGGGGGTGGTTGCTGGGGTGGTGGGGGTTCTATAGATTTCAGTGGGACAACAAGGGAACATTTGGGTTGAGGTCTGAAGGAGCCCTGCAGCCCCGGCAGTGCTGGTGCAGAGGGAGTCCTGCTGCTAGAGAGGACTCCGGAGGCTCAGGCCACCTTAGTTTTCCTTGTAGGACAAAAGGTCCCTAAGCTCTCCTCCCTGTGAGTCTCCTCCTTCCTCCTTTGTTCTTAATAGCCGCAGTGCCCCAGGCCATTAGAAGCCCTGAAGGCTCCTGCAAGGCAGGAGGAGGAGGGGGTGGTCTAGAAGCCTCCAGAGCCCAGGAAACATCCCCGAGCTGAAAGACTGGGGTGCTCCCTTTGGGACCTTCACCCCTTTGGCCCTACTGAGAGTGTCCAGACCACGCCCTGTGTGACACCCACAGTGGATCTGGGTTGTCTTGTCATCAGACATGGTATTAGTGTTGAGCTCAGAAGAGGGTCGTCTGCAAATAGGTGCAGTCAGTTCAGGGCAGGTGTTGACACCAGATGGCTCAGGTGGGTCTTTGCCACCCTCCACTGACATAGGGAGCAGGACAGCAGGCTAATGTGTGTGGGGGGTGTCCTGGTTGTTGAGACTGACAAACAGCCATGAGGGGGAGCGCAGGAGATCCCAGTAGATGGTGCTCAGAGGGCCCCCTCAGGGCAAGCAACGGGGTTGGAGGGCCCCAGCAGCATGTTGTCCACTTGGCGCCTGACCAGCATTTACAAAGAACTTCAAGATGCAGCAGCAGGATGTCAGACTCCACCAGGGAGACTTTCTGAGCACGAGGCCATGGGGCTACTCTGGCCACACACCATGAGGTGGCCCTGGAGGATGCACACTGGTCCTGAGTCAGTGTCTCCTCCCGATTGGCCCAGGCTCTGGTCCCCTCTCTGCTGGTGCCAGCCTGGGACTCACCTGGGGCCTGGCTGCAGCAGTATTAGCTTCTCTCAGTGGCAGAACCTTGAGTTGGGCGGGTGGTATAGAAACAGATGGGACGTGGGCTGGGGATGTGGCTCAAGCGGTAGTGTGCTCACCTGGCATGCGTGCGGCCTGGGTTCAATCTTCAGCACCACATACAAACAAAGATGTTGTGTCCGCCGAAAACTAAAAAATAAATATTAAAATTTTTTCTCTCTCTCTCTCTAAAAATAAATAAATAAATAAGATAAGGATCCTATTAAAAAAAGAAAGAAAGAAAGAAACAGATGGGACGGAATTTTCACCAGCTCAGAGAAAAGGGGCTCAGATTTAATTTGCTTTTTGGAAACTGAAGCAGCCAACAAAGCATTTCTTGTGCATCTCTCTCTCTCTCTCTCTCTCTCTCTCTCTCTCTCTCTGTGTGTGTGTGTGTGTGTGTGTGTGTGTAGAGGGAAGAAGGGGTCATGTCTCTTGTAAGAGCTTACTGACCTCTTTGGGGAGCCATATTAAACGTGAGGCATTCAAAGAGGGCCAGCAATGTTCAGATTTCCCAAAGGGGTCAGACTAATAAAGGAAGGCATCCCTTGCATATAGGAGGTTGAGAACGGAGGCAGCCTGAGGAACTCCAGAGCTGGTCAGAAGAGTGAATGAGGGCAGAGAATAAGTGGAGCTGGGAGTGAAGACTGTGGTGGGAGCCCTGGAGAGAGGTAGCACAGCCCCTGAGGAGGGGTCATTTATCCCTTCAGAGGGACAGGGAGCCACGGTCACAGAGCCCAGTCAAGCCTAGTGGAGCCAGGGCAGGACCTGAAGGCCAAATGACTGACCACAGTGACTCGGTGGCCCAGCAGTGCCACTGCCAGGCAGATACCTGAGGGACATGAAGAGCACACACGCAGAGCTCACACAGGAGCCTCATGGACATACGGGACAGCGACTGGAGTGCCCACCAGCTGAGAATGAGCAGGCGAGACAGGGCCCTCAGAGCCGGCACGTTCTTAGCCATCACAGAGTAGTGAAGCACTGACACATGCCACCTGGGTGGGCCTGCAGAGCTCGAGGGCACCAAGTGGAGGACTCCAGACACAGACCATGCGTGGCCTACACTTTCGTTATGTGAAGCCCAGAATTGGCAAATCCACAGAGACAGGAAAAGAGAAAATCCAAAGCACCTTAGTTGGAGGGGAAGGCAGGAAGGAGGGTGGAAGTGAGGTGGTTAAAGGTGTAGGGTTTCTTTTGGGGATGATGTAGATATTTTTTTTCAACAAAGTTTTATTGATTTGCTAGCGATTTTAGTTTTTCGATGGACACAACATCTTTATTTTATTTTTATGTGGTGCTGAGGATGGAACCCAGCGCTCCGCGCATGCCAGGCAAGCACGCTACCTCTTGAGCCACATCCCCAGCCCCTGATGTAGGTATTTTAAAAATTAGCAAATATACTGAAAGCTGTGAAATTGTGCACTTTTTTTTGGGGGGGGGGTAGTACTGGGGATTGAACCCAGGATGCTCTACCCCAGCCTTTTAAATTTTTTACTGTGAGATGGGTCTTGCTAAGTTGCTGAGGCTGGTCTCTAACTTGCAATCCTCCTGCCTCAGCCTTCAGAAAAACTGGGATTATAGGCATGCACTACTGTATAAAGCAAAATTATACACTTTATTTTATTATTATTCTAATTAGTTGTACATGACAGCAGAATGCATTTCAACTCATTTTATACAAATGGAGCACAACTTCGTTTCTCTGGTTGTACATGATGCAGAGTCATACCATTTGTATATAGAGTAATGGGTAATAATGTTCATTTCATTCTACCATCTTCCCCCCCATACCCCCTCCCCTCCCCTCACTCCCTCTGCCCAATCCAAAGTTTCTCCATTCTTCATTTGCCCCACCCTCCAATTATGGATCAACATTCACATCTCACATGTTGGCAACATTATGGATCAACATTCACATTGGCCTTTGGTTCTTTGGGATTGGCTTATTCCCTTAGCAAGATACTCTCCAGGGGCTGGGATTGTGGCTCAATGGTGGAGCGCTCGCCTAGCATGGGCGGGACCCGGGTTCGATCAGCACCACATAAAAATAAAGGCATTGTGTTGTGTCCATCTATACGTAAAAAAATAAATAAATATTTTTAAAAAGATACTCTCCAGCTCTATCCATTTACCTGCAAATGCCATTATTTCATTCTTCATTAAGGCTGAGTAATATTCCATTGTGTATATGTACCACAGTTTCTTTATTCATTTATCTATTGAAGGGCACCTAAGTTGGTTCCACAATTTAGCTACTGTGAATTGAGCTGCTGTAAACAAAATTATACACTTTAAATGGGTGAATTGTGTGGTATGTGATTACATCTCAGTAAAGTGATTACCAAAAAAAGAAGAGTGTTGCTTACTGCAAATCTACATTTATTTATTTTTTTTTAAGAGAGAGAGAGAGAATTTTAATATTTATTTATTTAGTTAGTTTTTCGGCAGACACAACATCTTTGTTTGTATGTGGTGCTGAGGATAGAAACCGGACCGCATGCATTTCAGGCGAGCGCGCTACCGCTTGAGCCACATCCCCAGCCCTGCAAATCTACATTTAAAAGCTAACTATATTCTGGAGGAAGGAGGTGGCAGTTGCTAGTCCCTCAGGTCCTGGGCCAGAAACCAGCACTGTGGTACTTTTGCCATATTTCACTGGGTGAGGCAGGCAAGAGCTATCCAGATCCAATGGGAATCAGGACTGTTCAGGCAGCTCAAAACCCTCACACCTGCTAATAGCAACAGGAAACACTTGGCACTTAGCATTGTGGGTGCCTTGGCTAGTCCCATGTTATATAAGGAGGAGACTGAGGCCCAGGAGGTCAGAACCTAGCTGCACTCAGGGCTGCTGGCCAGCAGGGGGCTGAGCCTGCCAGTGAACTGCCTGTGCTCAACCACTGGGGCACACTGCGCTAAGATGGTGGAGCAAGGATTCGTCTCCTTGGTTCTGTTTGCTTCTCTGCCTCTAGCACGGTGCCTGGCATGTAGTAGGTTGTCTGGAAGTATTTATTTTACAACATGTACGAGTTTTTCTGTGTGCTGGGCACTGAAGTACATTACAAAGGCACAGAAGTCCTCTGGCTGGCTGGACCAGGGAGCGGGCTACATTCCCAGTTCCCCAGTGGATGCCAAAACCACAGGTGTGCCCAACCCTAAATGTACTGTTTTTTTGCGTGTACATAGATGCCTGTGAGGAAGCTTGAGTTTTCTAAATTTGGCACAGTAAGAGATGAGCAGCCATAGCTAACAAGTAGGACAGTTATAACAGTACACGGACACAAGAGGAGAATGTGACCTGTCTCTCCCTATTAGCTGCCTTATTGTACTTACTTACACTTGTTCCTTTAAAGGAAGCCTTCTGTGGCTTCTCTTTGGTGTATCTGAACTGTCGGCACCACTGTTCTTGCACTTTGGAGCCATTATGTAGTGAAATAAGTGTGACTTGAACACAGGTGCTGGGATGCTGACAGGCAGTTCCTGGTGGCTGACAGGTGGGGAGCCTCTCAGTGTGAATACGCAGGACAGAGGGAACAACTTGGCAGAGTGGGACGGTGAAAGGTTCATCATGGAATCTAAAGTTTATAAATTGATTTTTTTTTTATGCTAGGGACTGAACCCAGGGGTGCTTATCCATGGAGCCACATCCCCATCCCTTCTTATTTTTTATTTTGAGATAGGACCTTGCAAAGTTGCCGAGTCCAGCTTTGAACTTGAGATCCTCCTGCCTCAGCCTTCCAAGTTGCAGGGATTAGCAGTGTGTTCCACCTTGTCCAGCTGAATTGCTTATTTCTGGAATTTCCCTTTCAATATTTTCAGACCACATTTGACCTTGAGTAGTCAAATCTGTGTAAAATGAAAGGAGAGAACCACTGTATCACATTCAATTCTCATGCAACTCCATGAGGTTGTGCCGTCAGGTTGGACCATAGAACTAGCAGCAACTGCAGGTAAAATACGGCTGGATATAAGTATTTCCAAATGGTGGACCTACTCACCCTAATAGGTGAGAAAAGCTTAAGAGGTACAGGAACTTGGCCAGTCAGGTGTGATGCTGGTAAGGGCCTGGGCGGGGCCTGCGCTTGCGGGAGGATGCCCTATTTGTGCTGTCAGGCCTGCGCATGGCGCTTCAGACTGCCGACGCCTGGGGATCCTGAACTGGAAGCAGTGAGCGTGGCTTGCACCCCATCTGCCCCTCCTGATTCTTGTCCTCTCTCTCCCTGCAGCCAAGGGGTTTGGAGCCACCTGCCCATCCCTCTCCACCTTCTACTTCCTTTTTGTTGTCTTTGTGGTGTCCACCATCTTCCACTGCCACCGGCGCCTGGCTCTGGTACCTGCCCCCTGGGCATATTCAGCCCAGGTGGTTGTGGTCCCCAGACACCACCCCCAGGAGGGCATGTTCACTATCAACTCCAAAGGCCGCCTGGGGAACCAGATGGGCCAGTACGCCACACTGTATGCCCTCGCCAAGCTCAATGGGCGGCCCGCCTACGTCCCCGCGCAGATGCACAGCACGCTGGCCCCCATCTTCAGGATCACGCTGCCCGTCCTGCACAGTGTCACGGCCCAGAGCGTCCCGTGGCAGAACTATCACCTCAATGACTGGATGGAGGAGCAGTACCGCCACATCCCGGGGCGCTACGTCCGCCTCACGGGCTACCCCTGCTCCTGGACCTTCTACCACCACCTGCGCCAGGAGATCCTGCAGGAGTTCAGCCTGCACGAGCACCTGCGCGAGGAGGCCCAGCAGTTCCTCCAGGCCCTGCAGGCCTTGCAGGCCTGGCGGATGACCTTTGTGGGGGTGCACGTGCGCAGGGGGGACTACATTCGTTTCATGCCGCAGGTGTGGAAGGGCGTGCTGGCCGACAGAGGCTACCTGCAACAGGCCCTGGACTGGTTCCGAGCCCGCTACCGTTCCCCACTCTTCGTGGTCACCAGTGACGACATGGCCTGGTGCCGGCAGAGCATCGACAGCTCTCGTGGAGACGTGGTGTTTGCTGGCAACGGCCTTCAAGGCTCCCCCGCTAAGGACTTTGCGCTGCTCACACAGTGCAACCACAGCATCATCACCGTGGGCACCTTCGGGATCTGGGCCGCCTATCTTACAGGTGGGGACACTGTCTACTTGGCCAACTTCACCCTGCCCAACTCCCCCTTCCATATGGTCTTTAAGCCACAGGCAGCTTTCCTGCCAGAATGGGTGGGCATTGCTGCTGACCTCAGACAGGCCCAGCAGAGCAGCCTCTAGGCCTGCTTACCCCTCCCTGCCTGGGCCTCTGGGGTGAGTTGTGGGGGAGATTGCAATTCAGAATGTTGGAGTCCACGTGGTATTTGAATTTGCCTTTTCTACTTCATAGCTGAGTGACCTTGGACAAATGTCTTCATCTTTCTGTGCCTTAGTGTGGCACCTTGAAGATGAACGCAGGCAGAACTTAGCAGTAATACATGAGAATCCACAAGTTCATGTAGGGCTCTTGCTTATGAATCGTGGGATGTGTGGGTATGGGAAGGTCCTGGTTGCTGAGGGCCAGTGGATCACACCCACTCACCAGGTATGTGGCCTGACTAGTGCCTGGAGCGCTCTCACACGGAACCTTACTTTGTTGCAGCACTGGTAGCATGGAATCCCCATGTTCCATATCAGATCCTAGGGCGTTCCGTGGAGGCCATTCCTGCCCTGGAGCTCCAGGAACTCAAGGCTTTGCATCCGTGGGCCTTCCCATGATGGAATGCAAGGGATGGCAGGATGCAGTACTGGGTCTTGGAGGTGTCCTCAGTGGGGAGGCTGTTCCCTTGCAGGGCGGCCGATCCAGGGCAAGAATGCCTCACCTTGGCAGCCCCGGCCACAAAGACACGGGGTGCACATTGCCATGGATGACAGCCTGACCCCAAAGGGCTATGGAGACTAGACCATGGCCATCTCAGCAGCTGCCTACAGACACGGTGACTGGCAACAGATGCCTCACCCCTGCTCTGCCTAAGCCCCTGGGACCTCACTGCCACTCTGAGCAATCCCAGCGTGGCCTGCCCAGGCCTGTCTTCCATTGCTGTAACTGAGGGTCATAGACTGGGAAGATTATAAAGAAGGCAGGTTCTCGAGGCCTGAAGGCCTATAATATAGTGCTGGCAACTGCTTGCAGCTGGGTCATGACATGGCAGGACTGAAGGTCCTGGCTCAGGTCTGCCCTTTTGTGAAGCCAAGGTCCCCTGGGATTGGCCCTTTGTCCTGTGACCTCTTACCTCAATTGCCTTCCAAAGGTCCCACCCCCAGGCTCATAGCAAGCTTGAATTCCCCACTCTCCTCCCTCACAATAAGGAGTAACTTGCCACCCAGAGTCTTGGTGGGGACATTCCAACCATAGCACAGACAGAAGTGGGGTTAGGTGACTACACAGCTGGTTTTCCTGTATTCAGTGTTGTTTTTTTTTAATAGGAATTTTATTTTTACTTTTTTCCCATACATAAGTTCAGTGTATTTTAAAACATGGAGATGCCAGAATGTTATTGGTGTAATGCTCCTTTGTGGGTATTTTAAAAATCATAACAAAATCATTTGCATTCACTTAAAATTCCTACCAGGTGTAGGTGCCCTGGTTTAGGGACCCTCTCTGTCACTCTCTTTCCTGCATGACACTGTCTCCAGGGCTCCTGCTGTTTGACTGACCATTCTTGGGCTCACTTCCAGAGCCCAACCCCTCGTCCCCATGGAGTGCTAATGTGCCTTCTCGGAGTCATCTTGGGCCTGGCTCCTTCCTTCCGTCCTTGACAGGGCGGTCAAGGTGTGGCGTTGGCTATAAAGTGGCTTGGGCACGGCAGGTCTCTGCCAGCTCTCCCCTGCCATGTGGCAAAACACCCGGAGACCTGGTGCTTAAGACACGGACAACACTTGCTCTCTCGCAGTCTCGGGGGCCGAGCTGTGCGGCTGTGTCAGGCAGCCAGGAGATGGCCCTCCAGTGTTAGCTGGGCCAGGGATCTGCTCCCGTGGCTGGAGGGTTGGTGCTGGTCCTGGACATGACCTCTGCCAGCCACTTGAGTGTCCTTGCAATGTGCAGCCAGTTCCTCCAGAGCCAGGAAGCTGCAGAGGCCTTGGTGACCTAGCCTCAGAGGATATACTGTCACCCCTGCCCCATCTATCACTCCAGACAGCAGCTCCGCCTCCACATGGGAGGGGACTGCACCAGGGCCTGTATCCCCCAAGTGGAGGTGGGGTCCTGGAGCTTGGTGACTCAGCACACCCCGGCTCAAGCCACAGATACCAATTGTCTTATAGTCATGGCGGACAGAAGTCCAGGTGGAGGGTGAGCAGGGCAGCTCCTCCCAGGCCCAAGGCAGGATCTGTTCAGGCCTCCCTCCTCGTCTGTGTTGTCTTCACATGTCTCCTGCTGTGTCTTCACATGATCTGCCCTGTGGGTGTGTGTCCTCATCTGGTTTCTTATGGGGACACCAGGCTGGATCAGAGCCCACCATAGCAACCTCATTTAATTACATCCCATGACCCCATGCTAAGGTTCTAGGGGCTGGGGCTTGAGATTTTGTGGGGATACAATCCAGCCATATGGTGGTCTTCTGTGATTCCTAGCTGATTCCCTAGGGTCCCCTTCCCTTTTCCCTTCATCCTCTCAGGACTGGCCCTCGGCAACCAGGATCTTCCTCACATCACCCTTGTGGAGAGACTCCAGCAGGAGGGAACAGGAATCTGGGGTCTTGACCCCTGGGTGAGGGCTGTGCCCAGATTCCCCCCCCCAAGTAGACGCCCATGTGCCACCCCCTGCTGACTCCTCCACTTCCTCCACCTTGCCGCATTCCTAGAGGCCAATCGATGGCACCTGTGGCCCTATGGCCACCTGTTGTGTTGGGTCAGCAGAGTCCCGTCCAGAAGTGGGGCAAGGAGGGACAACAGGGTTAGGTTATTTGGTCTCCCAGGGATGGTCACCACTTCCCGCGGTCACTGGCCCTCTGGAGCTGTGCTACCTCGCTGGCCCGCGATCCAACCCAGGTGGCCCAGTCTGAGTGTTCCTTCTACGTGGATCCTTATCTCACAAAATTCCCACGTTGACATTTTTACTGGGACACTGAAATCACTGGGATGATCTGTGTTGGCTCACTGAGAGTGATGCAGACACATGGCATTTCTTGCAGACTCACCTTGACACAAATGGAGCTGGGGACGTTCTGGGGCAGGGAGTCAAGTGCCACTTCCCTGCTCTGGTCTTTCCTCTGCATCCTGGGGGTGATGTGGGTGAAGATCTGGGAGCCCCATCGTGCAGCCTCCTTGTCTTGGGCCCTTTCTGAGGGCTTCTGCCAGGAGGGAGTGGGACAGAGCAGGTCCCATGCTGGCTACTGTGGGCTGGGCATGTCACTTGTCATGTGGCACTCAGCTCTGTGTGATCTGGACACAAAGGGCCCCACTCTGTTCCCTGCATGTTGGGTGTTGCTCAGATGAGGACGGCCACAGCTTCTCTTTTATAAAAGCCCATAGAAGTTGGCAAACTGCCAATCATAAGTTGCATTTATTCATTTGACAAATATTTACTGAGCTCCTCACCTCACTTGCAAGTTCCAAAGCAGAAGCTGGCCAGCGCCAAGAAACCACTCCTGTCCCTCGGCAGAGGGGCAGGAAGGAAGCCAGCAGGATAGGTGCCACGTAGGTTCCCCAAGCCACCACGCCCAGCTCCTCAGATGGCACTGAACCCACAATACGTGCGGGTCACGGGCTGAACTGTGCACCCCACCCCGACATTCCTGTGTTGGAGTCCTAACCTCTACTACCTCAGACAGTGTGACCTAAATTGGAAATAGGGTCATGGCCAATGTAGTAGTCGAGACAAGGTCATGCTGCTGTAAAGGGGCCTTGGTCCATTAGGACCAGGGGCCACCCAGACACACAAAGGGGCAAATGCCACAGGTTGACAGGGGCAGGGGTGGACTTCTGGCATCAAGAACTGTATGAGGAATGCTTCCTGCTGTTCCCAGGCACCCAGTTTGTGTCGCCCTGTTGTACAGGAGCCCTGGGGAGTGGATAGAGTGTCGTGTCTGCCAGCTGAACGTTGAGACCCCCCCAGAGGGCTGGTGCAGTGTGAGGCCCGGGCTCCATCCTCAGCTCCGCACATAGAGACACAGGTGAGAGACTAAATTTTCCCTTGGCCTTGGCCCCAGGCCTGGGTTCTGTCAGGGAGTCAAGCAGAGAGTGGACCCGGGAAGCTGCCAGGAGCTACGTGGCTGTGGCCCCGGAGTGACCTAGCAACAGAACCCCTGCTTCTGAAGTCTGAGTAGCTGAGAATCTCAGAGCCCACTAAGGTGGCAGAGAGAACTGAACCACCCCAGCAGGGGTCTGAGGGCTCATTCCAGGGGTTGAGCCCAACCGGAAGTGGACGGTGGTGTACATCTCCCTCTGGCCCCCTTTACCCTGATGTTGAGTTCAGCTGGAACTGGAACTGGAAGAGCTGGGGAGGCGGGGTTCACTGGCTGCGTTTCCTCCCAAAACTTAGCAGGACGCTCACGAGATTTTCAGACTTATCACAAGAATTTTTTCCTCCTTTTTCTTTTCCTCGGTGCTGGGGTGGAGCCCAGGGCCTTGGTGCATGCCGGGCACACGCTCACCACAGGCCTCATGACCCTTGAGGCCCCTCCTCATCACCTGGAGGGTAAATCTCCTTAGTCCACTCCGCCCCGGCGGCGGTGGCTGGTGTGCCAGGCCGTGGTTAATCCTCCTGGCCGCCTCAGGCTCCTACGCTCATCAGCCCGTGATTTGGGGCAGGGACGGTGCCTCCCTAAGCATTAGAACAGTGCCTGGCCAGACATGTCCGGCAGGGCAAATCCGCAGAGACTGCAAGCGGTTTGGTCTGGTGTTATGGTTTAGATATGAGGTGTCCCCCAAAAGCTCATGTGGGAGGCAATGCAAGAAAGTTCAGAGGTGAGACGATAAAGTTGAGACGCCTAACCCGTCCAGTGCATCTGTCCACTTGAGTGGACTCACTGGGTGGTGGCCGCAGGCAGGTGGGGTGTGCCTGGAGGAGGTGGGTCTCTAGGGGCACTCTCCCTTCCTCTTCTCACCCCTTCCTGGTGGCCTTGTCCTGAGCTGCCTCCCTTCACTACATTCGTCTGCCATGACGTCCTGCCTCACTGTGGGCTCAGAGCAATGGAGCCAGCCATCCACTCAGACCTCTGACGCCAGGAGCCCCAAATAAACTCTTCCTCCTAAAAACCATTCTTGTCAGGCCTTTTAGTCACAGCGACGGAAAATCTGACTGAAACTCTTGGCTTCGTCCACTTGTCACGTTTTCGGGGTTCATCCACATGGGACACGGGTCAGCACTTCATTCCTCTCAGGCCAGGTGGCAGGTGGACTTCTGCAAAGTCACGAGAGGCCATATGAATTGCACAAATTTAACTGACGGAATTCCTTCAGGGCTGCAAGTTCTAAAGCAGACGGTGACAAGCCCCCACCTGCTCTCTCCCTGTCCCCCACCCCTCCCCTCCCTCCCTCTCAACAGAAGGGACAACAGGAAGCAGAACAGGATGGGAACTACTTCCTTGAAGTCAGAGGTGCCCTACCCCTGTCCCCAACGGAAGGCAGCACGTAGCTTGATTAAACACCCACTGAGTGCATGAAGCGTGTCATGGTGGCACATCTGAGGACACGGTGAACTGGGAAGTGACAGAAATGCTCTTTTTCTCCAGAGAGCTGGCTGGACTACCAGCACACCTTCACCAGGCCAGCAAGGGTAGGGACAGCATCCTCATTCTGGAGGCAGAGGGTGCTGTCCCCAGGGCATTTTGGGAAACGGAGGGAGGCTTTCAGTCGTCCCATTGGTTGTCAGGTGATACCAAAGCATCAGGTGACATTAATGAAGAATCGCCTAAACCCCACAGCAGACGTGCAGAGGGGACAGTCTCGGGGGAGTGTCCCTGTCCACTCCGCGCGGCTGCCTGTTTCTTTTCCCGTGGCAGCAGCTCCCTGGGAGCCCAGGACATTTGCCCTGTGGCGGCCCCCGTTCTGGACGTGGCGACTCATCCTCGTGGTGTCCATTGTCACTTGATTCTCTTGTTTTCTGAAACTCGATGGATCCAGCAGGAAGCTTGATTTGATTTCAGCTTTTCCCCCCTTTTTCCTCTAAGGAGATTCATAGCTGATCCATGAACCTCCTGCTTCACTTAGGGGCCTAGAGTGGCCACGGTCCCTCATTCGGTGTTAGGACTGTGGGGGCCTCTGGCAGAGCCTCACCCCTCCCCAGTAACCGTCCTCATTAATCTTGCACCTGACTTTGGCAGCCGTAGACAGTGATACCGCAGTTCCTGTTTCTTGGTGTCACTGTGGATGCTGAATGGTGATTTCCCAGGAGTAGTTTTTAAAATCAGGGAGACTGAGAAGAGTCTCTAGTTGCCAGGGATTTTCCAAGACCTAGCCCCCTAGTTTCAAATCCCAGCTTCTACTGTGTGACCTTGGGCAAGTTACTTTAGGTTTCTGTGCTTTGGTTCCCCCATGGAATTGTCAGGAAGATTGAACGGCTTGGTGCTGTGTGTGTGGCGTTTTCTCTTCAGTTCTCGGAGAGCACTGGGCTGGAAGAGCGTGACCTGGACTCCTCCACTCCTCCACGCCTTCCTGGCCCGCACCCCGCAGACTCAGGCTCCTGGGCTCACCTCCCTCCCGCAACCAGCCACACCTGCTCTTGGAGCCAGGTGCACCCTGGGTGGGGCTTTCTGGCCACTAGTGCAGGAAGGCTCCGGAAGGTTATTTGGCCTGAATGAAGAGGCGACCCGGAGGACTACTGAGCTGCCACAGAGCCGGCTACAGAGGCACCTGTCACCCGCTCCCTGCAGCCAGACCAGGTGAGAGCAGGTGAGGAGGGCGCCTCCCACCCGCAGACCACATGCACACACCAGGGCAGAGAGCCCAGAGCAGACTTGAACCCGGGCCTTGGGGAAACAGAGACCCGGCCTCCCAGGTTCATGCCATGGCCTCTGATCCCCTTTGGGATGCACCCGGCCCGACCTCCAGGAGAGGAGTCCACCCCTTGGCAGTCAAGCCCCTCTCCCAGTCCCCAGCCCCGGGCCCTTGGCCTCCAGGCCCTCGCTCCCCGCCTCCCAGGCCAGCTGCTCCCTCCCCTGTCCCTTCCCGTCCTGTCCCAGTTTCCAGGAACTGAACTAGGGATGAGTGTGCGGGCAGGAGGCCAGGACACGGCTCAGGGTAACCAGATTTTCCTGTCCCAGCTCTGAGGGGATGGCAGGACCTTGGCACAAGACCTGGGGTCCTCAGAGACCCCACAGTGGCCACCCCACTCCCCTGACCTGCCACTGCCCAGGGAGGGGCTTGGGCCTTCGCTCAGTCCCTAATCCCACCTGGAGGCGCCCGTTCTGTTCAAGGCTGGAGACAAAGTTGGGGATATCAAAGTGACAGTTCCACTCAGGTCCAGTCTCCTCCTGGAGTCATGACTTGGGGCCCAATAGGCCCAGGCCCTGGGAGCAGGACAGAGAGGGGGAGCCGCAGCTGGGAGGGACGAGCTCACCTGGGGATGATGGTGACAAGGCCCAGGGGCAGGGGCCAGGGCCAGATCAGAGGCTGGGATTTTGCTCTTGAGGGGGACAGGGAGCCACGGAAGGGCTGCTAGCTGGGGAGAGGCAGGCCAGCTCTGCATGGGTGGGACAGAGTGGAGTCCAGGGAAGGGGAGAGAAGGCCGAGTCCAAAAGGGAGAGGGTGAGGCCAGGCCTGGGACAGAAAGAAGTGGAGGAGACTGAATTCAAAAGAAAGTCTTGGCAGATACTGGTGGCTCCACTTCTCTGAGGGGACTGGAGCCTGGTTCCTCCTTCAAAGTTGGGGCCCGTTTCTGGCATCCTACTGCAGCCCCTAAAGGAAGGCCCCGGAGACCCAGATGGAGGAAGGGACAGACCTGACCTCTATTCTCTCCTTTACACCTACAGCCCGGACTGACGTGTGGGATACAGCTGTAGGAACTGAGGGTGGATAGCAGGATGAACTTCCTGACCTCAGAGAACTAGCTAGGGGAAAACCCAAACTCCTCCCATTTGTCAGCAGCAGCCCAGCTGCTGACTCTAGCTGTTGGCTAGAATCTAGCATCCAGGATTTCCCCACTGGTGACAAACTGCTGCTTTTCCCATCTCCTGTCATCTGAACACCCTCCCCAATGCCCCTCTACAGATTTAGGCCTTCTGCCATGCTCCCCCAAGATCCTCCCTTAGCCACGGGGCCCTGGGCTAGGTTTTCTTTGCCGTAAAGTGGGCCTGGTAACATAGAGTTGTTAAAACTCAGTAAGGAAAGTTGGGGGCTGTGGCACACTCCCGTAATCCCAGCAATTGGGAGGCTGAGGCAGAAGATCCAAGTTCAAGGCCAGCCTCGGCAACTTAATGAGACCCTGTCTCAAAAATAAAATAAAATAAAAAGGGCTGGGGATGTGGTCAGGGGTAAAGTGCCATTGGGTTAAATCCCAGTACAAAAAACAAAAACAAAAACAAAAACTCAGTAAGATACACAGCCGGACACGGGGTCCGAGGCCAACGTAAGTGTGGGTTTGGGGTGTCAGCCCTGCCCCCCATGCCAGGAGCACCCGTGCAATAGGACATTTCGCTGCAGTGCTCATCAATACTGATCCACGCAGCCCTGGAGGAATTATTATGGACCAGGACCCTGAAGCCAGGTAAAGGCCCTCGGACAAGGTCACTCAGCTAATCACGTCAAGCCGGCTGCCACTCTAAGACCCTGGGTTTGCTCTGGGACACTCACCCCTCCTCCCGTGTGAGGACCTGAGCCTCCCTGTCCTTCTGCTGGCGGCAGCGGGGCTGCAGGTTCTCAGTCCAGGAGCCCAGACGCTGGCACGACTGGGAAGCAAAGCATCCTCCCTACTCGGTGCCTAGAAATGGAGACCAAAAGGGAAAAGAGAACAGAAAGAAAGACAAGAATGCAGACAGACAGACAGATGGGATGGGGAGATGGGGGGATGTCACTGAGACCCAGGCAGAGAGGGAGAAACCAGGTGGGGCCAGACAGACGGCTGGGGGCACTTCCTTCCTTCAGGGGGTGTGTTTGCAGGGAGCTGCCACCTGGGGAGGTTGAAAGGCCTGGCCTGGGGAGGGGACCTGGAGGTGGAGCAGGGCAGGCAGCAGGGCCTGAAGTGGTGTCACCAGAGGGAATGGCTTGCCATTCACCCCTCGCTCCACTAAAACCTTGAAAGACACACGGGCAGGAAAATGGCTTTGAGGAGACAGAGGAGAACTTCCTGCCTCAAATCTCCATCTTGTGGCAAGGCTCGGGCCTGAGAGGAGAGAAGGCGGAAACAGGTTTGTAGGTTTAGCTGGGCTGTGTTCACCAGAAACGCCTCAGGGCCCGGGTGCTGCCAGCCAGGGGCCAGCCTCGGCCTCCACCGTCCCTATGTGGAAATGTGGCTGCAGGAGACCATTATCAGGCCCTCCCCTTCAAAGGGGCCGGCGGGACAGTGGGACAGACTGGCTGCCTGCGGCTCATCCCCCCTTCCCTTTCCTCTCTCCTCTACCGTCCACAGCATTTCCTGGGTACCCCGGTGACCCTGGATGACCTGTGCCCTGTACTTGGCAAACCTAGAGCCACATCTGCTCCCTGACCTTGGAGCACACACTGTCCACTTAAAAAAAACAGAGACAGAAACACCCAGAAGAAGGGACATGGCAGGAGGCTGCTGCCCTGGGCTCCTTCCTGTCCTCCCGCTTCCTCGGCTCCTCTGGTGCCCAGAGGGTCTCTCCACCCAGCCAGGGGCAGGGCCTCTGGTCCCCTGAGGGTCTGGACAGGAGCAGCCCAGCTCGGGGAATGGGAGCCAGGGCTCCACCAGGGGCCAGCAACCTGCCCGTCTCTCTTTTTGGGAAGGCCAAACTACTCTCAGGGACAAATTGCTCTGTCCATTCCAACTTTAGTTTGAATATGGCTTACGGTGGCTGCAGTAGCTGGGCCCTAATGGACCCGGGCCCACCATCCACTGGCCACTCTGTGTTTTTAATTCCAAATTCCCAAGGGAGACGCTCTACCTGGTCCTCACTCTCGGAGCCAGCTCCCACTCCCACACATCACGGACAGGCAATGGATGGGCCACCCTTGGGCCAATGTCATATAGGCTATACGTTATTTTTTTCCAAGGACACCAGTTGAACTGGTGACCTCATTTTTAACTTGGTCATTTCTGTCAATGCCCTATCTCCAAATAAAGTCACATCCTGAGGTACAGGGGTTAACACTGCAGCATATCCTTTTTGGAGGGACACAATCCAACCCATAACAGACTGCAACAAGGTTTGGGGTTGGGTGGCAAACATGTCCCGTCTTCCTACAGCCCACCCCTTGATTGCCCGTTGCACATATGTTCTATTCCATTTCTTCAGTGCCATGAAGAAAAGCAAGGAAAATCCAACATCAACCATGGTGGGTACAATCACAAACATATCGCCTACTTCCCACTTTCCAGAGGGAGGCCCCAAAGTTAGCTCCACCCACCAAATCTGTATTCAAAGGTATGGGGCCGGGGTTGTGGCTCACTGGTAGAGCGCTTGCCTAGCAGGCATGAGGCACTGGGTTCAATCCCTGGCACCACATAAAAATGAACAAATAAAAGAAAAGTATTGTATTCAAAGGTATGAGGTACCTTAGCTGGTCTCCGAATTCCCAATCTCCAAATAAGACTGACTCCTTCTCTGGGTGTTTCCATCTCACTCATGTGTGACTCCTCCCACTGTGATCTGTGTCTAAATGCTGAAAACTCGACCACCCTCAGTATGTCCCATACGCAGAGTGGGAACCCCTGGTCTTAACCTAGAGCCTGCACATAACAGCACCCGTTGCTCTGGGGGCAATAATAGCGTGTCTATGCTACACACCGTTTTAACCCTCAGAGAAGTAATGTCACCTTCCCTGAGTCACACAGCTCATGAGGGTGAGAGCCTGAAATCAGCAGCCCACATCCACTGTGGTGTGTGGTGTGTGGTCTCTGAGTTACCACGTGAGACGCATTCTGTTTGGGCAAGTGGAGGGAGGATTGGTTCTGTAGCAATGAGGAAGGAAACTTATCCTTATCACTTGCGGGTGATGAGGTTTATAATAAGATTGAGGATCTCGGGTGCATGAGCTGAGTTAGAAATGGACGTGGCCTCCCCAGTTCCTTTCATTCAAGCCAAAGGGAGTTGGAGAGAACTGTACCACCCAAGGGTCTGGTTGGGCCCAACACTTGGGAATGACCCCAAGGGCCCAGACTGAACTGGACTCAGTTCAAATCTAGGTAGCTGGTTGACAAGGCCGAGGGCGATTCTGGGTTCACTTATGTGACCTTAATGGGCTCTGAGGTTTTGAGTAACTTGTAAATCAGAAGCAGGGATACAGCAATGTTAGCTTCTCTGCCGACTTTTATTAGCTAGACTAAGCCTAAAGACCACATCTGTGTCCATCCAGCAGCTTGGTGGTTTCAATCAGGTCACAACCTGCTTGTGTTGGCTCTGGAGTCCTCTCATGGCCCTGTGGCTTAGTGCTCTGATCAGGAAGGCAGGCCATGGCCAAGTCCGCAGGAGCCTTCTGTCTCCACCTACCTCTGTGCGAGTCTCCAGGAAATGCTGCCATTAAAGCTTGCTGGTGAGGAAGAGTCTTAGGAGGGACTGGGACCCCCATGTACTGGGGAGGAGCCAGAGGTGAGAGGAGGTGGCAAGGCCCCTGGAGTACTCGGAGCCGGGAGACCCTGGCGCCACTGACTCCTCCCAGATGTCTCCGTTCCCATTACTCAAAACCTAATAATCTTCACCAATTAGTGACCACACCTGACTTTGCGACTACACAGCACCAAGGGTGTTTCCGCTGACTGCAGAAGCCCATCAATCATTCATAGGCGGAACCATGAGCTATACAAATGTGTCAACAGTGACGGTGCCTGATGACCAGCTGCTTTTGTCAACTGGCATCTAGTCACATAATGGGACCAGAATCGTTGCGCTTCTTACAGCTGCTCTACTCCTGCTCCGAAACCATGTCGGCAAAGCCTCATCCTCTGGGGGGCTGTAACTTATCTCAGGGCATCTCAGGCAACAGCTTCATAACTGCTTCACTCTACAGACACTGGCTCGAGTTTTCCACCCCAGAATAGGAGCCCTCACTGCTTTCCACCTCCGATGATACTACAGTGGGTCCCAGTGACAGAAGTCACTCCTATGGAACCACCCCACTCCTGGAAGTCACTTCTGTTGCAACCAGAGCTGAAAAGAACAGGCGAGCTGCACACTGTGGTGCAGGCCTGTGATCCCAGAGCTTTGGGAGGCTGAGACAGAAGGACTGCAAGTTCAAGGCCAGCGTAAGCAACTTAGCAAGATCTTGTCTCAAAAATTGAAAAATAAGAAGGACTGGGGCTGTGGCTCAGTGGAAGAGTGCCCCTAGGTTCAATCCCCAATACGACAGAAAGAAAGAAGGCAGAGAAGAATGAAAGAAAGGTTTAAAAAAAGAGAAAAGAATAGAAATGAAAAGAAAAAAACATATCTGTACTCAAATACAAGGCGGTGTTCGGGGATTTCTTGGCTGCACTGAGGTTTTGCTGTTCAGGCATCTTGCAGTTCCTGGTGCCCCCTTGGAGCCTGTAACTTCCCCAACTCAGCCACTCCGCACCCTATTCCTTCTCTCAATATCATTGGCCAACTGTCTTCAGGGTATTTTAGTAAAAATACCCAAGACAGAGAATTTGATTGGCTCAGCTCATCTTTTAAAGAAAGCCAGCCTACAATTCGTAGCCAGGGCTGATGAGTGGAGAGGCCAGCGTGGGGCCACGTGTCCACCTCCAGTTCAACTGGCTGTGACAGGGATGGAGGGGCCATCAAGAAGTTCAGTCTCCTGAGTTGGACATAAGAAGAGCATGCAAAAGATGGACATCTCTAGAAACTGGATCCCCACTAAACTGTAGGCACGTATACCTGTGCTCACCATTTACAGACGCCGACCACACACACGCAGTCTATCAGCACCCACCTTCAAACATACAAATAGACACACACAGTGCACAGACGACTTACATCTGTTTCACTTAAAATTTTTAAAGATTTTTTTTTAGTTGTCAATGGACCTTTATTTTATTTATTGATATGTGGTGCTGAGAATTGAACCCAGTGCCTCACACATGCTAGGCAAGCTCTCTACCACTGAGCCCCAGCCCCAGCCCCAGCCCACACTTAAAATTTTTGACTTTACAAAGGTGCAAGAGTCAGACATATTCAGCAGAAGCCATACTTGAATTTTGCTCTTTTCCCAGGCAGATATCTTGATCCTAGGCAGCAGCAGTGAGCCACAGCTCCAGCCAGCCACGCCATCATGGTGGTGATCAGCCAGTACTCCAGAATGTACTGTGCTGCTCAGCCGTGATGTGTGGTGGGTTAGGGGTATTCTGTGCTTTTTTTTTTTTGTACTGGGGATTGAACCCAGGGTAATTTATCACTAAACCACAGCCCCAGTCTTTTCAATTTTTTATTTTGAGAAACAGTCTTGTTAAGTTGCTGAGGCTGGCCTCTAACTGGCAATCCTCCCACCTCGACCTCCTGAGCCATTGGGATTAGAGGTGTGTGCCATCACGACCAACTTTCACTGTGTTTTTGTATTATGATATTTTTAACTTAGAGTGGGCTTATTGGGATGTGACCCCATGGTAAGTGGAGCACCACTGTATACCCATACATACACACCCTCATCCACTTGTGCCATGTTCACGACCACCTATACATTACACACACCTGTATGCACACTCGCCCACGTACATACACAGTAGATGTACATCTATGCCCTGCAATGTACTTGCGTTTCTTCATATGCACAGAATTTCACACACACCTGTATGTGTACACAATGTACAGATACCCATAAGCACATACATGCAATGCATGATATCCAACTGTATACACACATCCATGGATAAATGCATGTATACACACACCTGCCCAAACACATTATGTTAGGTTTTCATCACCAAAATACCTGAAAAGGAGAACTTAGAAGAGGAAAGGTTTGCCGGGCACAGTGGCACACACCTGTAATCCCAGCGGCTCAGGAGGCTGAGGTAGGGAGATCATGAGTCAAAGCCAGCCTCAGCAAAAGTGAGGTGCTAAGCAACTCAGTGGGACCCTGATTCTAAATAAAATACAAAATAGGGCTGGGGATATGACTCTGCGGTCGTGTGCCCCTGAGTTCACTCCCTAGTACACCCCCCCCCAAAAAAAAAAGATGAGGAAAAGTTAATTTGGCTTATGGTTTCAGAGGTTCAGTTTGTGGTCAGGCGACTCCATCATTCTGGGCCTGAGGGAGTCAGAGCATCATGGCAGAGGGGCCTAGCGAAGAAAGCTGGTAGGAAGCAGAGAGGGACAGGAGGCTGAGTCAGGGCCAAAATATATAATCCCAAGTCATGTCCCCAGTGACCCACTTCCTTTAGTCGTGCTCCATCTGCCTACAGTCACCACGCAGTGATCCAGTCCAGTTATTAACCCATCCCTAGATTAATCCACTGATTAGGCTGCAGCTCTGGTAATTAGTCCTTTCACTTCCTGCATCGACACAGGAGCCTTGTGGGGACCCCTCATATCCAAACCACAACACGCATGCGCCGGACAGACACACCTGCCTGCACTTGCCCCGCTGTGCACTCGGGAAGCACACACAGGCCCCCCCCCCCCCCCCCCCAGTGCCTGGCTGCGCAGCCACATTCTCGCGCCTGCATCAGGAGCTAACGCGCCGCTTTCCCTTCCTTACAGCTATGGCCAGCACCCCGGGGCCCTTCTCCTTTCCCATGGCACACGTTGTCCTCTTTGTCTTCGTGGCTTCTGCCATCTTTCACCTCCAGCAGCGACTGGCGAGGCTTCAACCCCCAGGGGAGGTGCAGACACCAGCGCCGCAATCCGCAAGAGAGGGGCCCACAGCCCAGCAGCTCCAGGGCATGTGGACCATCAACGCAGTAGGCCGCCTGGGGAACCAGATGGGTCAGTACGCCACGCTGTACGCCCTCGCCAAGCTCAATGGGCGGCCCGCCTACGTCCCCGCGCAGATGCACAGCACGCTGGCCCCCATCTTCAGGATCACGCTGCCCGTCCTGCCCAGCACCACGGCCCGCAGCGTCCCGTGGCAGAACTACCACCTCAACGACTGGATGGAGGAGCAGTACCGCCACATCCCGGGGCGCTACGTCCGCCTCACGGGCTACCCCTGCTCCTGGACCTTCTACCACCACCTGCGCCAGGAGATCCTGCAGGAGTTCAGCCTGCACGAGCACGTGCGCGAGGAGGCCCAGCAGTTCCTCAGGGGTCTGCGGGTGAACGGGAGCCGGCCCAGCACCTTCGTGGGGGTGCACGTGCGCCGGGGGGACTACGTGCGTGTCATGCCGCAGGTGTGGAAGGGCGTGCTGGCCAACAGGGGCTACCTGGAACAGGCCATGCAGCGGTTCCGAGAGCGCTTCAGGTCCCCCGTCTTCGTGGTCACCAGCAACGGCATGGCCTGGTGCCGGCAGAACATCGATGCCTCCCGTGGCGATGTGGTGTTCGCCGGCAACGGCATTGAGGGCTCCCCCGCCAAGGACTTTGCGCTGCTCACACAGTGCAACCACACCATCATGACCATCGGGACCTTCGGGATCTGGGCCGCCTACCTGGCCGGTGGAGAGACCATCTACCTGGCCAACTACACCCTCCCAGACTCGCCCTTCCTCAAAGTCTTCAAGCCAGAGGCAGCCTTCCTGCCAGAGTGGACGGGGATCGCTGCAGACCTGTCCCCGTTACTCAAGCACTAAGGCTAGCCCTTCTCCTCTTCTGGCTCCCCCAAGATCAGTTCCAAGGCAAAAGGAACACAATGTTACAAGCACAGGACCCTTTCCCCTTGTGTGAAGATGCCTTGGGCTGCAAGGGATTTCCCAACGAATGTGTCCAAAGAACGTATCTGTACGTCTGGCAAAATTGTCCAGAGGGACACAGCCCAGTGCTGGTTAACTGTCAGCTCAACTGCACTGTCAGTGACCTCAGCTGTCACTGTCTCTTCTTAGCCCAGTTGCCTCATGCTACACCCCCCCCCACACACACCCCAGAAAAGCTGCCATATATATGGGTGTCACACAAACAACCTCATCCAGAGACAGCAAAAAGAGATCATGCTGGGCACAGTGGGGCACGCCTGTAATACCAGCAGCTTACGAGGCTGAGGCAGGAGGATCATGAGCTCAAAGCCAGCCTCAGCATAAACGAGGCACTAAGCAACTCAGTGAGACCCTGTCTCTAAATAAAATGCAAAATAGGGCTGGGGTGTGGTTCAGTGGCCCTGAGTTCAATCCCTGGTACTGCACCACCCCCCCCCAAATAAAAGAGCTCACCATGAGTCCCTTTTGAAGAGGGAGGGAACTCTCTCTGAGTTCATTTTCCACTACCATAAAGAAATACCTGAGGCTGGATAACTTAATAAAGGTCTAGTGAAGACCTGATGGCAGATGACACCACAGGGACAGAGGGGCAGGTGAGAAGCAGCAATCATATGGCCAGACAGGAAGCCAGAGCAGGGGGAGTACCATATTGTTCTCTCTGTAATAACCTTTTTTTTGCAAGAACTCACTCCAGGTCCCCTAAGAACTACATCAATCCCTTGCGAGGTCAGTGCTTCTAATGACCTAAGGACCTCCCACTAGGCTCCACCTCTTAAAGGTGCACCACCTCCCACATCATCATACTGAGGACCAACCTCCCAAGACATGAAAACTTGGGGGACACCCTCAAAATCATGTTAAAACCATAGTATGTTCCTAAGCCTGCCAGCAACTTACTCCTCAATCTTTTGGGCAAGATTTGTGTCACATGCATATGTGGCCCATTATGAGGCCAATCAAATGGTACCACAATAGTGTGTTCAGCCTCAGATCCTGCAGGTGAGGAGCTCACAAGCTCTTGAGAAGGACATGGCAGTCTGCAGAGAGCTGCGGTGTCATTGCCAAGAATAAACAACAGGGATGCCTGAGCGGTCACGCAGGTTGTTTACTCCACAAAACATCTGGTCAAAGGGGCAAGTGGGACTTAAGTAGTGCCTATGGTCTACTCACCAGGCTGCGTCCCTGGGACTGTATGCTCCCAAACAGCTCCCTTTATTCCTAGCCATCCAGAAGAGGAGCCTTCTCAGTTTGTACAAAAAGCACGATGCCAGCGAGCGGCTGGTGTGCATCAAGAGCAGAAACCCCACCTCTGCAACTCTGACTCTCTACGACCAAGGATGAGCGAGGCTGAGATCCTGGAGACCAGCATGGCTGAGTGAACTGGAGGGATTCCACTCGTTTTTACAGTAAGTGTGTTACACACCTGGCCATGAAGACCCCATAACACTCTTCTTTCTTGGATACATCTGTAATGACCACATATATGATCAAAGAGTAACATTTACTTATTAAAATAAAAATTATTTAGCCACATTATGAACACAGCCATGGCAATTCTGAGGGGGTAGGGTCCTCAAAGAGTTATTATTTGGATATAGTAGGAGCTTCTAAATACATCTTAGGGGTAGACTAAACCCCATTTCAAGCCCGGGTCAAAGGGCAAATTTTGCAACGATTTTATAAATCTTAAGGTATTTCTTCCAGACCACCCACAGATAGGTAGGGAACACTTATTGTGTAAGGAAAAGTGGCCTAGAGGCAGGGGTGCAGTGGAGCTGAACTGCCAGCTGTGTGGAGAAAGGGTACAAGGGACAAGATGGCAGAGAGACCAGTGAGAATAGTGTGATATTCCCACTGTGATGCGATAGGGAACCAGGCTAGTAATGAGGGGGAGCAAAGGGTTCTTTCAGGGGCCCCCAGAGTCCTTAGTATCTGCCACAAGTTCACCTTCCTGAAAGAGACAACCAATGAATGACCTCAGTTGGAGTCAAACATCCACCATGGGCCATTTACCTAAGGTCTCGGAGGCGTCACCTAATAGAAGCACGGGGCTAAATGTGGGCGAGGGACTTCGTTCCAAGAGAAGGTGATGAAGGAGAACAGATGCTCCTTGACTAACAACAGGCTTACTCCTGTTAAAACAAACTGGGTTTGGGGTACCTCAGCCTAGCATGTGTGAGGCTCTGGGGAGGGAGGGAGGGAGGGAAAGCAAGCCAGGAACCCACCTGTAATTCCAGCAGCTCAGGAGGCTGATGCAGGGGATCACGAGTTCAAACCCAGCCTTAGCAAAAGTGAGGAGCTAAGCGACTCAGTGAGACCCTGCCTCTAAATAAAAAATTACAATATAGGGCTGGGGATGTTGCTCAGTGGTTGAGTGCTCCTTTGGTTCAATTCCCAGTACCGCACCCCCTCCCCTACCAAAAAAAAAAAAAAAAAAAAGAAGAAGAAAACAAAAACTGGGACCAGTTAAACTTTAAAAAGTTTGCTTGGGCAAGAAAAAAGTTCTGGAATGGAGCAGAATTCTATGCTCCCCCCAACACACCTGTACAGATTACCTGTATAGCCAGAGAAGAGGAAGGGCCAGACAAGAACAACCTGATTGGCTGCAGTCACATTGCCTTATATGGGCATGTTCTGGCAGCTTTCAGCCTCTGATTGGTTGGAGATTCAGCTGCTATGATTGGCTAAGACTCGGTGCTTGGTTACAGGGACATCCTCTTAGGTTAAGTTACCACAAGCCGGCACCAGAAGTGAGGTGTTAGGCACCAAAAGTGAGGTGGTACTTTAGGACGTATGGAGACCACTTTGGGCCAAACTTTGTCATACAAGTGTGGAGACAGGTGTTGGCCAAACTTAAAAATTTCATAGTCCTAAGAATTTACCCATCATAAGTTGAAAAATTTTAAATCCAAAGTGCTTTCAACACACTTAACCTACCTAGCATCCCAGCTTAGCAAGGGGTATCCTGCAGACTGTCAGTTGTTTACCCTGATAATCGTGGGCTGCAGCTCACCATTGGTGCCCATCACGGTTGACAGAATATGGACCGCATATCACTAGCTGGACGTTATACAGCTTGAATGGTCACTGATCCAGGTGATCCAGGAAAGTCCAATGTAAAAGAACTGAGGCATGGTGCCATGAGATGGGAGAAAGGCAGGCAGATCCAGCACAGAGCCACATATTGGGGAATTACTGAGAGAAGTATGGTCAAGTGCAGCGGCAAGACCAGAAGATCCCCAAGACTTGGGACAGAGGGAGGGGGTTTATATAGTGGTCAAGACATAAGCGACTCATCAAGCCAGAATGGAGCTGGTTTATTCCAAGCTAATGTGAAGGATGTCAAGTAAATTCCTGGTGCTGACCTATGATTCCATTTATATGAAATCTCCAGAGACAAATCCATAGACAGAAAATAAGATTAATGGCCGCCTGGAGCTGAGTAATGGCTGAAGGCCTTGGGTTTCTTTTTGGGGTGATGACACATTCTAAAATTGATTATGGTGATGGATGAGCAACCCTGAGTATACCCAGAGCAACGGAGTGTACACTTTCAGTGGCTGAATTGTCTACTATGTGATTTAAGTCCCAGAAAAGCTGCTGAGTAAAGATTCACCCACCCCAGTGGCCACTGTGATTTTTGGTAGTTGTGTAACCAGCACCTCAATCAAGATATAGAAACGTTCCATCACCCTGAAGAGTATCAGTGCTCCTGGGCAGTCTCCCAACTCCCAGCAGGAGGCAACCACGGATCTGCTTCTGCTGATGTTTTCAATTCAGGGCTATCGTCAATAATATTATCAACATTTGCATACATTATGTAGACATGTTTTCATTTCTCTTGGGGAAATACCTAGAAGCGGTACCATGAGGTCACAGAGAAGAAGTGATTTGTCTAAGGTCCCCAACTAAGAGCCCAAGATTGGATGGTAACTTTTCTGACCCAGGGAGGAGAGGGGCTGACCCTCTAGGGCATGCAGGGGCATGGCTCCCATTCAGTTCTCCTCCCAGAGGTTCAGCCGCTTGTCCCCTCCCTGCCCTGGCTCCCAGGCCCTTATCCCCAGGCTCCTGGTGGAGTGGGAAGCTGTGGAGGGGTTCCCACTAGGGGAGTGGAGAGAAGAAATAAGGTGGACATAAACACTGAACAGGAGTCTGTGGACAGAAGAAATGGAGAGGCATGTGTTTAGCAAAACAGAGAGGAGAGGGGGAAAAGGAGAGAGAAAGGAAGAGGAAAGGAGAAGGTATTGTTCTCCAGTCTTACAGTCCATGTGGACACGTCCTCTTGGGAAGTTAAGTTGGTAATTCTGGTAATTTGGCAAACACATTCTTGTTCCTTTACAAGCTCCAGATAGAAACACCCACCTTCTGTTGAGATCAGAGGGTGGCAGGAGTGTGGCAGAAGATGTTGCTTGGTGTTTGTGAGGATGGCCTGAGGTCTGAGCCTAAGCATCTCCATTTTAAAACTCCAGCTTGAAACCTGCAGTCTCACCAGGCACACCTAAGGGAGCCCTCCAGTAGGGCCCTGAGGCACAAACAAGTCACCTCTCCCCACCCTGACAAACTCGAGTGAAGCCTCTGGCAGGGAAAGGTGAAAAAATCAGGGTGGGGACCACCAGGCCAGATGTTTTAACCCCTGGGTAAATGATGTCACTGAGAAATCCGGTGCTAGCTGATGAGGATTGAAAAGGGGGGGGGGGTCAAAAGCCCCCAAATTTAGTATAAATAATAGAGCATATGAACAGACATTCAGCCAGCCAACACTGATGCACACAGCTGGATGCACATCACTCCTGAGGAGGACCTGGACTGACATCCCATCCCTTGTCATTGCTTCCCTGATCCTCTGCATGGTCCTCACCACTTTCAAACTCTACAGCCACATCTTGACCCTGGTGAGAGCCACAACTTCTCTCTAGGACCACCTCCCCAGCTGGCCATCAGCTCCACCCAGGAGAAGCCAGCCTTGGTTCCCAACCTGATCACCGCGGTCTGAGTGGTGGGCATCTGCTGGACTTAAAGCCTAAGGCCTGGGACTTCTGATCTGATGACACCTGAACTTAGCATGCAGAGGGAATGTCTGTCCTGAGCCTTGCAGGTAGCTGAGGTGCTGTTTGCAGTGCTTAGAACTAATCTAGAACTGATTGCTGTGAATTGACTATGTCTATTGCAGTGCCCAGCATTAAGGATGATCATTTTCTTGTTTAAGAACCTACAGAGTGAAATTGTATTGAGTGATTTGAGTGAGTAAAGCACTGAAAAGGGCAGAACACGTGGACTTTCTTTATTTCTCCCCCTTGACTGCATAAGTCGCACCTTTTGCCCATCGCAACAGGACTCCCCATGGACATCCCACAGGTCCAGCCCTGGCTCTCCTCAGGGCCAGAGGAAGGGACTGAAACGTGGGGTCACAGGTGGTGGCAGGGAATGCTGGACTCAAGCCCACACTCCCACCCAAGCCCAGTCCGCCTTCTGGAGAATCCCTCCGTCATCCTGGCCCTGAGTCTTTGGGGCTGTGGAGGGCCCCCAGTGTACTCTCAGCGCGAGCCTGCCCTCCTCCAGATGCAGGCGAGATGGGGGCTGTGGGTGGGAAGTGAGAGCTGGCCGAGCTGGGTGCCCTCCACTGTAAGAAGGCAGAGACAGAAGGAGGCCATGGATGGGGCAGGATAAAAGGGCAGGAGGGAGCAAAGACAGAGACCACAGCAGGGAACAGGCAGAGGACAGACCAGAGACACAAGAGCTATGGAGAGAATAAGTGTAGGACAGAATGGGACAGTGAGGGACCTCAGCAGTCAGACACAGATGGGGACAGATTGATATGAAAAGGGATACAGTCCGAAGACTCCAGAGAAAGACAGACAGGAAGCCCCGTCATGCCCCTTCCTGGTCTTCCTAGGGCTGCCTGCACCGCTGCCCCTCCCTCCCCGCCCACATCACCAGCTGAGCCAGCCACCCTGATTTCTCCACCTGCCCCCAGTGGCCAGAGGCCAGAGGCCCACGCACCTGCAGGACTTGACCCGCTCTCTTCCTTCAGCAAAGATGAAGGAAGAGAGCAAAGACCCAGGTGGTTCCTCCGCCCAACTCCCCATCCTTCAAGGCTCAATAAAAAGGCCTCATCTCTCCAGGCTGTCTTTTCTGGGGGCCACAGCCCCACAGTCCCCTCCACCACGACCACCCGGACAGCACCCTGCGCGTGAGACTGCAGAAGGCTCTCTGCAGGTCCATGGGCTTTGCCATAGGGGAGGCTGACGTGCTCCGTTTCCCACTCTAAAAGCACAGGCTGTGGGCTCTTCAGTCAAATCCCTGGGCAGTTCCTCCCATCTGTGGGCCCAGGGCCCATCTCGCCTCTCCTCTATCTTCAGCAGTCTCTGCAAAGGGAAGATGACGAATGCTATCTGGCTTGGAGACATGGAAAAGTGCCTCTGCCCAGGCCAAGTCCACATGTCTATTCCCTTCCCTTCATCGCGGATCCCTGATGCCCCCAGAGCTGTTGTACATGGAGGGTCTGGAACAGATCAGCAGCTACTAAAGCTGTTTGCTATGGGTTGGCACGTCCCGCACATCAGGTCCCATTTGTGGTAGTCTCAGTGAACACTTGTCCACCCTGGGCTGTAGGTACAGACATTAGGGAAGTCGGTGGCTCCAAGCCACATCACATGTCCTTGATCTGCTGTTCTTTCCCCCTGCAGTGGAAAGAACTATTGGTGGCTCGCCCAGGTCCTCTCAGACTCTCACCATCTCTGGACGCCCAACCCCCAGCCCTTAATTGTGCCTTTTTTATTTTCAGCTGCTGTGACTCTGGGGCCTTGGTGACCCTGGAGCAACCATCCCTCCTAGGGCCACCAATTGCTAGATAGTAAAAGACACCCCTGTCAGCACCTTCCTTAAGCAACCAGCCAACCCAGAACCCATGTCCCCCCACCTCCTTTAAGGGACTCTTACACCCACCTGCCCACCACCCCAGGGCTAGGTCCCTGGCAACTCAGGACAGCCTCTGAAGGATATGGAGAATAGGCCCGGGGGCAAGTCCCCTATCTGCAGCTGTCTCCTCACCCGCCTTCCTCACCCATCACAGAGAGATGGCTGTGGTAAATTGGAGCTTTTGACATTTAGAAGCCTGAGCCTCAACTGGAGAGAAGGCAGGAAGGGAAAATACAAAAGGACCCCAGGACAATAGGCCCCAGGAACTGCCCTACCTGCCCTCCTGTCCTACTCTAAATGAGCCTGCCAAACCAACTCACCGATGACCTGTGTCTGCTGAACCCTAGAAAACTCAGAACCCTGTTGTAGCATGCTGCCATTTTTCTCCCCCAAAATGCATTCCTCTGTGGCTTAATAAAAGCATCATTAATCCATCGAGGTCTGTCCCCAGTTGGTTATTTTTGCTTACAGCCTTTATGCCCCAAAGTCCACTGAAATGATTCAAACTGGCCAATCCTAAGCCTGAGTACCTTGCCCTTCCTTTGCTCCCAGGGACTCCACAGTGAAGGCTCTTGTCTGTTGTCCCCTCCTCTCCTGCTCTCTAGACCAGCTCTAGGCATCCCCTGGGGTCCTGCATGGTGTCCAGTGTCCCTTTCTTTTGGGACATGGGACTATAACAAACTGTCTTTTGAATGAATGGTGATGCAGTTTTCGCCTGTTGCCTCACCACCTCTGAAATAATAAACTCTATATTTTAACACACTCCTGCTGGAGGCATACCCCATGGCTCTCTTCCCAGGACTGCCTTTGGGCTGAAATTACCTGGAAGTTTATGTCTTCCCTTCCTTACTCCCTCCTGTGACCCCTGACCCATGACTACTGGAGATGGTGCAGTGGCAGGTCTCCAAATATGGCTCCCTATGGGCATACCCCTGATATCCCTGTCTAGCCCCCCACCATATTCAGCCTGAACTGACCTGACTTCCTTTAAGTAGCAGATGTGAGATTGTACCTGTCATTAATGTAGTAGAGTGAAATTGTACCTGTTTCAAGAGACTGGAATATTCTGCAATCTCCCCTTGGAATGCTTGCTCTTCCAGAGTCCCAAGCTACCCCACGGAAAGGGAGAACGCTGATGCTCCATGGTGAATGAGAGTCCCGAAGTCCCCATGGCCCTTCTGGCTACCTCTGCCAAGGCACCAGAGTGCCATCTTAGGTGCCCCTGCCCAGCTGGGCCCCAAGACGACTGTAGCCCTGGCTATAATCATGCAGAGCTGAAGGAATATCCCATGGAGTCCAGTGAATCCATGAAATCGTGAGTGATTTCAGATGGTTACTGCTTTGTGGCTTTAGCAATAGAAAGCACAGACAGGGAGATTCAAAGGCCTAGTTCCATGCACCCCAAGGTGGAAAAGTCTGTAGCTCAATTTATGCTCCAGAACTCCCCAGGGGAAGAGGCTGAAGCTGAGACTTCACCTGAGGGCACACTCTGGCTCCTTTTCTTCCTCTAGTCTGTCTGTCTCCAGTCCCTCAGTATCTCTCCTGGAAAGCATTTCTTAAACAAATCACTGGTGTGGACATCTTGTCTCTGTGCCTCCAACAGAAGCTGACTTCAGACACAACACTTCTGATCCAACTGGAACCCAGGGGTCTGGCTACCCTCTTGTCCCTCCCTACTCTTCCCTGCCCCTTTCCTGCATCCAACAGCATATCCCCCTTCAGCTTTGCCACACAACAGGCATCCATCTGTATGTATCTGTGAGGAAACGGGCATTAAGAACATCCATGAGGTCTCAAAAGGAAGCAGAAAGCAGCTTGTTTGCCTTGGGCAGCAGCAAATGAACCTCCATCCCCAACCACACAACCATAGAGGGGGTAAGGCCCGTAGGAAGGCAAAGTCCAGGCATTCGGCATGTCAGCAGCAGTTAGGGGCCAGATTGGGATTGGGTGTCTGTGGTGGGAGGGGCTCTACTAGTTGTTCCATTTCCCTTCCCGGAGTCTCTTTGCCATCTTCACCCCCACCAGTTCTGGGTCCCTGTAAAACTCCAGAACCCATCACCACGGATCCTCCAGCAGGTCCCAGAGCCGGGTGCCACTGGAGTCAGATAAGTCAGCAGAGAAGATGCTGGGGGCTGGAGGGCCAGAGCCCAGTGGAGGACCCCCACTCAGGGCCTCTAACCAGTCCAAGGAATCCGTGGGGCCTCTGGGAGAGGTGGATGGGGAGTTCGTGGGGGTTGGGAGTGACGAGGAGAAGACAGATGAGAGGCCTTCAGAGTCCGGGGAGGGGGACAGCACGTCGAAGGAGCCAGGAAAATCCAGAGGAATGGGGGGCAGCGGGTCTGCGGGGGAAGGAATGGAGTGTGAGCTTAGGAAGTCATGGATCTGGTTCTGTTCCTCAGCCCATTCTTTCCTCGGACCCAGGAGTGCAGAACCTCAGGCCCCTTCTCCCCCAAACTCAGGAGTTAGGCTCTTACCATCAGGCTCCATCTGGTCCTCCAGGATGTCATCAATGCCCCGATTCGGAAGCAGCTGTGGACGAACAGACGCGGCGTGAATCTGGCATCCCACCCAGAACCTGAGCGGAGACCCACCATCCCAGACCCACTTGATCCGGCACCCTCTCACCTGCGCCCTCCGGATGGCTTCCTGCAGCTCCTCCTCCAGCGTCAGGGGCGCTGAGGAAGCTGTTAGGGCTGTGGCCGGAGGCGGCGGCGGCGGAGGAGGAGGGGGAGGCGGCGGCGGCGGCGGCGGAGGCGGAGCCGGAGCGGCCACTAGGCTCTCGGCCGCTCGTGGAGGAGGTGGCTTGTGAGACGCGGGATTCGACTTGGTCTACAACCACGAAGAGGTAGTTCCCTAAGCCACGCCCACCACGCGTAGCCCCCCCGCAATCCGTGGCTCCACCCCCAGGTCCGGCCCTTCACTCCTGGACCACGCCTTTGGCCTCGCCCCCTGCCCTTTCATTGGCTCCTCCTCACTGAAGATTCTTCCCCCAGTTGCTCTTAGCCACGCCCCCTTGCGCCGGGCTTTCTCTGCTGGGCCAAGCATCTCCCCACAACTTCATTGGTTCCTGAGTTTTCGACCCTCCGCCCCATCTGTTTTGTCTTCTCGTCATTGGCCCACACTCTCATAGTGCCGCCCTCACCGTGCCCTGCCGCCGGGAGGTTCCCAGGGCCTTGGGCCTGAGGCGTGGCCAGGGAGCACCCGCCGCGCCGTCCTCCCGCCGCGGCTTTTGCCGCTCGCGGGGCGGGGCACCGCCGCGCATGCGCTCCAGGAGCATCGACTTGGTCCCGGACACCGGGAGGCCCCGCAGGCGCAGCTGCTGCCGGAGCTCTGAGACCTGGGGAGGGGGCGGGTAGAGTGGGTGCTGGGCGTGCTTGGGCAGCAGGCCGGGAATGGGGAGGACATTTGGGAAACGAGATAGGAAAGATCTGGAACCCTCCAAAAGATGAAACTGGGGACCCAGACTCCTGGATTTCCTTGGGGCAGAGGCTGCGGTTAATCCCACCAAAAGAAAGGACACACCTGGAAAGTTGTCCCCCAAACTCACCGTCAGCTCCTCCAGTTTAAGGGTCTGAAGTTCCAACTTGTGTGGAGGGGGAGAAGGGCTGGGGACTCCTGGTTGGAAGGGAGTGAGGGGAGTGGGCTTCATTCTGGCGATGGTCGTGAGGGAGGAACAGTTTAGAAGGGACAGAGAGAGAAAAGGCATATTAAGGTCCTCATAAACAGGGGCTCTAGAAAATGTAGGAAAGTGACAGCCCAGAATTCTGGATCTCTGAGGAAGCAAGACCATGGGGCTAGATTTCTGTTCGTGGGAGAGGAGGAACTGGGGGTGTGAGTCTGAAAGGAGAAGGACTGGGAGCTGGAGAGTTGGGTCCTGGGGAAGGAGGGGCTCCGGACTGGACCCTGTCATGAGCAGTGGATTTGAGGAAGGATGATGGGATGTGAATTTCTGGGTCCCCAGAGAAGAGAAATGAGGGTCATACCTAGAATGTAGCTGCTGTGAGTTTGTCCCTTCCCACAGAGGTGGCCCCTGGGGACCCAGGGCTGACCTCTCAACTTGGGGGTCTGCCCTGGACCCTTGTCTCGGCTCCGGGGGCATGTACTGGTGGTATGTTAAGTTTCCCCTGGGCTTGGATTCGCTCCAGCGTTGGGAGGTCTTGGAAGACTCCTAAAACAGCAAGTGTGATGTCCCATGCTTCAGCTCAGTTCCTGCCTTCCTGCCCCAGAGCCCACTGCACAGTGGGGTTGGCAGTCACCAAAGAGGAGCAGATGGGGCAGTGGCAAGGAGGACCAAGGCTAGACTCAGAGGGACTTCCTCTCACTCTAGTCAAGACTCACCTTCTTTGGGGACCTCCAAGGACAATATTCCGTCTCAGGGAGCAAGACGCCAGGGCTGAAGAGGAAAGAGGCAGGGACCAAGGGCAAAGCTGGGGCCAGAGCTGGGCCGGAGGCTGAGATCCACGGATCTGAATCTGAGGCTGGAGAGACAGTGAAAGACCTGAGTGGCCTGGAGGCATTTAGCCAGCAAGGAGGAGCAAAGCTGTGGGAAAGGAGGACCCAGCCTCCCTGGGGTGTGGGAGGACAAGCCCTGGCAGCTGGATGCCTGGACTCCTGGATCTAGGGGCCCAGATTTTCACATTCTCAAGAAGGCAGCAAGCTCTGTCACCAAGGGGTGTGTTAGTTGAGGATCACAGATGTCTGGGGTTTTGCTGGGACAGGGGTGGGGGCCTGCACTCCTGGTTCTTGGGGAGACGGAGAAGCTGAGAGCCACAGTCTGACATTCCTATGTGAACGGAATGTGGAGTGGAGTCTGGGAAGCCTGTCTCCTCCAAAGAGCATCTGGAATCATGCATCTGTTGGGGTGGGAAAACTGGAGAGCAGGAAGCAGAGCTCCCAGGGGTGGGATGACCAAGGACCTGGATTCCTGGATCCTTGGGAAAGGACAGGATGGAATTTCAGTGTATCCTGGGTGGGGTATAGGAACCAAGCTACAGGAACCAGTGAGGGACCTTGCATAGCTGTACTCCAGGATGTCCCAGGGAAATGGGGCCACCATCCCCTCCCACTCAGGGCCCACACTTACTGGGGTCCTGATTCCGTCTGTGGATCCGAAGCTGGAGGACTGTGGAAGGAGGAGGGAGGTGGGAGGAGGAAGGCGGGAAGGGAGTGTCCAGGAGCCTGGCTTGGCAGGCGGGTGGGAGTTGCAGTTGTTGGCAGGACACAAGTGCCCAGCCCCCTTACACACCCCTGCAGGCGGGTGGGCAGGCAGCCCGCTCCCTTTCCCGGGCCTCCCGCCTGCTCCCTGCCAGCGCAGTGCCTCGGGCCAGAGCTGCTCTAGGGCTAGGAGCCAGCCAGCCTGCAGGCAGTAGGCAGCCCCACCCCAGCTCCACCTGCCCCTCACGAGTCAGTGCCCACGCCACCCCCAGGAAAATCGCCATCTTGGCAGCCCGGCCCGTTTGCACCTCACCTCCTTTTATCCATGAACCCCACTCTGCAGCGCCAACTTCTTTCTGTGCTCCCCTTTTGCCCTTCCCACAGTCATCCCGTAGTCTGCACACCAACCCTTGAAACGCATCTCTGGGCTCTAGATCTACATATGCCACTTCCGTGTATTTGTAACCTACACACTTCATCCTTGGCTCACTCTGCCTTGGCACCCACCCAGCCACATTGACATTCTTATTTGCACCCTAAGGACATGGCCACTAATTTTGGAGCAAGGCTGTCCCATTGCACAATTCTGCTCTTTGCACATGTGTGTCTTTTTGCACATTTTTGCTCTTCCGTTATTAGTGTCTTTGTACACCCAACCATGTAACCACACTCCCTTGCACTTGGGTGCCCTTTGCCTACTCAGGAATTGACCCCCAGTTCTGCGCATTGCATATCTTGCACTTACCCTGGAATCTAAAACACAACTTTTGACACTTTCAAGGCTCGATAGCTCATTGTCCCCTCACCAAACTCCCACCCTGTCCTCCAAAGTCCCCATTGTGTGCGCATGTCTGCTGAACATACATTTCAGATGAAGCCTTGTTCTTTGCAGTGCCTGATCTGCACACCCACCCCTAGCTGCCCACTCCTCTTTGCTGACCTAGCCATTTGCACACTTAGTGGCCTACCTCAATTCGACCCCTTTGCTGGACACCTTTATGCTGAGTGACCTTTTGCACAGAAAATACATGCCTCACGGGTCCTCCTACCTTCTCCCACCCCAGAGTAGACCCGTTTCCAGAAGCCCAGGACCACTTCCCAAACGGCCTCTCACCAGATCGGAACTTGGAGCGGATGATTTGGGAGCGCTGGGAGGAAGCTGCCAGGGTCATTTCCAAGGCTGGGATGGGGACCTGGACTGGAGAGAGAGCAGGGTTAAAGTGGAGGTCAGGAAGCTGACCCTGTGGGTAGACTTATGAAAAGCTCTGAGGGAGTTAGGGATAGAAGCAGCCTGTAACCCTAACTTCTGGATGTGGAAAGGGCTGGGGCCCCAGACACATAGGTCAGAGGGAGGAGGGCTGGGGCCTGGACTCCTGAGTCTGAGGGAGGAGGGGCTGGGGCCCTAACTCCTAGGTCTGAGGGAGGAGGGGCTGGGAGCCCTGACTCCTAGATCTTGGTAGAGGGAGGACCTGGGTCCTAGGGAGGAGGGCACTGGGAACCACGACCCCTGGGTCTTTGAAGGAGAAGAAGGGATAGTGGCCTGGACCCCTGAATCTTGAAGGGGAAGGAGGTTAAGGGCTGGCACACAATACTCTTGAGGGGACTAGAATTCAATATCCAGGGGAAAGGGGTCTGGGAAATTGAAGAGTGCCTGCAACTTGCACCTGAGAAGGGAATGGGTCGGGATGTCAGCCACCAGGGTCTGTAAGGAAGGGATGGGGACCAGAAAAGTGACAGAAGAGTTAAGGAGAGTCCTTCCCTCCACCCCAGGGGCTTCTCACCAGGTGGGCTCGGAGCAGCTGTGCCCTAAGGCGGGTGGAGTCTGGCGGTCTGGGTTGGAGACTGCAGGCTCCACCCCACCAGCCTGGGAACGCCTTGGAACCCCCTTTCTGGTGCGTGCTGGAAGCCCAAGGAGTGGGCGGAGGAGACGCGAGCTACGCCTGGGACTCTGAGAAAGGGCGGGGACAGGCGCTGACAGAGTCTGGGGCGGGGTTCCTGGGCTCGCTCCTCCTCGTCGTCCTGAGGCTGTGAGGTCGGGCGGGACAGCCGCAGGCAGACAGACGGGAGCAGGTGCCGGGAGAGGGGCGCCGAATGAGCAGCAGTGGCAGGTGGTCGTGTCCCGTCTCTGCCGGCAGGTGCCACCTGTCGCTTTTTTTTCCCCTGACACAGCAGCGGGAGTCAGGTTTAGGGAAGGGGAAAGTTCAAGCCAGAGGGCCGGACCCCTGGTCTAAGGAGTGGGTGGGGGGTCTGCGGGAGGAAGTGCTAGGAACCGAGATAGAGGTGTGGTTCGGTGGTGTGCTTAAAAGTCAGACGGGTTCAGAGCCGGTAAGGGGACCCGGATTCCTAGGTAAGAACGAGAAGGCAACTTTGGACTTTGGGGGTGAGAGGGAGAGACGGCTGGTTCCCAGTGGCAGGATCAAGGGCCTGATATCCCGCAGAGCACACTTGGGACCATGTTCTGAGGTGTGTGGGAGGCCCCAGTGCTCCTGGGTTGGATTACATGAAAAGAGGGCACGCTGAGGCCGCGGCTATAAATACCTCCTCCGACTAGGCAGGAGCCCAACGCTCCAGGCGAGGGCCCTGAGGCCTTAAAAATCACCATCTCTAAGGCCCCGAATCTTAATAAAAGAGGCACTGCCAAAGTCACAGATACATTTATTGCTCCTTGGCACTAACATCCCAAACCCATCTCTCCCCCCCTCCCCCGTCTCATCCTGTTACTACCCCAAAATTCAAACTCCCAGCTTTCCGCGCGGGGACGGGAACTACAACTCCCAGAAAGCTCTTCGTTCAGGCGGTCTCCAGTGAGTAGAAGCCCAAGAATTTTCAAGGTTCGCGCGCTCCTTTGCTATTGGTCTTCAGGGAGGCGAGGCTACGGGAGGTCCGTGGCGGTGATTGGCTGGCAACTCCTGCTGCTCAAGATCCCACAGGAGGCGACGGAGCCTGCGCAGTTCACGGTGCAGGGCGTCGTCTGTCACTGGGCCCGTGAGGCGCAGGCGTGAGCTCCCCAGGGGCAGGATGAGGGGCGGGTGAGAGGAGAAGCTTTCGAAGATGTCGCCTTTGAGGCCAAAGAAGATAGGTTAGAGTCTGAAAATGGGCGTGAGGCGACTGTGCCAGGAAGAGCCGAGACTGAACTACGCCCGAAGAAAAATTCCCAGCAACTGCAGGAGCAGGGTCCGCTTAAAGGCGACTCTGGGATCCAGAGCACAATGGGAGTTGTCGTTGAGACTACAAAGGCCATGGTTGCGTGGGCAACCAGCAGGGGGGTGGCCAGGTTCCTACATCCCCGAGGAAGGCTGGGAATTTAGTCCTAGGGACTCCTGAAGGTTAAGGGACACAGACTCCGAGGAGAGGTGGGTGAGGGGTTGCAGAGGGAGAAAAGAGGGGCTGGGACCTTGAACTCCTGTGCTGGTGAGAAGGGGACTGGGACCAGCCTCTTGGGTCAGAAGAGCGCTGGGGCTAGGGACCCCCACGCCCAAAAGCTGAAAGCCCCAGTGTTTGTATCCCCATTTTCCTCACCTGTGTCCACAGCATCCTGCTCTGCTGGGGGAGGGTCCCAGGCCGGTGGTGGCCCGCGGCCAGGACCCAGCTGGTAGTGGCTAAGCAGATGGTGGAGCTGAGCAGGTGTCAGGGTGGAGTGGTCAGTTCGTAGGCTGCTCCATGAAGCCTGGTGGGAGGACCAGGTGAGAAGTCTATGGTCATTATGGGGCAGCTGAGAAATGGCACATGGAAGGGCCTCCATAAGTGGAGTGGATGTGCATAGTGGAGTCTATTCCATGTGTCCTGGGCACTGTGAAGACCACTTGTCACTGAAGTGATGGTAGGGAAGGGTGTTGCTCTCAGAAACTTTAAAAAATATGATTTGTTTCAGAATAAATAAAGATACAGGAAGAAGGTGGGGAACAAGACTGCTATTCACTTGTATCATTAAAGCTGGCAATGTGTACAGAGGGATTAATTTTTCCATTGTGGCTATTTTTGTATCTGTTTGGCAAATTTTGCACTTGACCTAGCTGGCATTAGAATCATCAGTGTGATTAAAATCAGAGACTATCCAGATTGCCTGGGTTCAAAGATCTCAGCTTGATTACTTACTGATCTTCTGACAAATCACTATGCCTCAGTTTCCTTATCTGTCAAACAACCGTGTAGGGTTGTTATGAAGATGCAATGTGACAAACTGGAAAGTGACTTGGAACACTGCCTGGGGCTTATCAAATGCACTGTCAGTGTTTGATAAAAAATAAATACATGAAATCAAGTGACCTGTTCTACATGATTCTCAGTTTCCTCATCTGAAGAATTGTCTAATAATAACCCATTTTCATGCAGATCTATCAGTATTAAACTAGAATTGTGAAACACAGTGACTGGAATTAAGGTTTTGTTCAGTGGATATTTTAACCAGCACATTCCCTGGTCTCATACCAAACTTCCTGACTCAGCATGGCTGAGGAGGGACCCTGCAAACTATTTTTAAAAAGTTCCACTGGGATTCAGACACAGTCAAATGTGGTTATTGTTGGTGCTGGCTGCCAGCTATCTAAGCAGAGTCTTGGAATGAAAAGGGGTCTCCAGGAGCTCTGAGGGTGAGCTGAATATACAGGGTGGCTGAGAGGGGTTGAAGAGTTAGAGGTTAGGGGTCAGGGATTACCTTAAGCAGGGAGGTGCGGGGCACACAGAGCAGGTTCACAGCAATGGAGAGTTTCCGGAAGAACTCAGTGGCAATGTCACCTAGCCCAGCCCCCTGAAGCCAGTCCAAGACAAGATCTAGGTTGGTTCGGATTTGGACAGCTCGGGACCACTGATAGAAAGGTCGGCCTTGACCTAGGAGGGAAGGTTATGGGAGTAAATGTGGGTGGACTGTGGCCTGCTTCCCAGACCATTCCTGTCCTTGAGCTTGGTCTGTGTCTCTGTTCTCCAGAATATCCAGACATGTGGCCTGTGCTGTGTTGTCTAGCTTGATATGGGTCTGGGATAGGAGCCTCCCCATTCCTGGCTCCCAACCCAACTCTCACCTCGTTCCATCAGTGAGTTGAGAAGGGATGCATTGGAGAAGAAAAACAAGTAGCCGAAAGTCTGAGACACAAGATCTGGATGCAGCTCACACTGGCTGGTCAATTCCAAGGCTGCCTGGAACACGCCCAGTGTAGGTCTCAACCCTGGAGGCATCGCCCCCAGCTCTGCACCAGGCCCAGGCAGATCGGCACCAGCTGTGAAGGGGTTGCTATCCAGGAGAGCAGGCAGTGTTGAATAAAGAGTCTGAGGAAACAGGCAAAAAGAAGTGATTGGATCACATTCCCTGGAAGCTTCAGGTTGGTAGAGCATGGAGATAATGGGCAGCTCTAAAGGCTTCTAGGAGTTGTAGCCCACTCTGCATTCAACACCTGAAGGGACTCTATGAACAAATCCCTACTTCACAGATGGGCTTCTAACATTTATTAAACCTGGAACAAGTCAAGTCTTAAGAAAGACTTTCTAGAAGTTTCTTGGTTATTATAACACCACTTCTCATGCATTTTGGGACTTGTACTTCTCAGTAGATAGCTCAAGAAGGACAAAGAATAGTGGACAAAGAAGCCCCCTTCTTTTATCCAGAATTCCTGAAGGAAAGAAAAAGAATGGAGAGTTAGGAAGTAGCAGTCAGGTGGCAATTAACTGGTAGAAAGTGAGACCAGGCCAAGGACCGGAAATGAGGTCAGATACAGAAATAAAACACCCTCTGCAAGAATGTGCAGGAAGTGAAGCCTCAGAGGAAAGGGCTTCATAGTTACGGCTGTTCAAGGAACTGCTACCTATCCCAAAAGACTCCCTTCTCCTTTTACAGACAGGGAATCAGACCCAGCATAAACCAAAATCCCTGAGAAGTCCAAGAAGCAATATTAAGGTCAAAGATATGGCAGGAGGTGGGGGAGGCAGACCCTGCAGGAAGAGCCCTCAGAGAGAAAAAGGTCTCCAGATTAGAAATGGAAGGGAGTTCAGAGCTACAGCAAGTGAGATCAACAAACACAGGAAATAAGATCCCGATTAAAGATCTTTGGTTTAAAGGACAGGACCTAACACTACTTGAACTATCTTTCTCTCTCCCTGCCAATCTATCTATCTACCTGTCTATAATTTATCAGTAGACCAAAAAAAAAAAAAAAGGGAGCTTGAGAAGATGTAATAGTTATATAACCAGGTAATGAAGCCAGACTGTCAAGAGGCAATAATCGCAGACAGGAAGAGAAGCCAGAAAGGCAGGAAGTGATGTCACAGCAACAAAGAACTGGAATGAGATGGGAAGTGATGTCATAGGAGAAGGAAATTTTAAGCCAACCAGGAAATGACATCAGAGCAACACAATGAAGTTTTATCAGAAAATGATGCTGTCAAATTGGAAGTAGGGGCAAAGCCAACCTTGGTGAGGTAGTAGACAGACTGCTGGAAGGTACACATGATGACCTCATCCAGGAGGGCCATGGCCTCATCACATAATTCCAAGTCATTGCAGAGCTGTGGGTCTGAGGATAGACCTAAGGGTGAGAGGGAGAACCACAGGCTGGCAGCCAGGAGCCCAGGGCCCCAGATTCAGGAAAAAGGGCTTGGAAAAGCCTAAGCTTGGGTAAGAGCTCACCCTCCTGGTCGGCCTCCTTCTCCATTTCCAGCACCTTCTCCTGCACAAAGCTCAGCAGCTCAGTGGTGTTGGCCATCCACAGCATGAGTGGCCGCAGCTCCACAGATACAGCCTCTGGAGTCAGGGGCACTTCGGGGATCCCCTCAGGGTGGCTGAGGAAAGGGGAAGGAACCTGTGATCCCTGCTCAACCCCCATAATAGTCCAAACCTCAAGATTTGGGCCTAAGTTGAGGACCAAGCCCACGCCCCATTTCACAGCCAGAAATGTTGAGTCCCAAGGAGGAACAGAAACTTGCACTAAGACATGTATGGAATAAATGCAGAACTAGATGCAAATCCCAACTCTTGCATCCCTCTGGATCTTTGTGCTTGGAATTTCTCTTACTTCTCTGGCTGACGGTCTCCAATTTCCTTAATTTTTTCCTGCAGAACAGTGAGATCAGAATTAGGGGAGAGGGTCAGGAGAGAAGGTATCTTGAGTTAATGTCCTGGTTTTTCTAGAAGCCTATTTAGGACAGAGACTCCCCACTTTGCAGATGTACTCTAATCCCTAAGCCTCACAGTTAGGTAAGCATTCTGCCACGGGAGTTACCTCTCCAGCCCTTGTTACTTATTTTTTGAGACAGGGTCTCACTAAGTTGCCCAGGTTGTCCTCTAACTCGTGATCCTCCTCACTGGTCCCTCTTTTTAAAGATAACAAGAGGCAGGGGCTGGGATTGTGGCTCAGTGGCAGAGCACTTGCCTGGCATGTGTGAGGCACTGGGTTTCATTCTCAGCCCCACATATGTATAAATAAAAATAAAGTTCTATCAACAATTAAAAAAAATACATGTTTTTAAAAAAGTAACAAGAGGTGATGGTGGTGATGAATGAGTGGTCTGTTGCCCTTGGGGCCTCTTCTGCTCAAATTCTGTTTCTTCTTAACCACAAAGAACTCCATAAACCCTCCCTCTAACAAGCCTCTAGTTCAATAGGATGGAACCTTTCTTCCACTCTGACCTATTTCTTTCTGGGGCTCCCATATGTAGGTCCAACCAACCTATCCTCCAATAATGGTCTCTCTTGCAACTGCTGCAAGGTCCCAGCCCAGTGGGTTGCCCACCGAACTTCTTATAATGGTCTCTTCAAATTCTCGGCCCCGCCCTATTTACCAGAATGACTTATTCCAGGATCCCACAGCTCCAAAGGTAGGCACTACCACCTCTTCTATAAATCCAAAACTTCGGTGAGTGGGACCACTTACTACATCGCCCAAGCCCTTCCTGAGGCATCATGGGAAACATACTTTCTTCTCACCCTTGTCCCTAACTGAGTAGACTTGGGCAGCAGGTGGGGCTGGATGGCGGTTGGGGGTGCTCACCCAGACGGCCTCCTTGATGAGCCTGGCGAGGCGGCCCAGCAGGCGCGGTAGGTGGCCCAGCTCCAGCTCTCGGGCCGAGTGCTGCACGCATAGCGCCAGCAGCGTGGCAGGCCCCAGCGGTGGCAGGTCTCCCGCTCCAGAGGCCGCTGTCCGCACGATCTCGCCCAGCAGTGCTTCCTCCTCGCGAGGTCGGAAACGCAGGACCGGCTCCCGGCCGTCCAGGTAAGCGGCCAGCGCCTCCCCACGCTCTTGCAGACCGCGGCCGCACAAACGGCAGGAGAAGGCCCAGCCGGGGCCTGGGGGTGTGGCCCCGGGACGAGCAGGAAGCCAGGGGGGTCTTGCCGGCCCAGAACCCCCAGTGCGGGGGTCCTTGTACATGAACAGGAAGTGCTCGCCCAGCCCTAGCAGGTCACCTGGGTGCAGCTCGGCCTCCCGCAGCAGAAGACACCCGTTGTGCATAACCGGAGCTCCACGGGAAGGGCGCACCATGGCTGGGGGCTCAGGGCCCGCACGAACTGTGCAGTGGCGTGGCAGTATGTCAGGGGCATTGAGGAAAGTGTCCACGTATGGGCCCGGGGACCCGCAGCGGGATGAGGAGGTCCCGCCTCTGCCAAAAACGTGTTGCTCCCTTGTCATGACATACACCACAAAGTCCTAGAGAAAAAGTAAAGACAACAAATCCAATTCCCTTCCCAATGGGTGCTTCCAAACAGTCTCTATCCCAACATCAATACTCCCATATCCCACCTACTTTTTTTGGACTGGCTCTAGCTCAGCGGTTCCTTCGACAGAAAACTTACAACCACCTACTTTTTAAATGAACACTTCCAAGATCGACCAGGACCCAGAGGACTAACACTCCACTTTCTTTTGAAAGAGCTTTCTATGGGAGATGCTACCATGATGCACATCCCCACAACTCTATACTTACAGAAGAAAGCCCCAACTTTGTCACTCCCTCAAAGAACAGATGGTCAGAGGTGATAAATCACCAATGGACTCTGATTTTCTCAACAATTCTGAATGAATTCTTCCCCACCTAAAGTGGACTCTACCAAAACATCCAGCCAAGGAATGAGTGCTTCCAAGGACACCCGTCACCCCTACTAAAATGGACTATCCCCTACCTTCATCCTCAAAGAATGGACCACTCCAACCTTCCTCCATTTCCATACCCCTGGCCCCACTTGTTCTTAATTCCACTCCAGTGATGGAGCCTTACAGATGTTTCCCCTTCTACTAATAGTCATTCTCAATGTCCCAAAGGAATGAGATCTTTTAAAAGACCCCCTTAAACCAATGTTCTTCCATTAGCTAGGACTCATGAAGGTGCATTTCCTAGGTGACCCCTTTCTACAGTGCATTCTCTCGATTATTCCCATCCCTTGACAAGGAAACCTGCTCCAACAATGGACTCCTCTATTTGCCCCCACTCATGTGTAGGCGGACTCCAAAGACACACCCACAACATCAACAGAGGTTCTCACTATGCCCCTCCCTTCAGGGGACACCTGCTAGAGATTTCCATACAGTGGCTCTTCTGGTAATCATGTTTTCAAACACCTGCCTCAAGGAGAGAGTTTCCTATTTCATCCACTCCCCAAAAAGATGCATTCCAAAGAACCCTTCTTAAAAAGGTGCTCTTGTCTCCATTCTGTAAAAATGGAAGCAGTGTGTCGCCTTTCTAAAATAAACCTAAGACTGTGTGCATGAATGAATGTGTACTAATCCCACTGATATGTACAATGCACAGATGAAAATACTCTCAAGTTCTCCCATTGTCACCCAAATGTGTAAATGCACAGAAGTGCCAGCACCCCCTGCCTGCATCCATAGTGGTCAAACATCCCAGTGAAAACCATCACCTTTTACAAATGGGTTCATCCACTCCCCCACCAAAGAAATACAGGCTTTTCTACATTAAGTCCCCAGACACTAGTCAGGGACGTCCCTGCCCCAGCACATGCACTCTCCTGTCGTCCTCCCTCAAGAAATGATGTCTGCATGGGGTCTCCTTCCTGCAATGGACTCTCCTTTGAAAAGACACAGCTTGCCCTCAACTTTCAGTGACAGGACCATGCCCTATTTGTGCCTCCAGTGTAATCTTGTCAGCCATCTCCCCTCCGCCTCCTCCACACTCACTCTCTGCAACCTGGCTGTGCTTTTGCCTACCAGAGGACCTGAGGCTACCTCAACCAGAGGAATTCTGAGAACTATAGGTTTATCACTCTCCAATGACAGGGGGGACATAGGGCTCTGGGTGGTTGGGGAGGCGATGCTCACCTGGGCATCCTGATAGCCCTGGAGCAGTAGAAAGTAGGGGCGATTGCTGGGGGCCTGGATGAGGCACTGAGTCAACTGATCAAAATCCCCAGGGTCTGCAGGTACTATTTGGGTATCAGCTGCCCCTGGGGCCATGCTAAGTGCTTGCTGCCTGCGTTCCTGCTGCCGCCTTCTCCGACCCTGCAGGCTCAGCTCTGACACACTGCGCCGTAAGGACAAGTTCTCCGAGCGTTCCTTGCCCCCAGATCCAGCGGGGACCCCAGATCCAGACCCAGGACCAGGACTGGCCAGTGCGGCCCCACCAGAAGCTGCACGGGAGCGATTCTTCTGTGGCCGCCACGAGGGGGCGCCGGTGCCTGCGGGGGGTGGGGAGAGAGTGCCTGAGAGTAGAAAGACCAGGGAGAGAGACCTGAGATCATCTATCACTCCCTGAGTGCCTTGTCCCTTGGTGCACATGGCAGCATGCATGCCAGGTTGCCTGTGGCATGTGCTATTTCACCTTTGAGGTCGCCTCCTGCTTCAGGATCCATATAACTGTCCTTGGCCTCTCTGAACACCTCTTCCTCTATCCTCTTTCTTTCCCCTGCGCCTACACTTGGCAGTTAAGGGAGCCTAAGGCTAAGGATCCAAGGCCCGCTGCCAGTCTTCACCCCACCTAGAGGCACAGGTTCCTCTCCCTCCTAGGCTCTGCCCACATAGGCCCTGACCCTCAAGAACCGCCTCAGCCTACTTCCCAGAGCTGTTTCCTGCCACACAGACCCACAAGCAGGTGCCACCACGCCTCACCAGGCCCAACACCTCAGGCTCAGGCCTACTCAGTTCCTCAGACTCCACCCTGGCCCCGCAGGCCCACCCACGGCTCTGCACAGCCCTCCAGGACATTGTCCTGGCCTGTTCCTCATCTCCTAGTTCTCTCCAACTTCGATTTTCCCCTAACACTGGCCGAATCCCTGGGAATTCGCTAGGCTCTGGCGCTTCCCACAAGCTGCTGAGCTGCCAGAACCCACCGACACCCCGCTGGGGAGCTACCACTGCTTTGGCCACCTACACATTCAGCCTCCTGCAAGGCAGCCTGGAATGCCTCCTAAAGGCCCTGACTCCATCCCGAGACACTCTGGGACACCTCCAACCACTGCCACCAACCGGGCCAGCCCCACGCGAATTCAAGCACCACTCTGTAGGTCCTGGGAAACCAGCAGGTCCCGCCCAGCGCTCAGATGCTGCAGCCCCGCCTTCTCCCAGTCTAAGTCCCCGCCCCGGCCGGATCCTCCACCAATCACCTCACAGCTCGCTCCTCGCTTGGCCCGCCCACGCCCTCAGAGCTGCCCCAGAGCCGTGCCCACAGCCCGCGCCAATCCGGCCTTTAAGGACTGCTCCTCTTAGGCTCTGTGGGCCCTGGGGGCCCCAAACCCTGTCCAGCCCCCCAGGTCCGCGCGCTGGCTCACCGTCGCTGTCCGCGGCCCCGAAGGCCTCCTGCTCCAGGCGGCGCGCCTCCTCGCGGCCGCGCAGCTCGAATCGCCGCGCCCAGCCGGGCCGCGCCCGCCACAGCTCCTGCACCAGCAGTGGGCGCTCCGAGTCGCCCAGCACGCGCAGGTGCTCCGCCTGCCACTCGCCGCTGCCCATGCCGGCCGTGGCCGGTCGGCCCAGCGCGTCGCACAGCGCGAAGGCGTCTACGCTGCTGCTCTCGCCAGGGCCGCTGCCGGGGCTGCTGGCCAGCCCATAGCGCTCCAGCGCTTCAGCCACCAGCTCCCGCGCTGTGGAGCGCGCCGTAGCCAGCACACTCTTATAGTTGGCACCCGACGTCAAGCCCGCGCCAAAGATCTTTAGGACCCCCGGGGGCGCAGTGGCGCGGGACGCCAAAGGGGGTTCCGGGGCCACGCCCGCTGCCAATTCTGGCAGCTTCTTCTCGCTGGCCCAGCGCTGCGCGCCCCCTGGAGTCCCGGGTCCTCCAGCGCCGCCAGATCCGGTGGTCCCGGTCCCCGAACCCCGGAAGAGCTGAGAGATGCGCTTGGCGCGGCTCCCCGAGGCTCCCCCCGCCGCTTTCACCGCGCCCACTCGCCGCAGTTCCACGTGCGGCGGGGGCGGGGGCAGCGGCTCGCTGCTGCGGCTCCCCGTGTCGGAAGACGAAGACCTGGGAGCCACCCGTGAACAGAGACGCAGGAGAGTCACCCAGAAAAGCAAGCAAACACGGAGATGGCAGCCGAGCGGGAGAAAGGAAGCATACAAATACAGAGACAGAGACAGAGACCCAGAGAGAGACCCAGAGAGGGAAAGGAGCAGAGAAGGACAGAAAAGACAGAAACCCAGGGACGACCGATATGGGTGGTGGGAAGAGGTCAGAGGAGAGAGAGAGAGTTCAAATAAATAAATAAAGGCGACTCCTGGAAGCCATTTCCAAGAGGTGATCAGGGAGATGAGGAAGGAAGGTGAATCAAACCGAGGGCCTGTGTGGTCCATCCCTCCCCTGTGTGGGCCCTCAGCCCACTTCTCCCCACAATGGGCCCAGATAAGGCAGTATCCAACTTCCTGCTCTCATCCCCCAGGCTCCCTTGCCCATTCAGGACTGAAACCAAAGCCAGGTCTCTCAGGGTCTGTCGCAAGAAGCAATGCATGGAGCTGGGCCCAAAGCAGGGACAGAAGGAAGGCAGGTGGGGCGGGGCAGGTGTCCCACTTCCATGGCTACTCACTTGACAGAGGCAGCGCTGGGCCAACGCCGCCCCAGCTTGGCCAGCTGCTTCCGGGGGGAATTGATCCACAGGCCCACAGGGAGATGAAGCTTTCCAAAGCGGGGGCTTCCGCCCTCCTTCCTTTCACCAGATAGCATGGCCCTAAGGGAAGGTGGGTAAGACACAAATCCCAAATAGGCTGAATGGTAGGCACGGGGTGTTGGGAACCTAGGAGAGGAATGGGGCCCTGGATCCCAGGCCCAGGAGGACAGATGGCGGCAGAGGAACTCCTAGGTCCCTGGCTCTCACCTTTTGCAGGTCCGGCAGCACCCGGAGGGCCTGGGTCTGTCGGCCTGCCGTTTGGTCCCGATGCCTCTGCTTTTGAAAAGGCTTTGCCTATGTCCCAGCTCCCGGCACTGGGTGGGGGACAGGAAAAGGCAAAAGGAAACCCGGCAGGAAGAGCTGGGAGGGGGCGTCCTGTGAGGAGACCAGGCCTGGGGGAGGAGATCTGAGAGTAGGCCCTGCCTTATTTCTTGATTCTGGAATTATATTACAGTCCGTAGTTCCCCTCCACCAGAACTCATGGGTCCCAGGATCCACACCCTCCTCCCTGAGGCAGGAGCCCATCTCTAGTTCTCGCCTCTCAGGGAACCCCAAGTATGCATCGGTCCAGAGGAGTGAGTCAGATACTTAGACAATAAGACACGTATTTAATTCTTCCCCAAGTCTGAAGCCCTTTTCTTTGGGTGCTTAGAAGCTCTATTGGTTGTCAACACTGAGCATTTAGGACTTTGATTTAGCTTTCCACGTTCTTCAGTAAAGTCGCCTGAATGAGGTTACAGAATACCAATAATGGAGCAGAGTTAGGTTGGTGGCAGTCTCAGCCCCCACACAAATCTGTCCTTATTCTGGCAATGTCAAAGCCTCACCTTCCTAGGTATGCCTTACCCCCAATGGAAGCCCCACCCACAAAGGAAAACTTGCAGGGGCTCCCTAACGAGCTCCTGTATTGGGCAGTAGGAAACCTAGTCCCTCACCCAAGCCCACTTGTCCTCTGTGGATAATTTACCTGACACCCAGGGCTGCTATCAGGGCTATAGAGGAGCAGATCAGTAGCCCAAAGAGAGGGCCCTGCAGCATACTCTTGGCATGTGATGGCTGGGAGGTCTCAGATGATGACTCCAAACCTGCTGAATTTGGGGGTACTGAGGTCTCCTCAAGTGGGGCCATGTCCCTCAGGAGTGGGGCCGTCTCACCCTCAAGCAGGGCTGTCTTACCTTGGGCTGTCTCACCCGGGACAGGGGCTATCACATCCTGGAGTGAGGCTGTCACATTCTGGCCAGGTGGAGCTGTCACATGTTCACCTGGGGCCGCCTCACCTTCTCCTGGGGCCGCCTCACCTTCTCCTGGGGCCGTCTCACCTTCACCTGGGGCTGTTTCCCCCTGAAATGGTGTCATCTCACCCTGGACTGGTGAGCCCGTCTCACTGGGCAGTGGGGCCATCTCATCCAGGCCAGATGGGGCCACCTCGCCCTGGACAGTCTCACCCTGGACTGGAGAGGATGCCTCACTTTGGACGGTTGTGCCCATCTCACCTTGGAGTGGGGCCGTCTCATCCTGGACTGTTGGGCCCTTCATAGACTCGAATGTTGTGCCCGACTCACCTTGGAATGAGGCCATCTCACCCTGGACTGTTGGGCCCGTCATAGACTGGACTGTTGTGCCTGGCTCACCTTGTAATGAGGCTGTCTCACCCTGGACTGTTGGACCCATAGTAGCTTGGACTGTTGTGCCCGTCCCACCCTGGACTGATGAGCTCGTCTCAGCCTGGAGTGGGGCCGTCTCAACCTGGAGTGGGGCCGTCTCAACCTGGAGTGGGGCCGTCTCAGACTGGAATTCTGAGGCTGTCTCACCCCCAGTCTCTAAGTCTGTTGTTGATGTCTCCTCTGTAGAATTTTGGGGCAAAACTGACAGAGGAGGGCAATGAGCTGTCCTGGCAGGAAGTGAAAGCAAGCCCTCCCCAACACCCAAACTGTCTAGAGAAACACCCTAGGGAACCTAGCCCCAGCTGACAGAATCCATAACCCAGGCAATAAGCCACACCTCCATGGCATGAAACCTCAACCCAACCTGAAGGGAAGCCTCCACAGCTGCCCTGCAACACCCTGGGCCCTGAATGCTCCACTTCTCTAACACCCAAGACTGACCTGTGACGAGATAATGAAAGATCGTGGCTGGGCCAGAGCTCACCGAACCCAGTTCACAGCGGTAGGAACCAGAATTATCTGGATTCACTGAAGGAATGGTCAGCATGGGGTTCTTTCCCTTATACAGCAACTTCTCAGAACCATCCTCTGTAATCTACAAGCAAGATCAAGGGCATCACAGGGTCCTGGGGAATGTCAGGAATTGGGGGAATAGAGGGCTGAGGAGAACTTAGGACTTCAGTGCAGGGAGACAGGAGTGCAGAGCATCAGTGAGCAGGGTTTGGGGTGCCTGGGAGTCAACAGTGACCTCACCTAATAGGCCATGAGGATTGGGTGCAGGCCAGGGCATCCAGGGGCCAAGGGCTCATACCCACCTGAGGGACTTGGGGTTTAAGGGTTAAAGGAGTTGGAAGGGCCTCACCCTGTAAAACTGGTAGTCTGTGAGGCCTACAGAAAGAGGATGCCACTCGAATAGACAGTTCAAGGTCAGGTTTTCCTTTTCATGGACCTTCACCAGGCGCTCTGATGATGGGGAATGACTGTGAGATGCTTCCTCTGGGGTCACTGACCTCCCCAAACAGTCTCATATTGGTTGGGACCAGGCCCTTCCCTGTCTCCTGTCTGCATTCTGAGCTCTCTGGACTGTCCCTCCTCTGGCCCCATCCCTCTCCCACCAACCCCTCCAGTCAGGTCCCATACTCACGCCCACAGTCCAGGGACTTCCAGCAAATATAAACCCCCAAGTTACAATCTGGACACCATAACAGACGCTGCATCATCATACCTGAAGGGGCAAGGTCAAGGCTGTATTCACCCACTAAGGTAGGTCTGAAAGAGAGGGCAAGGCAAAGGACTGAAGGGCTGGGGGCTATTGGGCCAAATCCCTAGGAGGTCATCCCTCCAAGGTTAGTAAAGGGTCCAAACGGAATACACCTGCTAATCCAAGTCAGAGAATGGTGGCCGGAGACCCAGGAACCTCTCAGATGCTGCGAATGTGCATCCAAAAGGGGGAGGGAGAGTAGTGGGTATCATGGGCCATGATGAGGGTAGAAGAATAGCTTCTGCTGTCTGCACTCACCACATTTGTTGGGACAATAATCTGCCTCAGAAAGAAAAGAGAGGGAGAAAAGAATCAGACTTTTAAATGAAGAAGGGTGGGAGAGGGGCTGGGGAAGAGCTGAGGCGTGGGTTCTTGTGTTCCCAGGGGAAGGGCCTGAGAAGTCCCCCCCCCCGCCCCCACCAGGGGTCAACAGGAGGAGGGGACTGAGGAAGCCTGGAGATGCAGGGGGCTGGAGAGAGGGGCTCAAGTGGGAAGGGGAATGGAGTAGGCCAGGCCAGGGCTCCCATCTTCCCTCACCTTTCTTCTGGAACTGAGCAGCATACTGGGCAAATTTGCCCTTTTCCTTCTCCAACATCTGGTATAGCTGCTTCACAAATTGGTCCCCTGGGAGGAAGCAGGGTGGTGCTGAGTGCTCTCCTTGCCACAGGCAGCAGGTGCAGGATCAGACACAGTCTACCTAGGCAGGCATTTCACTACTGGGTTGTTGCTGGGGTGGGACAGACTCTTCTGGATTCAAGGGATCCTCCTTCTTCAGAGCACCGTGGACTATGGGGCTCGAGCTACCTGGAGGGCTGGCATTCCCCTTTCTGCCTTCTCAGGAAGGGGTACAGAAATCAAGTACTTCACACAGTGCCAGTCACTGGGCTAAGCAATGCACAGGTATCAACCCATCTAATCCTCCCAGGAGCTGAGGGAGGAGGGCACTGTGATGCTGTCCAGTATAGAGCTGAGGAAACTGCCCAGTTTCTTGCTCAGGGCCACATGAGTAGGAAGTGGCAGAGCCAGAATTTGAACCTAGGAAATCCTGCATCACACCTGTAGAGAGGCAACACTGATAGTAATAGATTCAGGACCCCCCTCCCAGCTCTTCAGTGCATTAACCTTTTACATTACTGTCTGTGATGCGTTTCAGCTCCTTCAGCAAACTCCGAGATGCCTTTTCCAGTGTGCTGTTATCTGTGAGTGGATATAGAACCCCATGTTCCACCTTTGCTGTCTTAGATTTTCTTTGTACAAAATAGAATAGTCATGAGTCCGCCAAACAAGCCTAGAACTAGTTAAGGAACCAACTGCACCCTTACTTTCAAAGAGTTGTTTTATTACATAAAATTGCTAGATAAGGGGCAGAAAAATAATATTTGCTAGCTGCCAGGAGGTCTGGAATCTGCATCCCAGCCTTTTCATTCCCAAGTTCAGGACTCAGCCCCTTCACTCCCCAACCCCTGTCACCTGCAATCCTGGACCCTGTCCATATAATCCCTAGGACTTCAACTCTGTCTTGCCCTCACCTATGGCCCCCAAAAAGGAACCATCCTTCATCGGAAGATCCTTGAATTCCACTATGATCTGCTCTGCTCTTTCCATCACTGTTTTGTGACTCTTGATATCCAGGTGTTCAGGTAGGTAATTCTCTTTCAAGGACTTTAGTGCTGTCAAGACTGCCTGGTCACATATTACACAACAGTCTGCAGGAAGCAGGCAGCTGGCCAGTGCAGCCAATGGGAGGGCAAAACACAGCCCCATTGAGCCAGAGCACTCAGTAGAGGAAACACCAGGAGGGTCCTCTCACCCAGGTCAAGAGCAGGTGGTGCTAAATGGAGAGAAATCAAAGCCTGTCTTAGAGATGCTCCCCAGGACCTCACATCCTCAGTCTCCCCCATGGGAAAGGAGGATGTTCAGGAAATCTCCAAACCAAGAAGACATGTGTCCTTCATCAAATAACTTGAGTGTGAAATTAATCCCCAATCCACAAAGCCCCAGATTGGGGGTCTTCATTGCATCCTGACATCAGAACACTCTCAACCGTTCCCCACATCAGGACCCAAGATCCCCAACCCGTGCAGATTCTCCAAGCTCCCAATCCATGGGATCCACAGCTCCTGCCCCTGCCCAAATTAATGTGATCCTCAACTCCAAACCTTAAGTGTATCAACCCTCACATACACAAAGTCCCCAAACCCTGTTGCACCTCAAGCTGAAAAGTCCTTGTCCAGCTCAAATGAACTCTCCCGCAGGTTCTCAAAACTCCCTCAAGACCAAAGTACACTCCAGATCCCTTACCCTGGGGACCCCACGAATGTATGCAAGACTCCCAGCCACCCTCCTGTCCCTCCTGTCCACCCTTGCCCAAGGCTAAGACCTCTTATTTTCAGGGTGCACCTTCTCAGGAAACGGAGCCCCAAAGCGCCCTAAACGCGAGGCACCCTAACTAACTAGCCCCTCTCCGACCTTGATCCTTGACTTGTGCCCTCAAACCCAGGATTCGCTCAGGATCCCATTCAGACTGTGAGGAACCCGGTGCCGCGTCCTTCTGCCTTAATATTTCCCACGACTGTAACTCAGGTTTTGTGAGGGACAGTTTGGCTGCGTGAAGTCGAGAGCTTTTCCAAGGGGATATGTGTCACGGAAGGTCCCGTTTCCACCAGGAACTCCTGGCAAGTCCCCTTTGGAGATCGCAACTCCAAAAAAGTACTTCCTAGGGCTTTCTTTGGCCCCGCCCAGAATCTCAACTCTGCTTCTGATTGGGCCGCAACAAAGGGAGACCCGCCTACTTCTCAATGACGTCACAGGGGCGTGACCTTTACCTAGACCTTTATTCCAGCATCCACCCTAGGGAAGTGCATCTGCAGGCTCTGGCTTTCAGAGCCCGGGTCCACGCTTCTGGCCTTCAGTGTCCTCCCTTCCTTGGTCCTGGGGACCCGGATTCCGGCTTGGTGCCGCTGACAGCCTCAGATGTGGGGAGCTGGCCATTTCTAGCCTAGGACTAGCACTGCCTGAAAGCCCTGGGGTCTTTTTCTCTTCTGTGACTGGCGCCCCCAGGTTTATGGGAATTGAAGTCATGATGATACTCTTTGCTCACTCAAATTCCATCTTCTCTGGGGAATGAAAACCCAGATCACAATGGCGTGGAAGATCTGAGGCCCACTTATGAGGGTGCTAGAGTAAAATATGGAAGCTCCTGCCCTTGGGTTCCCCAAAGGCTCTGTCACATGTCTGCATGATTCAGAGCACCAGAAACACAGGAACAACTCACACAATTTCAGTAGCGAACAGATGCTTGTTTTGAGTGAAAATAGACCAGTATCACGTTCCTCATGATTAAAATACTCAGGGACTCTACAGGTGAAGTGGGCTCCAGGAAATAACCACACAAGAGACAGAGATACCTTTTTCTTTGGGGTCCTTTGATGGCTCCTCTGACCTTAAGGGTCCACAGAAAGAGAGAGAGAGCAGGTGCGTGCTGAACCCTTTTATTCAGGAGAAGCCATTCAGATGAGGCAAGGGGTCAAGTTTAGAGGGTTGAATCTAGTTTCCTGATGTCTGTTGTCAGCAGGTCGACTGACATCTAGAAGGCCACACCCAAAGGCAGAGCAAGAGAAGGGAACACACAAAGGGCGTTTCCATGGAACATTCTATCCCAAACAGGGCAAAGGGATAGTATTACAAAGGTATAGGTGAGTATAGCTCCTGAAGACATGCCTTCTACTTCCTGGGCTGGGACAATGCCCAAGTCACCATAAAACGTAGTGATTGGTCAGAGCCTCTTGCTTCAGGATGGAAGGTGTGGGTCATTCAGAGTGGCTCCCCGCAGAGGAGGTTACCCCTCCCTCACACAATGCACTATAATTGTAACATGTAAGCATCTCCGGGGACCCCCCACACACACACACACCCTAATCAAGCTTCCCTTATCAGAAAGGTTTTCACAAAGAGCGTCAATAGGAATTCATAGGAGTTATGTAGTGAGATCAACATAGTTTGAGGCTTCCTCCTCTTATAATAATGGCAGGTTTGCAGACAAAATTTGTGAAACCTCTGTCAAGCCTAAGAATATGGGACAAAGAGTAATTGCTATATGTGTACCCACTGTCACATAACCACTCCACTGAGGACAAATCTAAAAGAATTTCCAGACTCGTGATCCAAAGATTTTTAGGCATTAGCCCCTCTGGACAGTTGCAGGCTAAACAAACCTCCTTCCCGAAAATTCCTCAGGTGTCTAGCCTCATCTGTCCTACATCATGAGTAGGCAGCATGCCTCAGAATATCCTGAGTATTGAAACTCTCTGAGCTTCCATCTTTTCTCTAGTGTTTTAAACACACACACACATACACACACATACACACACACACACACACACTCTGCCAAGAAGCCACAGAGACAAGGGTTGGGAATGTAGACTTTTAATTCATACCTTCAACTCTATCATCTGTGGCAACTACATGGTAATGGTACCTTGAAAATCCCTGAGAAGGGGGCTGAGGCTGTTGCTCAGCGGTAGGGAACGTGTCTGGAATGTGTGAGGCACTGGGTTCGATCCTCAGTACCACATATAAATAAATAAATAAAGGTCCACTGACAACTAAAAAAATATTAAAAAAAGAAAAAAGAAAATCCCTGAGAAGACTAGAGCCTGGACTTTTTGGATGGGGATGTGATTAGATATGGCTGTATCTGAAGAACTCTTTTTGCCACCCAAAAAGCAGCTCCTGAAATCTGATTCGAAAGTCTCATACCCTCTGGCCAGACCCTGTGCTCCTGGTTAGGTTGAACATGAATTCAGGGGTCTCTGTATCTTCAGATCCTTTCATCCCAGACCTACTCGAAGCCAGATTTAGTGCTTCTGTGAGTTCAGGGACACATCATATGGTTCACGAGAAGCACAAAATCTTTGGCTTTCTGAAGACTTGATAGATTCCAGAAATCAGGCCTCAGACACTCAGAATGCAGCTAGAAAAGAGGATACTTCCTTTATCTTAATTCCAGAGACAGTAGATGCAGATCTTGTGTTTGGAAGATTAGAAGTCTCCCTGGATTGCTGGAAGATTCTGCCACAGAAGTTGCTGCTACATTCTCCAATAGCTATTCCTCTTCTGTCTCCCATGTTTTCGTCTCTGCTACAGGGGAAAAAAAAATCCTTTGTGACTTTCATTGAGGTCCAAGGTAGTGCACAGATTTGGCTCATAACTGCTCATAACTGCCCCAGCATTTCCAGAGCCTGTGAGCAGAGGAAGAGGCTGGTTTTCACCTAGCACGATCCAACCCTAGGGTTCATCTGAGCTCAATCCCCAGTACATACTCCAAACAGAAGCTTGCTCACTCGAGGCAGTCTCCACACCATGATCTTTCTGGCAGGGGTTGGTTGCTGAGCTATGACAGTCCCTTCATCATATTCTTTGCTAGAATTAAATAGAATTCTACAATGTTGTCCCCTAGTCCCTGCAGGGTTCTTCAAAAGCATTAGATCTGGCCCTCTCTTAGAACAACCCCCAGTAGGAATTAGTCCAGGAACTCTGAAGGAGAGCTAATGAGGGCTTACTCTAGATCAACCATGAGGTCCTTCAGTCTTCTGAACACCAGGGCAGAAGTAACACCTCTGCTAGAAAAGACCAGCAGAGTGGACTCTAGAAGGAAGGGTTCCCTGTTCTCAGGGGCTGCCATGCAGAAATACTATGGATATGATGATCAGGTGGGCACTGTGGCTTCTGGAGCCATCACGAGCTTCACTGGGCATTGCCAGCCATCAGAAAAGATGTTCTGCTTGTTGTAGGTGTTCAGGCAGCTCCAGGAAGACCCTCCCCTACTTCTTTCCACCTCTGGCCAACTAGAATCTCTCTGGCCATGGGCACCACCTGCTCTGGGACCACCCCTGATTTCTCCAGAAGCTGCCAAGCCTCTGGAGACATGTCTGTCTGACTCTAGCCTGATGAGACCAGTCCCAAAAGTCTCCCTGGCTTTCAAGGCCCAGCCCCTGTCTACACTGGAGACAAGTCTGCATTAATGCCCACCCCCCCAGGCGGGAAGGCAGCCTCAGGCTTGAAGACCTTCAGGAACCTGAGTCTGGCAGGGCAAAGTTGGTAAAGTAGGCAGTGTCTCCACCAGCCAGGTAGGCAGCCCAGAAGCCAAAGGTGCCAACGGTCATGATAGTGTGGTTGCACTGAGTGAGCAGGGCCAAGTCCTTCCCTGGTGAGCCACATCACCCCGAGAGATGTCAGTGTTTTCCCAGCACCACTTCATGCCATTGCTGCTGACCACAGGGATGGGGCCTTCATGCTGTGCCCCAAACCAGTCCATAGCCTGCTGGAGGTAGGTGCAGTCACCCACCAAACCCTTTCAACACTGGGCCAGCACCTGAAGATGTCTTCATGGCAGATGACACCCATTAATGTGTGAAGCTGGGCTCCAGTGAGGTGTAGGCAGAGCTGGCCCGGAAAGTGCTGTCCCCATACTGGAGGTGGTCATGAGGGGGAATTCCCTGCATATCCATTCCTGCAGATGCTGGAAGAAAATCCAACAGCTAGGGAAACCAGAAATGTGTGGAGTAGCTCCTCCCATAACGCTCAGCTCAAGAAATTGGTGCTTCCAAGAACATTCCTCCCCATACTAAAATATTTACTAAAATATCAATATATACATATTCATCTACATATTTTCATCTACATATTTATATATTCATAAGCAAATTAGTAAATAATACTGCAGTGTCTTTGCTGTGACACAGGACACATCGAGTCTTTGTATATTTGTGGCCATTTATATAAGAGAACAAATATGTAAAGAGGTCAATATTAGTTTAGGAACTTCCTGGCATCAGAAGTAATAAAAGCAGTAGAAGAATACCAGTCACAGATTAGAAAAGGCAGCATTCTTCAATGTCTTCTCCAAGTTCATTCTTTATAGCTTGAACTGAAATGTTCTGGAATTCGAACTCATCAGATGTAGGATATAGGATTAACTCCTGAGTGCAGGTGGAGTATACATGGTTTTCCTCACCTCACAAAGTCAGATCATGGGGATCTATTCCCCTTGTGGGGTTAAAGTATTGCCATCTATCCTAGCTGGCAACCTAGTGCTGGGTTCACAAAATCTGACTATTCCAATAACTTAAGAAAACGACAAAGAAAGCACAAAAACACACAGAAGTACCTTTTCAATAATCCAGGGACAGCTCTGCAAAGTTAAGGGTCCATTGGAAAGAGAGCAAGCTACTGGAATTCTTTATTCTTATATAGGCGACACACAAGGGGAGGTTCCATGGAATATTCTATCCCAAAAAGGACAAAGGGGTAGGATTACAAAGGAACAGGTGAGTGTAGCTCAACCTCACCGGGTGACGCCTACTTCTGGAGCCAGCCTCATATCCGAGTGGAGGTAAAGCCCAAGTTACTGCGGGAGTACAATAATTGATCAGTGTCTTGGAGCATCAAGACTTAAAGGCATGTTCATCCAGAGCAGCTCCCGACAGTGAAGGAATCAGGGACCTACTCCCCTCACGGGATGGAAGATACAGGTTCTAATTCCCTTGTTGGGTGCAGGATACACTGCCTACAAAATGAAGTGTTTCTTCCATATCCCTGAGAGCTGGATCCAGGACAGCTTCCATGGGGAGAACCACCTTCCCTAATCCACACTAAAGGAGAGCTGTTGTGAAATTCCAAGTCTTTCATCCATATGTACCAATGCCATTTGCTCATCTGACGTTATAACAGATGACTCAGCTGTAACTAGGTAACAGATCACCTGAAGCTAGCTAATGCTGAAAGATATCTTTAGGATAAATACAACTAATCTACTACTATTAAATTCAAGCTATGATATTTTGATAGACTCTTTACTGAATACAAAGTGTTGATTATTACACTTTCATTAATACAAAGCCCAAATGTGAAACATACTTGATTAAATACAGAGGCTTCTGCTTATCTGTGTTTTCTCTTTTTTAAAAAAAAAATATTTTTCAAGTTGTTGATGAACTTTTAGTTTATTTATTCATTTATATTGGTGCTGAGAATTGAACTCAGTGCGTCACACATGCCAGTCAAATGCTCTACCACTAAGCCACAACCCCAACTCTTATCTGTGTTTTCTAAATGCTAAAGTGGGAACAGCTTTAAGCTGTTCATGTATATATTCATCTACATTAATATTAATACTCAAAAATAATGCAGACAGTCCCTGCAGTAATGGATTGTCCCCTTACCCATATCCTCAATGAATGAACCTCTCAAAGGAAATTACCATTTCCATATCTTGGACCCTTGTTCATTATTCTAATAATAATGGAATATTCCAATAATAATGGAATATTATTAAGTGATGAAGCCTTAAATATGTTTCCCTTCAACTAATATTCTCTTATCCCAAAGGAATGTGATCTTTTAAAAAAACCCTTAAACAAAGGTTCTGCCATTATCTAGGCCCCATAAAGGTGCACTTCCTAGGTGACCCCTTTCTACAACATATTCTCTTGGTTATTCCCATCCCTTGACAAGGAAACCTACTCCAACAATGGACTCCTCTATTGCCCCCACTCACATATAGTAGGACTCCAAAGACCCACCCAGAACATCAACAGAGACCTTCTTAAAAATGTCCTTTCATCTCCATTCTGTAAAAGTGCAAGCAGTGTGCCCCTTTCTAAAATAAACCTAAGACTGTATGCATGTATGAATATGTAACAACGAATCCCATCCATATGTACAACTATAATGGACCAATGAAAACTGAAAATAAAGTAAAATAAAAAAATACATCAATAAGGGGGTTCAGGTTATGGCTCAGTGGTAGACTAGCATGTGTGATCCTCAGCACCAAATAAAAATAAACAAATAGGGCTGGGGATGTGGCTCAAGTGGTAGCGTGCTCGCCTGGCATGCACGGGGCACTGGGTTCAATCCTCAGCACCACATAAAAATAAAATAAAGATGTTGTGTCCACTGAAAACTAAAAAATAAATATTAAAAAATTCTCACTCTATCTCTTTAAAAAAATAAATTTATTGTGTCGATGTAGAACTAAAAAAAATTTAAAATACATATAAAATAAACCGAACACTCAAGTTCTCCCATTGTCACCCAAATGTGTAAATGCACAGAAGTGCCAGCACCCCCTGCCTGCATCCACAATGGTCAAACGTCCCAGTGAAAACCATCACCTTTTACAAATGGGTTCATCCACTCCCCCACCAAAGAAATACAGGCTTTTCTACATTAAGTCCCCAGACACTAGTCAAGGACGTCCCTGCCCCAGCACATGCACTCTCCTGTCGTCCTCCCTCAAGAAATGATGTCTGCATGGGGTCTCCTTCCTGCAATGGACTCTCCTTTGAAAAAACACAGCTTGCCCTCAACTTTCAGTGACAGGACCATGCCCTGTTTGTGCCTCCAGTGTAATCTTGTCAGCCATCTCCCCTCTGCCTCCTCCACACTCACTTTCTACAACCTGGCTGCACTCTTGCCTACCAGAGGACCTGAGGCTACCTCAACCAGAGGAATTCTGAGAACTACAGGTTTATCACTCTCCAATGACAAGGGGGGACATAGGGCTCTGGGTGGTTGGGGAGGCAATGTTCACCTGGGCATCCTGATAGCGCTGGGGCAGCAGAAAGTAGGGGCGATTGCTGGGGGCCTGGATGAGGCACTGAGTCAACTAATCTAATCCCTTGGGACTGCAGGTACTATTTGGGCATCAGCTGCCACTGGGGGCACGGTAAGGTCCTGCTGCTGGGGCTGGGGTTATAGCTCAGTGGTAGAGCTCTTGCCCCTCATGCATGAGGCACTGGGTTCAATCCTCAGCACCACATAAAAATAAAGAAATAGAACAAAGACATTGTGTCCATCTACAAATTAAGGAAAAAAAAAAAGCCTTCATGTTTCAGGTCCTGCTGCTTGTGTACCTGCTGCCGCCTCCTCCGACCCTGAAGGCTCAGCTCCAACAAGCTGCACCATAAGGAAAAGTTTTCCTAACTCTCCTTAAAGGAGACACAATAGGGGCCCCTGATCCTGACCCAGGACTAGTAGAACTGCCCAGCACTGCCCCTGGGCCCGGTTCTTCTGTGGTCACCATTAGGAGGGAGGTAGGTAGGGGAGGGAGAGTCTGAGACTACAAGACCTGAGCATCCTGTCCCTCAGTGAACATGGCTGCACGCCTGCCAGGATCCCTATGGCACATGCTATTTTACCCTTGAGGTTGTCTGCTGCTTCAGGCCCCATGTAACAAAGCCTTCCTTGACCTCTACCTCTAGTCCCTTCCTTTCCCCTGTGCCCATACTGGCAGCCAACCCAGCCTAAAGCCACCTAATCCAAGGCCCGCCCCCCAAAACACAGGTTCCTCTCCCTCCTAGGCTCTGCCCACATAGGCCCTGACCCTCAAGAACCGCCTCAGCCTACTTCCCAGAGCTGTCTCCTGCCACACAGACCCACAAGCAGGTGCCACCACACCTCACCAGGCCCAACACCTCAGGCTCAGGCCTACTCAGTTCCTCAGACTCCACCCTGGCCCCGCAGACCCACCCACGGCTCTGCACAGCCCTCCAGGACATTGTCCTGGCCTGTTCCTCATCTCCTACTTCTCTCCAACTTCGATTTTCCCCTAACACTGGCCGAATCCCTGGGAATTCGCTAGGCTCTGGCGCTTCCCGCAGGCTGCTGAGCTGCCAGAACCCACCGACACCCCGCTGGGGAGCTACCACTGCTTTGGCCACCTACACATTCAGCCTCCTGCAAGGCAGCCTGGAATGCCTCCTAAAGGCCCTGACTCCATCCCGAGACACTCTGGGACACCTCCAACCACTGCCACCAGCCGGCCCACGCCCCACGCGAATTCAAGCACCACTCTGTAGGTCCTGGGAAACCAGCAGGTCCCGCCCAGCGCTCAGATGCTGCAGCCCCGCCTTCTCCCAGTCTAAGTCCCCGCCCCGGCCGGATCCTCCACCAATCACCTCACAGCTCGCTCCTCGCTTGGCCCGCCCACGCCCTCAGAGCTGCCCCAGAGCCGTGCCCACAGCCCGCGCCAATCCGGCCTTTAAGGACTGCTCCTCTTAGGCTCTGTGGGCCCTGGGGGCCCCAAACCCTGTCCAGCCCCCCAGGTCCGCGCGCTGGCTCACCGTCGCTGTCCGCGGCCCCGAAGGCCTCCTGCTCCAGGCGGCGCGCCTCCTCGCGGCCGCGCAGCTCGAATCGCCGCGCCCAGCCGGGCCGCGCCCGCCACAGCTCCTGCACCAGCAGTGGGCGCTCCGAGTCGCCCAGCACGCGCAGGTGCTCCGCCTGCCACTCGCCGCTGCCCATGCCGGCCGTGGCCGGTCGGCCCAGCGCGTCGCACAGCGCGAAGGCGTCCACGCCGCTGCCCATAGCGCTCCAGCGCTTCAGCCACCAGCTCCCGCGCTGTGAAACGCGCCGTGACCAGCACCCTCTTGTAGTTGGCACCCGACGTCAAGCCCGCGCCAAAGATCTTTAGGACTCCCGGGGGCGCAGTGGCGCAGGATGCCCGTGGGGGCTCCGGGGCCACGCCCATTACAGCTCCAGCAGCTTCACTCTGGCCCAGCGCTGCCCCCACCCCAGTCCCTGTTGTCCTAGTCCCTGAGTACTGTTAGATCTGAGAGATGTGCTTGGCGCTGTTCCCTGAAGCTCCCCACACTGCCTTCACGGCGCCCACTCGCCACAGTTCCACGTGCAGCGGGGGTAGTGGCAGTGCCTCGCTGATGCAGTTCCCAGTGTTGGAAGAAGATCTGAGAGCCACCTATGAACAGATACACAGGAGAGTCATCCAGAGGGGCAAGCAGACTCCAGAATTTGGACCGAGGAGGTGAGAAGCACAAAAAGACCCCAAGAGAAAGACACACAGCAAAGATAGAGATCCAGGGATGACCAAGATGGGTGGTGGGTAAAGGTCGAAGGAAAGAGAGTTCATTAAATAAACAAAGGCCAATCCCACAAAAGCCATTTCCAAGAGATGAGCAAGGAGGGGAGGAAGGAAGGCGAATCACAACCGGCACTGTGGCCCACCCCAGTGCCTAAGCCCACCTCTCCCCCAACTGGGCCCAAGTAAACCAGTATCTGACTTCCTGCTCTCATCACCCAGGCTCCCTTGCCCATTCAGGACTGGAACAGGAGACAGGTCTCTCAGGATCCCTGACAAGAAAGCAATGCATGGGGCTGAGCCCAAACCAGGGACAGATGGAAGGCAGTTGGGCCAGGGGCAGGTGGACCACTTTGTGGCTACTCACATGACAGAGGCAGGATGGGCCTGTGGCCCGGGGCTTGGTGGGGAGGATGGTTCCACAGGCACACAGGAGAGGGAGCTTTCCAAAGTGGATGGGGTGCTTCCACCCTCCTTCAATACACCAGATAGCCTGGCCCTAAGGGAAGGTGGATATACATCTCCAATGGGCTGGGGTTAGGGGAATGAGGCAGAGGGACATCTGGGAGATGGAGGGGCATCTGGGGAGAGGGATGGGCCCTGGACTACAGGCCCAGGAGGACTGATGGCTGCAGTGGGACCCAGGAGTCTTACCTGGATCTTACCTGTTGCAGGTCGGGCAGCACCCAGAGGGCCTGGCTCTGATGTCCTGGGTTAGTTCCTGATCCCTTTAGAAAAGCCTGTGCCTCTGACCCAGCCCCAGCACTGTGTGGGGACATTAAAAGGCAAGAGGAAACCCAACAGGAAGAGGTGGGAGGGGGTGTCCTGAGAAACCAGGCCTGGGGCAGGAGATCTAGGTAGGCCTGGCCCTGGCCTGTTTCTTGGTTCTGGAATTATATCACAGTCTGCTGTCCCCTCCACCAGACCTCAGTGGTGCCATGTTCCTCACCCTCCTCCCTGAGGCAGGAGCCCATCTCTTGATCTGTCCTCTGGGGGAGCCCAAGGTATTATTCAGTCAAGAGGATTGAGTCAAATACTTAGACAACAAGACATGTATTTAATTATTTTTCTCTTTTGAGGCCCTTGTCTTTGACGGATAAGAAGGTGAATTTTCAAAGGCTGAGCTATGAAGATTGTTTCTCTTTCGATTTTCGCCAGTAAAGCAGGCTGAGGGAAATTGAATGGGTTGAGATTTGCAAATCATGGAACCATGTTAAGTAGAAAGCAGTTGAGAGCCACTCCCCAACTCCCAGCCCCACAGAGCTGACCTATTCAAACAAGTCTCAAAGCCTGGCCCTCCTAGGTAAGCCCCCCACGCTGTAACTCCCACCAGATCTCTGGAAACCTCAGTGGCTCTGCCAACTGCTCCAGCATTGGGCAGTAAGAAGCCCCACCTCTCCCTCCAGGTTCCGCCATTCTCTGCAGTGACTCACCAAAGAATAAGGCCTAGTATCAGGAGTAGAGGTAAAGCGATGATCAGCCCAAGGTTGCGGCCTTGCTGCACACCCTTGGCCTGCTCAGGCTGTTGGTTCGTGGTCGAAGACTCCAATTCTCCTGGATTCGGGCGTACTGAGATCTCCTCAAGTGGAGCCATGTCACCTAGAAGTGGGGCCATCTCTCCCAGGAATGGGGCTGTCTCATCTTGGACTAGGGCTGCCTCATTCTGGAGTTGGGCCATCCCGGCCTGGATTGGTGAGGCAGTCTCACCCTGAGCTGCAGATGTCTCACCGTGGACTGGTGTGGCCATCTCACCTTGGAATTGGGCAGTTTCAGCCTGGCCTGGGGGAGTCATCTCACCCTGTAGTGGGGCAGTCTCCACCTGTTCTCGGGGAGTCATCTCACCCTGTCCTGGGGCCATCTCATTCTGGAGTGGTTGGCCCATTTCAATTTCGCCTGGTTCTGTCTCCTCTTCGAATGGTGCCATTTCAACCTGGTTTGGTGGAGCTGCCTCACCCTGGACCTCGGAGGCCATCTCACCTTCACCTGGAGCCATCTCACCCTGAAGTGGGGCAGTCTCCTCCTTGAGTAGTGCTGTTTCAACCTGGTTTGTCTCACCCTGGAACTGGGAGGCCGTCTCACCTTCACCTGGAGCCATCTCACCCTGCAGTGGGGCAGTCTCCACCTGGAATGGCTGGGTCGTCTCACCCTGGGCTGACTGGGTTGTCTCACCCTGGGCCGGCAGAGTTGTCTCACCCTGAAGTGGGGCTGTCTCAGCCTCAAGTGGGGCTGTCTCAGCTTCAAGTGGAGCTGTCTCAGCCTGAACTGGAGCCGTCTCAACCAGGTCTGGAGATGTCATCTCACCCTGGACAGGTGGGCCCTTCTCACCCTGGACAGGTGGACCTGTCTCACCCTGGACAGGTGAGCCTGTCTCACCCTGGACTTGAGGGGCCATCTCACCTTGGGCCAGTGACCCCATACCATCCTGGAGTGGGGCAGTCTCACCCTGTTCTGTTGAGCCCGTATCTTCCTGGAATGGGCCCATCTCACCCTGTTCTGTTGGGCCCGTCTCACCCTGGAGTGGGGCTGTCTCACTCTGGACCCCTGGGCCCGTCTCACCCTGAACCCCTGGGCCCGTCTCACCCTGGACCGTTGGGGAAGCTGGGCCTGTCCCACCAGGGACGGCTGGACTGGTCTCACCAGTGACATTTGCACCCTGTGTCCCTGACTCTGTCTCATTCCCAAAGAGGATGCTTGTTGTTGATGTCTCCTCTGTAGCATTTGGGGGCAAAACTGACAAAGGAGGGCAATGAGCTGTCCTGGCAGGAAGTGAAAGCAAGCCCTCCCCAACACCCAAACTGTCTAGAGAAACACCCTAGGGAACCTAGCCCCAGCTGACAGAATCCATAACCCAGGCAATAAGCCACACCTCCATGGCATGAAACCTCAACCCAACCTGAAGGGAAGCCTCCACAGCTGCCCTGCAACACCCTGGGCCCTGAATGCTCCACTTCTCTAACACCCAAGACTGACCTGTGACGAGAAAATGAATGATCGTGGATGGGCCAGAGGTCTCTGTACCCAGTTCACAGCGGTAGGTGCCAGTATTCTTTTGAGTTAATGAGGTAATGGTCAAGATGGGGTTCTTTCCCTTGTACAGCAAGGTCTCAGAACCATCCTCCCAAATCTACAAGCAAAATTAAGGGCATCACAGGGTCCTGGGGAATGTCAGGAATTGGGGGAATAGAGGGCTGAGGAGAACTTGGGACCTCAGTGCAGGGAGACAGGAGTGCAGAGCATCAGTGAGCAGGGATTGGGGTGCCTGGGAGTCAGCAGTGACCTCACCTAATAGGCCATGAGGATTGGGTGCAGGCCAGGACATCCAGGGGCCAAGGGCTCATACCCACCTGAGGGACTTGGGGCTTAAGGGTTAAAGGAGTTGGAAGGGCCTCACCCTTTCGAATTTGTAGTCTGTGAGTTCTTGAGCAATAAGGTGCCACTTGAATAGACAGTTCAAGGTCAGGTTTTCCTTTTCATGGACCTTCACCAGGCGCTCTGATGATGGAGCATGACTGTGAGATGCTTCCTCTGGGGTCACTGCCCTCCCCAAACAGTCTCAGCTCTATTTGGGCCAGGCCCTTCCCTGTCTCCTGTCTGCATTCTGAGCTCTTTAAACTGTCCCTCCTCTGGCCCCATCCCTCTCCCACCAACCCCTCCAGTCAGGTCCCATACTCACCCCCACAGTCCAGGGACTTCCAACAACGGTAATTTGCTATCCTACATTCTGGGCACCATAACAGACGCTGCATCATCATACCTGAAGGGGCAAGGTCAAGGCTGTATTCACCCACTAAGGTAGGTCTGAAAGAGAGGGCAAGGCAAAGGACTGAAGGGCTGGGGGCTATTGGGCCAAATCCCCTAGGAGGTCATCCCTCCAAGGTTAGTAAAGGGTCCAAACGGAATACACCTGCTACCTGCAAATCCAAGCCAGAGAAAGGTGGCTGGAGACCTAGGAACTTCTCAGATGCTGCGAATGTGCATCCAAAAAGGGGAGGGCAGGGAGGGGTGGGTATCATGGGCCATGATGAGGGTAGAAGAATAGCTTCTGCTGTCTGCACTCACCACATTTGTTGGGACAATAATCTGCCTCAGAAAGAAAAGAGAGGGAGAAAAGAATCAGACTTTTAAATGAAGAAGGGTGGGAGAGGGGCTGGGGAAGAGCTGGGTGCAGGTTCTTGTGTTCCCAGGGGAAGGGCCTGAGAAGTCCCCCCCCCCCCGCCCCCGCCAGGGGTCAACAGGAGGAGGGGACTGAGGAAGCCAAGGGCCAGGATATGGAGATGCAGGGGGCTGGAGAGACGGACTCAAGGGGTGGAAGGAGGATGAAGTGGGCCATCTTCCCTCACCATTATTTTGAAAGTCAGCAGCATACTGGGTAAATTTGGCCTTTTCCTTGTGCAACATCCGGTATAGCTCCCTCACAAATTGGTCCCCTGGGAGGAAGCAGGGTGGTGCTGAGTGCTCTCCTTGCCACAGGCAGCAGGTGCAGGATCAGACACAGTCTACCTAGGCAGGCATTTCACTACTGGGTTGTTGCTGGGGTGGGACAGACTCTTCTGGATTCAAGGGATCCTCCTTCCTCAGAGCACCGTGGACTATGGGGCTCGAGCTACCTGGAGGGCTGGCATTCCCCTTTCTGCCTTCTCAGGAAGGGGCACAGAAATCAAGTACTTCACACAGTGCCAGTCACTGGGCTAAGCAATGCACAGGTATCAATCCATCTAATCCTCCCAGGAGCTGAGGGAGGAGGGCACTGTGATGCTGTCCAGTGTAGAGCTGAGGAAACTGCCCAGTTTCTTGCTCAGGGCCACATGAGTAGGAAGTGGCAGAGCCAGAATTTGAACCTAGGAAATCCTGCATCACACCAGTAGAGAGGCATCTCTGATAGTAATGGCTGCCCTGAGAGATTCAGGACCCCCCTCCCAGCTCTTCAATGCATTAACCTTTTACATTACTGTCTGTGATGCGTTTCAGCTCCTTCAGCACACTCTGAGATGCCTTTTTCAGTGTCTTCTCATCTGTGAGTGGATATAGAACCCCATGTTCCACCTTTGCCGTCTTAGATTTTCTTTGTACAAAGTAGAATAGCCATGAGTCCGCCAAGCAAGCCTAGAACTAGTTAAGGAACCAACTGCACCCTTACTTTCAAAGAGTTGTTTTATTACATAAAATTGCTAGATAAGGGGCAGAAAAACAATATTTGCTAGCTGCCGGGATCTCTGGAATCTGCATCCCAGCCTATCCATTCCCAAGTTCGAGACTCAGCCCCTTCACCCCCCACCCCCTGTCACCTGCAATCCTGGACCCTGCCCATCTAATCCCTAGGACTGCAACTCTGTCTTGCCCTCACCTATGGTCCCCAAAAAGGTAGCATTCTTAAATTTTATCTCCTTGAATTCCTGTGCGATCACATCTACTCTCTCGATCACTTTTTTTTGATTCTTGACATCCAGGTGTCCAGGTATGTAATTCTCCTTCAAGAACCTTAATGATCCCATAACTGCCTGGTCACATGTGATACAACAGTCTGCAGGAAGCAGGCAGCTGGCCAGTGCAGCCAATGGGAGGGCAAAACATAGCCCCATTGAGCCAGAGCACTCAGTAGAGGAAAATGCAGAGAGGGTCCTCTCACCCAGGTCAAGAGCAGGTGGTGCTAAATGGAGAGAAATCAAAGCCTGTCTTAGAGATGCTCCCCAGAACCTCACATCCTCAGTCTCCCCCATGGGAAAGGAGGATGTTCAGGAAATCTCCAAATCAAGAACACGTGTCCTTCATCAAATAACTTGAGTGTGAAATTAATCCCCAATCCACAAAGCCCCAAATTGGGGGTCTTCATTGCATCCTCAGACATCAGAACACTCTCAACCGTTCCCCACATCAGGACCCAAGATCCCAATCCATGGGATCCACAGCTCCCGCCCCTGCCCAAATTAATGTGATCCTCAACTCCAAACCTTCAGTGTATCAACCCTCACATACACAAAGTCCCCAAACCCTGTTGCACCTCAAGCTGAAAAGTCCTTGTCCAGCTCAAATGAACTCTCCCGCAGGTTCTCAAAACTCCCTCAAGGCCAAAGTACACTCCAGATCCCTTACCCTGGGGACCCCACGAATGCATGCAAGACTCCCAGCCACCCTCCTGTCCCTCCTGTCCACCCTTGCCCAAGGCTAAGACCTCTTATTTTCAGGGTGCACCTTCTCAGGAAACGGAGCTCCAAAGCGCCCTAAACGCGAGGCACCCTAACTAACTAGCCCCTCTCCGACCTTGATCCTTGACTTGTGCCCTCAAACCCAGGATTCGCTCAGGATCCCATTCAGACTGTGAGGAACCCAGTGCCGCGTCCTTCTGCCTTAATATTTCCCACGACTGTAACTCGGGTTTTGTGAGGGACAGTTTGGCTGCGTGAAGTCGACAGCTTTTCCAAGGGGATATGTGTCACGGGAGGTCCCGGTTCCACCAGGAACTCCAGTCACGTCTCCTTCGGAGGGCCAAATCCGAAAAAGTACTTCCTAGGGCTATCTTTGGCCACGCCCAGAATCTGCTTCTCATTGGGCCGCAACAAAGGGAGACCCACCTACTTCTACATGACGTCACAGGGGCGTGGTTTTATCAAGACCTTTATTCCAGCATCCACCCTAGAGAAGTCCATCCTCAGGCGCTGACTTTCAGAGCCCAGGACCAGGCTTCTGGCCCTCAGCGTCCTCCCTTCCTTGTCCTGGGGACCTGGATTCCAGCTTGGTGCGGCTGACAGCCTCGATATGGGGAAGGGGCCGTTTCTAGTCTAGGACTCGTACTTCCTGAAAGCGCTAAGGTCTTTTTCTTTACTGTTACTGGCGCCTCCAGCCTTATGGGAATTGAGGTTCAATAATGATATTCTTTGCTCACTCAGATAAGGATACTTTTTGCTCACCACCTTCTCTGGGTGAGGAAACCCCAGATCACAAGAGTGTGGAAGGTATGATGGCCACAATGAGGATGATAGGATAGGTACTGAGCTCTCTGACGCTTGAGCTCTGGAAATTCTCTGTCTACATTTCTGCACGATTCGGAGCACCAGAAACACAGGAACAACTCTCACACTTTCAGCAGCCAAGAGCTGCCCGATCTGCTTAGGTAGCATATCTCAAAATATCTTGAATGTTGAACCTCTCCAAGCTCCCATCTTATCAATATCTCCAGTTTTTAAACACACACACACACACACACACACACACAACATACACACTGCCAAGACAGGTGCAGAGACAAGGGTTGAGGGTGTGCACCTTTAATTCATACCTCCCACCCTCCTTTGTCAGCTATGTTAGGAATGGTACCCTGAAACCTGAGAAGACTACAGCCTGGACTTTTTGAATGGATGTGATTAGATTTGGCTGTGTCAGAGGAACTCTTTCACCCTTCAAAAAAGAAGCAAGTGTTCCTGAAATCTGAGTCGAAAGTCTCATACTCTGGCCAGACCCTGTGCTCCTGCTTGGATTTGACATGTATTAAGGGGTCTCTGAATCTTCAGATCCTTTCATCCCAGACCTACCTGAAGCCAGATTTAGTGCTTCTGTGAGTTCAGGGACACATCATGGTTCACCATCTTTCTGCAGACTTGCTGGATTCCAGAGATCAGAACTCAGATACTCAGACACAGCTAGAGGATACTTACTTTATCTTAATCCCAGAGACAGTAGATGCAGATCTTGTGTTTGGAAGATTAGAAGTCTCCCTGGATTGCTGGAAGGTTCTGCCACAGAAGTTGCTGCTGCATCCTCCAATAGCTATTCCTCTTCTATCTCCCATGTTTTCGTCTCTGCTACAGGGAAGAAAAATCCTTTGTGACTTTCATTGGGGTCCAAGGTGGTGCACAGATTTGGCTCATAACTGCTCATAACTGCCCCAGCATTTCCAGAGCCTGTGAGCAGAGGAAGAGGCTGGTTCTCACCTAGCACGATCCAACCCTAGGGTTCATCTGAGCTCAATCCCCAGTACATACTCCAAACAGAAGCTTGCTCACTCGAGGCAGTCTCCACACCGTGATCTTTCTGGCAGGGGTTGGTTGCTGAGCTATGACAGTCCCTTCATCATATTCTTTGCTAGAATTAAATAGAATTCTGAAGTGTTGTCCCCTAGTCCCTGCAGGGTTCTTCAAAAGCATTAGATCTGGCCCTCCCTACAACCATCTCCAGTAGGAATTAGTCCAGGAACTCTGAAGGAGAGCTAATGAGGGCCTGCTCTAGATCAACCATGAGGTCCTTCAGTCTTCTGAACACCAGGGCAGAAGTAACACCTCTGCTAGAAAAGACCAGCAGAGTGGACTCTAGAAGGAAGGGTTCCCTGTTCTCAGGGGCTGCCATGCAGAAATACTATGGAAATGATGATCAGGTGGCACCATGGCTTCTGGAGCCATCACAAGCTTCACTGGGCATTGCCAGCTATCAGAAAAGATGTTCTGCTGGTTGTAGGTGTTCAGGCAGCTCCAGGAAGACCCTCCCCTACTTCTTTCCACCTCTGGCCAACTAGAATCTCTCTGGCCGTGGGCACCACCTGCTCTGGGACCACCCCTGATTTCTCCAGAAGCTGCCAAGCCTCTGGAGACATGTCTGTCTGACTCTAGCCTGATGAGACCAGTCCCAAAAGTCTCCCTGGCTTCCAAGGCCCAGCCCCTGTCTGCACTGGAGACAAGTCTGCATTAATGCCCACCCACTCAGGCAGGAAGGCAGCCTCAGGCTTGAAGACCTTCAGGAACTCTGAGTCTGGCAGGGTGAGGTTGGCAAGGTAGGCAGTGTCTCCACCAGCCAGGTAGGCAGCCCAGAAGCCAAAGGTACCAACGGTCATGATAGTGTGGTTGCACTGAGTGAGCAGGGCCAAGTCCTTCCCTGGTGAGCCACATCACCCCAAGAGATGTCAGTGTTTTCCCAGCACCACTTCATGCCATTGCTGCTGACCACAGGGATGGGGCCTTCATGCTGTGCCCCAAACCAGTCCATAGCTTGCTGGAGGTAGGCGTGGTTGCCCACCACACCCTTCCAGCACAGGGCGATCATCGCAGATAGTCCCTATTGCAGATGACACCCATGAATGTGTGATACCATGCCCCAGAAAGGCTCAGGCATGGCTGACTCCGTAAGTGGAGGTCCTCCTCCTGAAGATAGTCATCAGGGGAATTCCCTGCAGATCTAAGGTTGTGGGAAGAAAATCCAACAGCCAGGGAAACCAGAGTGGTACAGAGTACCTTCTTCCAAATCATCCAGCCCAAGGAATGAGTGCTTCCAAATTTTCCAAAGACATCCCTCCCCATGCTAAATGGACAGTCTTTCTCCCTCATTCTCATATAATGGACCTCTCCAACTTCCTCCATTTCCACATCCCTGGCCCCACTTGTTCTTTATTCCACTCCAGTGATGGAGCCTTACAGATGTTTCCCCTTCTACTAATAGTCATTTCAATATCCCAAAGGAATGAGATCTTTTAAAAGACCCCCTTAAACCAATGTTCTTCCATTAGCTAGGACTCAAGAAGGTGCATTTCCTAGGTGACCCCTTTCTACAGTGCATTCTCTTGATTATTCCCATCCCTTGACAAGGAAACCTGCTCCAACAATGGACTCCTCTATTTGCCCCCATTCACATGTAGGAGGACTCCAAAGACACGCCCACAACATCAGCAGAGGTTCTTACTATGTCCCTCCCTATAGGGGACACCTCCTAGAGATTTCCATACAGTGGCTCTTCTGGTAATCATGTTTTCAAACACCTGCCTCAAGGAGAGAGCTTCCTACTTCATCCACTCCCCAAAAAGATGCATTCCAAAGAACCCTTCTTAAAAAGGTGCTCTTGTCTCCATTCTATAGAAATGGAAGCAGTGTGTCGCCTTTCTAAAATAAACTTAAGACTGTGTGCATGAATGAATGTGTACTAGTCCCACTGATATGTACAATGCACAGATGAAAATACACTCAAGTTCCCCACTGTCACCCAAATGTGTAAATGCACACAAATGCCAGCACCCGCTGCCTGCATCCACAGTGGTCAAACGTCCCAGTGAAAACCATCACCTTTTACAAATGGGTTCATCCACTCCCCCACCAAAGAAATACAGGCTTTTCTAGATCAAGACCCCAGACACCAGTCAAGGACGTCCCTGCCCCAGCACATGCACTCTCCTGTCGCCCTCCCTCTAGAAATGATACCTGCACAGGGTCTCCTTCCTGCAATGGACTCTCCTTTGAAAAGACACAGCTTGCCCTCAACTTTCAGTGACAGGACCATGCCCTGTTGTGTCTCCAGTATAATCTTGTCAGCCATCTCCCCTCTGCCTCCTCCACACTCACCACGCTATTTCCTCCTCTGCAACCTGGCTGCGCTCTTGCCTACCAGAGGAATTCTGAGAACTACAGGTTTATCACTCTCCAAAGACAGGGGGGACATAGGGCTCTGGGTGGTTGGGGAGGCGATGCTCACCTGGGCATCTGATAGCGCTGGGGCAGTAGGTAGCAGTGTGATAGGGGCTCTCCCAGAACAAAAAAAGGCAACATGTCACACTTAGTTTTCATGCCAACTCTGCTGTAAATCTGTCGGCGCTATGTAACTCATGCATGATTTATGCATGATTCTGTTCCAGCTTTTTTGCACTGTATAGCATGAGAATACCCAATCAAAATATGTGTTCTCTTATCTGGGAGAAAAAGAGTTTGCAACAGGTATATAAGGCAACACCTCCCTGCATTTGGGGCTTGGCTTTTGGATGATAATCTGCCCTGTCTTCGCTGATACAAAATAAACCCTGCTTCCTGTCAAATGCCCCAGTGCTCTGTCTCCCCTGCAAATCAGCATTTCTTGGGGACTAGTCCGGGAATCAGAGGCAGCAATTATACTTCTGGACTGACTCTAATCTGGTCCAAACATGCACTGTGGTCTGTGAAGATGTTCCTCGTGATCTTTACTTGAGTGTTTACAGCCACGCTACCCTTCACTCCGTCTTTTCTGAGCTCAAGATAAGTGAAATTTATGCCTCCCTTTTTTCTTTCTTCTGTGTTTATTCAGAGGCCAGTTGTTCAAGGGTCCACTCAAATACACTTTTTCAAAAGGCGAGGGGAGATCTTCTCCTTTAAAAAGTCCTAAACAGGGAAAATGAACAGTGGGAATGGTGTGGATAAATCTGCCTCCATGAAGGAGGAGTGTCCAGTTGAACTTTATATTTATATATATATAATATATTATATATTATATATATTATATATATTATATATATAATATATTATATATAATATATTATATATATTATATATATAATATATTATATATAATATATATTATATATATTATATATATATATTTTTTTTTTAGTTGAAGGTGGACAAAACACCTTTATTTATTTTCATGTGGTGCTGAGGATCGAACCCAGTGCCTCGTACGTGCTAGGTAAGCACTGTACCACTAAGCTACAACCCAGACCCTCCAGATGAACTTTGAACTTCAGCATAATTTCTTCAGCATAATTGTCTCCTACATGTGGAATCATAACTGCCAAAAAGCCAGAAAATCTTTGTTTTCTGTTGATTTTATGTAAATGTGTGCACATCTGTGATTGTGTGTTTTACCAACATACGTTTGTACAACATTTACATGATTCCAAAATTGACATATTGATAAATAAGCACTCACTAAAAAAAGAAATGGGTCCAAATGCCTTTTTCTTAAAAAAAAAAAGAGAATTTTTAAATATTTTTTAGTTTTCGGCGGACACAATATCTTTGTATGTGGTGCTGAGGATCGAACCTGGGCCACATGCATGCCAGGTGAGCGCGCTACCACTTGAGCCATATCCCCAGCCCCTCCAAATGCCTTTTAGTTTATATGACTTAAACACTTATGAAAAATTCAATTTAAATTGGTTAAATGAATAAAAGGAAATATATGTCTTTCCTGACCCACCTGTTTTTCTATGTGGTAAGGCAATTAATAGAATGTTGGTCTCTATATGATGTTTAAAATATGGTCTATTGTTTCTAGGATTTTTCTTTAGCAGGAAAAATATGGCTTTTACTGTTACACTTGTCTGATATCTTGGTTGTTGTGGATAACCTGAAGTTAACATTTAAAAATAAGTTTATTAGATTGAACCTAAATGGGACTAGTCTTCTTTATAAAAGAGTTTGTTAGAGACGACATTTAATTCACAATGTTAAAATGCTAAAACATCACCTGCTAAATATTAATTCAAGTACCCTTGACTTCTTAAATTCCATAAGAAAAAGATATATATATTATTATTGTGTCCTTATAAACTGGTAAAGGGAAAAAAGAGTTTAGGATTGGTTTGTTTCTGGGTCTTCCCTAAATCATGGTTACTAAGAGTTAATACTCTAAAAGATATATTTCTGTATACAAAGAGTACAAAAAGTCTCAAATGCATTTCAATTAAAGTACTGTAAAAAGACAAACATAAGGCATTTCACATTATTAAAATAGAATAATTTGTCTAAAATCAGAAATTTCATAAGGATTGTTTCAGAGTATAATGTAAAGGGTCAGCAAGTAGGAAAGAGACATAAAAATTATAGGAATAGACTGATAATTGGTGCAACCACTATGGAAAGCAGTATGGAGAAAACTTAGAATGGAACCTCCATTTGACCCAGTCATCCCACTCCTAGATTTATATCCAAACGACTTAAAATCAGCATACTATAGTGATGCAGCCACATCAATGTTTATTGCAGCTCAATTCACAATAGGTATGGGACCAACCTAGGTGCCCTTCAATAGATAAGTGGATAAAGAAACTGTAGTGTAAAAATACAATGGAATATTACTCAGCCTTAAAGAAGAATGAAATTATGGCATTTGCTGGTAAATGAGTAGAACTGGAGAATATTATGCTAAGTGAAATAAGTCAGTCCCAAAGAACCAAATGCTGAATGTTTTCTCCAATATGTGGATGCCAATTCACAATGGGGGTGGATTGATGGAGAATAGTAATATTTTGGACTAAACAAAGGAGAGTGAAAGGAGAGGAGGGGGCATGGGGGTATAAATGATAGTAGAATAAATTGGACATTATTACCCAATGTGAATATGATTACACGACTTGTGTAACTCAACATCATGTACAATCAGGGGAATGAAAAGTTATATTCCATTTATGTATGATGTGTCAAAATGCATTATTCTGCCATGTATAACTAGAATGAATAAAAAAGGAAAAAATTATAGGTGTAGAAATATATTTTAATATCAAAATTTTTAAATGTTTCTGGATAAAAATGTGTAAATAGGTTATAGTGTGTCTAAGTAAGTTGCACAGGTTAGAGAATGAATTTCAAGAAGCTTGTGATTAACTTGGCTATAATGAGTACCATCAGTTGAAGTTACTTAAGGGTTTTTCCTAAGGTCAAATATTAAGGTACTGATATAAACTAGAATTGAATTCTCTGTTAAAATAACAAGGGTTTCTTAAGCCATTTATCTGCTCTTATTTTTCAAGATTATTGTGTCTCTTAGGTTTTATTATTTAGGGGAACTAGTTTCAAAGAAATTAAGGTTTGTACAGTCAAATCATATTTTGGGTCATTACACAAAGGGTTCTACATTTTCTTTAGAAGTTATACTTGGTTAATATAAGGATATCAATGCAGTTGTGATGTTACCGACTTCTTTGTATATTAGATGTATTCATATCTTCCAACTATACAAGTCTTTTTTAGAGAAATTTACCAAGCTGGTATTCTCCAAACTAAAGTTGTCCGTAGTGGCAGTCCCTTTCAGTCTCATGTAGAAATAACAAATTAGCTGGGGACTTATTTATGTCATTAATATTTTGTAATTGGATAAAAATAACCTGTCATCCAAAAAGTGATATGTATAAAATTTTGTTACTCTCCACACTGGGATGGAAATTTAAATGTATTTTTGGAAGGAAACAAGGAAAGCCTAATTTGTTTAAAGGTTAGCAATATGGAATATGGAAGCATTTTGCCACTTTATTACTTTTCCACACAAAAAATGGCTAATAGATCTCAAGTTTTGATTCATGTTTCAGATGATGATGTAGTAGTGTGTTATTTGTCAAGAGCCCCATCTTACCTGAGATATCTCTGCCTCTCAGCCTACTCTTTGTTAGGATGGAGCCAAAGTAGGGTAGACTTAAGCTCATTTAAAGTTGTGTTGAAAGGAAAGTTTTTTAAAATTGTAGTTGAACACATCTTTATTTTCTGTATTTTTTTATGTGGTGCTGAGGATCAAACCCAGGGTCTCGCTTGTGCGAGGCAAGTGCTCTACTGCTGAGCCCCAACCCCAGCCCCTCAAAGGATAGATTTTTGTTATGAAGATTACTGTGATCTCAAAATCACCAAGGGATAGAACACAAGTAAAGGTTTGGGAAATTATAAAAGACATGTAACATTATAAGAGAGTTTTTAAAGAAAGTAAAATTTGTAACAGGTCTCATATGTGATTGAGTTGGCATATTTTTGGTTCTTTGTGAAGGCAAACTAGACACCAAAGATATATTATTAGATATATTATAGAAATTATGTTTCTTGGTTCAAAGCTATTATACAAACTAAATGTTTTTGGTCTTGTTAATGACACTTTGTATGTTCCTATGGAACTTTATAAATTTTGCCTGTGTTTTGAAATAATATTCCTTCTAACAGGACCTGAGTTAATTCTGAAATAAGCCATTACCATGGGACAGACAAAATAATAAGGTTGGCTCTTCCAGTACTAATGCTGACCCCAATTAAATGAAAGGGATAAATAACTGTGAAGTTATAGACATTAAAGTTAAAATCTAGTACTCCCACTTCAAGACTCATGAAACTTGCCTGCTGGATGTTTAAAGCCAAAACAAAGTTAAGGAAGTTAAAGGGCTAAAGGAAAACAGCCAATAAATTTGGTTCTTGCCCTCTGAGGGCATCTATGGCCCAGGGAATAATGGGAGTTTTTCCCTAAGGGCTTTACAACTCTGGGTCACATGATCTCCTGATGGGGGTGGGGATCAAAGGGATCCTTGAGAACAGGAAGCCAACCAGTGCACATTCTGCAAAGAGGATGGTTACTGAAAAAGGAAATATCCCCAATACTTCCAAGGGAAGTCACATTTGGTCAGGAAGATGGTGATCCATCCTGGCAGATGGAACAACTGGTAGAGGAAACTGGAGGAGCTATGAGGCTTCTCACTAGTTTCCAAGAGTGAATCCCTGAGGAATCTCAGCTGACCCTTGAGAATAAATAGGAACAAGGTCAATTTAGGCCAACTTGATCTTGAATATCTGGGAGGAGATTTATAAACAAAACAGCCATTCATGGGCCAGCATTCATGACTAAGGTGGTGTAATTGATGACAGAGGAATTAAAGATCACCTGGAAGTTACACACTGCGTGGTGTCCACAGAGCTCCAGGAAGGTGGAGTGAATGAACCAAACTCTAAAGGTACTACTAGGCAAACTGTGTCAGGAAACCCAGCTGCACTGGGACCAGGTATTACTAATTGTTTGCTAAGGATTAACTACCCTGCTAGACAGACAGGGTCCTCTTCTTATGCCATTCATTTTGTGTGTGTGGAGGGGGGAGTACCAGGGACTGAATTCAGGGCACTCAACCACTGAGCCACATCCCCAGCCATGTTTTATATTTTATTTGGAGACAGGGTCTCACTGAGTTGCTTAGCACCTTGCTTTTGCTGAGGCTGGATTTGAACCCATGATCTTCCTGTCTCCTTCTCGAGCTGCTGGGATTACAGGTGTGTGCCACAGTGCCCAGCCTTATGCCATTCTTTATGAATGCCCTCCTCCCATTATAAAGGGTATACAAGATCTAAAAAGTGTGCAACTTTATTCTGATGCAGAAGATGCAGACTGTAGGCCCTACCCTGATCCCTAGACACCATTGGATTAGGGAATGGCTACCCATGAGCCGGACCACAGATGTCCACCCCTTTAAATTTGGAGATGCTGTATGGGTAAAGAAATAAAATGTCCAATCCCTAAAGCCTCTTTTGAGAGGTCCATTCACTGTAATTTTACCCACCCCTACTACAATCAAGGTGGCCAAGGTGGTCCCCTGGATTCAGCACAGCGGAGTGAAACCAGCTTTATGTAACTGGGCATGCATCCTCAGGCCACCCCCATGCAAGTTTACCTTCTAAAATAAGCAAGCTGCACCCTCAAGAGACCCCAAAGACAACATCCCTGCTTTAGTCACTCTGGAAGCTGACTAATCTGTGCACGACAGAAGCTTGAGGGATAGACCACCTGCCAGGATAAACGGACTTTTATCTCCTATATTAGTTTCTCACTGTAATGCTTGGGCACCGTCACCCCTTACCCCTCTCTGTTGTCATAGTCCTAGCCTTAATTTTTGCTGTAGGATTAGCAGAGACTGCGCCAACTGACTGACACTGGATTGAAAAGTTTCTATTAGCAGTTTCTTCACCCCACCCTTTTAAAATTCTTTTTAAAATTTTGATGTTACATATGATAACAGAATGCATTACAATTCATATTACACATATAGAGCACAATTTTTCATATCTCTGGTTGTACACTCTTCACCCCCTTTTGATAGGGCATTTTGTTGCCATTGGAAGCATCTGATCTGGCTCCCATTTTTAGATTTAAGCTCTTCATCCTGTGACCCAGGCCTTCACATGATTCAATCAGGCCAAGGTGTTGCCACAACCTACTTTATCATTTTTCCTGCCAGGGAACAGTCTCGGGGACCTGCAGGTATAACAAGACCACATATTCTATCTGCCGACAGGAGGATCAATATACTTGTTTCAATCCACAGTATTACCCAGCTGGGGATTGGCTGGAAGTCCAAAGCTTACCAGAAGGCGACGTGAAACAGGTCCATTAATTTACACAGTTGACTAATCTAAAGCAACCAGTGTCAGTATCCTTGATGCATGGGAAGTCATGAGTGAGACTTGAGCACTTGATGTTACCTGCCCTATGGTCTCAGTAAGTCCACCACATCACATGGAGACATATCTGGGGAAATGAGGTACAGGTTCAATGTCAAGTATATGTGTCAACAGCCTGAAAATGGTGTGTGGGGTCCATGGGTACTGATTATGCTGAGTTTTTTGGTCCCTCTTACAGTTGTGTTGCATGGGTCACCTGGCAGAGTGGTAACAGTAAAACTCCCAAACTTCAAAAGGGTGTTGCTACACCAACTATAAATTGCAAGCCTATAATTTTGTTAATTTCACTATTGTTGACCCTGAAGACTCAGGATGGAGAACAGGCCATCCAACTGGCCTATGTATAGTTTGGAGGAGGTGCTGCCCTGGAACCAAATGGTACTTCAAAAGGGTTACAACTTCACTGAAGTCTTCCTCCTACCAGATCTTTCATTCCTTTTATGAGGAAATGGAGAAAAGCCTGTCTCCTATCTTCGCCATAAACAGAAACCCATTCCTAACCTTGGCAGAGGCTCTGGTTCAATCTCTAAACATGTCTTCTTGCCATGTGTGTAGAGAAACCAATACAGGGTATCAGTGGCCATGGGAGGCTAAAGAGCTAGACCCCCATGAGCCCTATAGTGGAATCATTCTCTCCCCTTCAACCACTGGTGTCTGGTTCCTCAAAACCTCAATTGTTAGAAAATATTGTCTTACCTGAGAGGAAAAACTGTTTAACATCTCAGTTGGGACTCTACCATGTCTGGGCCAAAAATTCTGTAATATAACTACCCGGATAACTACACTGGCTACGTGGAAGGGCCACCTATGCTAAACTGCCCCAATTCTGGTCCAGATCTGGTGAACTGGGGACAATTTGCCCCTCTTTTTTCCCTCCTTCCATTAGCAAGATGGGAGTAGTTGGGCGCCCCAGTATATGAAGACCAAGGGGCCCAAAGAGAGTGGCAAGCCCTGGCAACTGGCAACTGGAAAGATGACGAGTGGCCCCCTGAGTGGATAATTCACTATTTTGGTCCAGCCACCTGGGCAGAAGAGGGGTCCTGCGGGTACTGGACTCCCATGTATATGTTAAATCACAACATTAGGCTAACAGCTGTTGTTGAAATTATAACTAATGAGACGACACAAGCCCTCAATTTACTGGCTAAGCAAGGTATTCAAGTGCACAATGCTATTTATCAGAATTGTTTAGCATCAAACACTACTTGCTTGCTTCTGAAGGTGAGATGAGTGGGAAATTTAACCTGGGCAACTGTTACCTACAAATAGATGATGAGGGCAAGGTCAGAGTAGAAATCAGATTAAAAAACAAAACAAAAAAAGGTCATTTATGTCTTGGTCCAGACCTGAAAAGGTTGGAATCACAAGGAATTATTTAAAGGATGGTTTTCAATTTGAGGGGGATTCAAAACTCTTACAAGTGTTGTGGGTTTAATGCTGGGAGCCTGCCAACTCCTACCCTGCCATATTACCCCTGGTTATGAACTCTATCTCCAGTCTCATGGAGGTATGGTTGGGCAGCATGTGTTATGATGTCACAGAGATATAAGCCTTTAAATCAGAATGATGCCCTTTGACCCTAAAGGGATCTGAGAATCAAAGGGGAGAATGGGGTAAGGGCCCTCCCAGAACAAAGAAAAGGCAACATGTCACATTTACTGTGCATGCCAACTCTGCTGTAAATCTGGGGTGACTCTGTTGTAACTCAGTTATGTGTGATGCTGTCTCAACTTTGTTGCAACTCTATAGCATAAAAATACCCAATCAGAATGTGTATTACCTTATATGGGAGACAAAGAGCTTGCCAGAGGTATATAAGGCCAGCATCCCTGCATACTCAGCCTTTGGATAACAATCCTCTGTGTCTCTACAGGCACAAATAAATAAATTCCTTCCTGTTGAATGTCTTGGTGCCCTGTCTGTGTTCAAATCCCACAATAGCAGGGGTGATTGCTGGGGGCCTGGATGAGTCAACTGATCAACATCCCGGGGTCTGCAGGATCTACTGGGGAATCAGCTGCCCCTGGGGCCATGCTCAGTGCCTCCTGCCTGCATTCCGTCGACCGTGCAGGCTCAGCTCTGACATGCTGCGCCAGAAGGGCAAGTTTTCCCAGCTCTCCTCGCCCTTGGAACCAGCTGAACCAGGACTGGTCAGCACCTCCCCACCAGGAGCAACTCTGGAACGGTTCTTCTCTGGCTGCCACAAAGGGGCACAGGTACCTACAGAGAGAGTTAAAAAACAGGGTGAGATTGGAAAGATCAGGGGTGGGTGGAGCTGAGATCATCCAAACAGAACTGGCCACCTAGAGCTGATGTTGCCCACCACACCTGGGCTTTTGAAGAGGCTGTCCACTGTGCCTGGAACTACCCTTGTTCTTTTACCCACTGCAGTTTTGAAAATCCATTCCTTTAATGTTATTTCATTTAGCACCCACTATCTGCTAGGAACTATTGTAGATAATGAATTACAGAGAAGACTCTATCCTCTGGGACATGGAAACAATCTCCCAACAAACGCCCTTTATTGACAGTCCAGATTGAAGGAAGGAACTGTACCGTGGGACATGGCTTTTCCAGGCCCCGACAAAGGCTCTGGCACATACTCGGTGCCCAAGGGAAGTGAACAATGAATAATTGATGTGAACAAAGGCCTTGGGCTCAATCCCCAGCACCAAAAATAAATAAATAAATAAATAAATGTCATCTTTGGGAAGGTGGAAAATTCACCTGGCAATGGCCCTGTTATATTCCCAGGGCCCTAACAAATGTGTGCCCCTCAACAGGTAATCAATGAACTCCTTAATGACATAATTAGAATCGCCATTCATAATTAAGCACAAATTGTATAACGACTCCTGTGTTAAGCCTTTTACATACATGATAGATCCGAAAAGTCACCTATGTCTGAGACTCCTCCTTGGCCCCGCCCACCCCTCAGAGCCTGCCCCTCCAGAGCCACGCCCTCAGCCCTTCCCAGTAGGGTCCCACTGGCTGCGCCTTTTGGCTCGGGAGGCCCAGAGTCCCTAAGCACTAGCTCACCTTCACTGACCGCAGCCCCCGAAGGCTTCCTGCTCCAAGCAGCGCGCCACAGCTCCTGCACCAGCAGTGGGCGCTCCGAGTCGCCCAGCACGCGCAGGTGCTCTGGCCGCCACTCGCTGCTGCCCACTCTGGCCTTGGCTAGTTGGTCCAGCACGTCGCACAGCATGAAGACGTCCACGCCGCTGCTCTCGCATGGGCTGCTGGCCAACCCATAGTGCTCCAGCGCTTCAGCCACCAGCTCCCGCGCCGTGGCCAGCACGCGCTTGTGGTTGGCACCCGACGCCAGGCCCCTGCCAATGATCTTGAGGATCCCCGGGGATGCAGTGGTGCTAGACTCAATGGAGGCTCCAGCAGTTCTATCTCGCTGGCCCAGCGCTGCGCGTCCCTGGGACTCATCAGTCCTCCAGCGCCCCCAGATTCGGTGGTCCCGGTCCCCGAACCACGAAAGAGCTGAGAGATGGGCTTGGTGTGGTTCCTCGAGGGTCTCCATACAGCATTCACTTCACCCACACGCCCACCACCTGCACATTGGGGACAACTGATCCTACAGCTGCAGCTCGCGGTGTCACAGGAAGAATACCTGGGAGCCACCAGTGAAGCAAGACACAAGAGAGTCACCCAGAAAGGCAAGCAGACACGGAGATGGGGTCCCAGGAAGAGGGAAGCACACAAAGGCCAAAGAGAGAGACAGGGACCAAGAGAGAAGGGAGCAGAGAAGAAAGAATAGACAATGACCCAGGGTCTACCAAGATGGGTGGTGGGTAGAAGTCACAGAAAAGAGAGATTCAAATAAACAAAAGCCAATCCCCCATTCCCAATAGGTGAGCAAGGAGGAGAGGAAGGAAGGCCAATCACAACCGGCTCATCCCAGTGCCTAAGCCCACCTCTCCCCCCATGGGCCCAGGTAAACCAGTATCTGACTTCCTGCTCTCATCACCCAGGCTCCCTTGCCCATTCAGGACTGGAACAGGAGACAGGTCTCTCAGGGTCCCTGACAAGAAAGCAATGAGCCCAAACCAGGGACAGATGGAAGGCAGGTGGGCCAGGGGCAGGTGGACCACTTTGTGGCTACTCACATGACAGAGGCAGGATGGGCCTGTGGCCCGGGGCTTGGTGGGGAGGATGGTTCCACAGGCACACAGGAGAGGGAGCTTTCCAAAGGGGGTGGGGTGCTTCCACCCTCCTTCAATACACCAGATAGCCTGGCCCTAAGGGAAGGTGGATATACATCCCCAATGGGCTGGGTTAGGGGAATGAGGCAGAGGGACATCTGGGAGATGGAGGGGCATCTGGGGAGAGGGATGGGCCCTGGACTACAGGCCCAGGAGGACTGATGGCTGCAGTGGGACCCAGGAGTCTTACCTGGTTCTTACCTGTTGCAGGTTGGGCAGCACCCAGAGGGCCTGGCTCTGATGTCCTGGGTTAGTTCCTGATCCCTTTAGAAAAGCCTGTGCCTCTGACCCAGCCCCAGCACTGTGTGGGGACATTAAAAGGCAAGAGGAAACCCAACAGGAAGAGGTGGGAGGGGGTGTCCTGAGAAGACCAGGCCTGGAGCAGGAGATCTAGGTAGGCCTGGCCCTGGCCTGTTTCTTGGTTCTGGAATTATATCAGTGGTGCCATGTTCCTCACCCTCCTCCCTGAGGCAGGAGCCCATCTCCTGATCTGTCCTCTGAGGGAACGTAAGGTATTATTCAGTCAAGAGGAGTGAGTCAAATACTTAGACCACACGACATGTATTTAATTATTGTTCTCTTTTGAGGCCCTTGTCTTTTGACGGCTAAGAAGCTGTATTTTCAAGGCTCTCATCTGAGGTCTTTGGTTTCTCTTTTGATTTTCGCCAGTAAATAAGCCTGAGGGAGATTGAATGGGTTGAGATTTGCAAATCATGGAACCATGTTAAGTAGAAAGCAGTTGAGAGCCACTCCCCAACTCCCAGCCCCACAGAGCTGACCTATTCAAACAACTATCAACGCCTGGCCCTCCTAGGTAAGCCCCCCACGCTGTAACTCCCACCAGATCTCTGGAAACCTCAGTGGCTCTGCCAACTGCTCCAGCACTGGGCAGTAGGAAGCCCCGCCATTCTCTGCAGTGACTCGCCTGAGAATAAGTGCTACTATCAGGAATATAGAGAAGGAGATCAGCAGCCAGAAGAGGATGTTTTGCAGCCTACTCTCAGTGTCGGAGGAATGGGTGGTCGTGGTCGTGATGATGGTCTCCGGCTGGTCTGGGATAACTGGAATATTCCCCCCCTCCTCCTCCGTTTCAATGTGTGATCCTGGTTTCTCTTCACGGGCATTTGGGGGTATCACTGACAGAGAAGGGACACAGTCAATGGTCAGGGCAGGGATAATGGCCAGCCCATCCCAGTACCCAGGCCAACCAGTAGAAACTTCCCAGGGAACCTTGTCCCTGCCATGAGATGAGGCAGAACCCCATCTGAAGTTAAGCTTCCAAAGCTAAGTGTACCTCCTTCTAACAACACCCAGGGCCCCAGTTCTCTATCCCCAGTACTGACCTTTGACACGATATGAAATGATGGTGGCTGGGCCCGACTTCACCGTGTCCAGCTGGCAGCGATATTTGCCTTCATCCGCTTCACTCACCCTTGGCTTTGTCAGGGTTGATTCCTTCCCCTTGTACAGCAAGGTCTCAGAATTGTTCTCCCAAACCTAGACACAAGCTCCAGAGTATCACAGAGGCCTGGGGATTCCAGGAATTGGGGAAATACAGGGCTGAGAAACTCCCGGGGCCTCAGGAAGACAGGAATCCAGGGGATCATCAAGCAGGACTTGGGGTGCCTGAGAGTCAGGAGTGACCTCACCTACTAGGCCATGAGGGTTGGGTGTAGGCCAGGGGCTCATACCAGCTTGAGTGACTTGGGGTTTAAGGGTTACAGGAGTTGGAGGGCCCCACCCTGTAAAATTTGTAGTCTGTGAGGCCTTCAGAAATATGGTGCCAAGTGAGCAGACAGTCCAAGATCATGTCTTCCATTTCATGGACCTCCACATGGCGCTCTGAGGATGGAGCATGACTGTGAGATGGTTCTTCTGGGGTCACTGCCCTCCCCAAACAGTCTCAGCTTGGTTTGGGCCAGGCCCTTCCCTGCCTCCTGTCTGCATTCTGAGCTCTCTGGACTGTCCCTCCTGTGGTTCCATCCCTCTCCCACCAACCCCTCCAGCAGGGTCCCATGCTCACCCCCGCAGGTCTTGGACTTCAGGCATGTATGAACCTCCTTCTCACAGTTCCGGCACCATATCAGAGTCTGCAACATAACGCCTGGAGGGGCAAGGTCAAGGCTGTATTCACCCACTAAGGTAGGTCTGAAAGAGAGGACAAGGCAAAGGACTGAAGGGCTGGGGGGCTATTGGGCCAAATCCCCTAGGAGGTCATCCCTCCAAGGTTAGTAAAGGGTCCAAACGGAATACACCTGCTACCTGCAAATCCAAGCCAGAGAATGGTGGCCGGAGACCCAGGAACCTCTCAGATGCTGTGAATGTGCATCCAAAAGGGGGAGGGGGAGGGGTGGGTATCATGGGCCACGATGAGGGTAGAAGAATAGCTTCTGCTGTCTGCACTCACCACATTTGTTGGGACAAAAAGCTGCCTCAGAAAGAAAAAGAGAGGGAGAAAAGAATCAGACTTTTAAACGAAGAAGGGTGGGAGAGGGGCTGGGGAAGAGCTGAGGCGTGGGTTCTTGCTTTCCTAGGGAAAGGGCCTGAGGGAAGTTCCCCCTGAGGGGCAGGCAGGAGGAGGGGACTGAGGAAGCCAAGGCCTGGATGTGGAGATGCAGGGGGCTGCAAAGAGGGATTCAGATGGTGGAAGGGAGATAGGGTAGGCCGGGCCCAGGGTTCCCATCTTCCCTCACCCTCCTTCAGGAACTGAGCAGATTCGTGCATAAAATCCCCCTTTTCCTTGTCCAACATCCAGTACAACTGCCTCACGAATTCCTCCCCTGGAAAAGAGTGGGGCGTAGCTCAGCTATTCCTCTCTTGATGGTGCAGGTCCTCATGGGGGCCTCTGTCTAGCATTGTTATTGTTATTTTTTGAAACAGCCTCTAGCTGTCGTTCAGGCTGATCTGTCTGGACTTCTGATCCCAACTGATCCTCCTATCTCAGCCCTCCTGAGCCCACGGACTGTGGGGCTTGTTCTACCTGAGGGGGCTGGCATCCCCCTTTCTGCCTTCTCAGGAAAGGGAACAGAAATCAAGCACTTCACACAGTGCCAGTCACTGGGCTAAGCAATGCACAGGTATCAATCCATCTAATTCTCCCAGGAGCTGAGGGAGGAGGGCACTGTGATGCTGTCCAGTGTAGAGCTGAGGAAACTGCCCATTTTCTTGTTTAAGGCCACATGGATAGAAAGTAGCAGTGCCAGAACTGGAACCTAGGAAATCTGGCTCCAGATCATACCAGCCAAGAGTCGTCACTGACAGCTATGGCTGCCCCGAGATTCAGGACCCCCCAGCCCTTGAGTACACTAACCTTCTACATCACTGTCTGTGATGACTTTCAGCTCCCTCAAGAAATTCGAGGCTGCTTGTTTTATTGTTTTTTCATCTATGGGCAGACATAGAACACCATGTTACAACTTTACTGCCTCCTGTAATTTCTACCATGCCCATGGGAACACACTGCAAGGATAGACCTAATTATGGAACTCACTATTCTGTTTCCCTCTGGGAATTGTTTTCTTACAGATAATTGCTAGATAGGAAGTAGAAAAACAGTGTTTGCTTGCCGCAGTCCGGCTGCAGCAAAATAACCGGGGGGTGACGAATAACTTGTGTACGTTGATACAGCAGGAGTAGGAGCCGTTTATTGCAGGACAGGAGCAGTATTTATACATTCCACACAGCTTATCTAATTAGCATAAACTAGATACATCAGTCAACCAATAAGGAATCTCCACACTTAATGGCTTGTTTTTGTTACTTCTCAAACCACTCCCTCTGGCATTTTGCCAGGCACCATCCAGACTTGTTTACGAACTCTAACATTCCCCTGGCAAAATGCCAGGTGTTATTTTGACTTCTTTACAGACTCTAACATTTGCTAGCTCTGGGAGAGCCTGGAATCTGTATCACAGACTTCTGTAGATCAGGAGAACCTGACCCAGCCCCTTTCATCTCTGGCCCTAGAAATCCTGACCAAAACCCTCTTATGGGAAGCACCAAACATGCCCTGCCCTCACCTACGGCTCCCATATAGGAACCCTCTTTAATCGGCAGTTCCTTGAATTCGTTCATAGTTTTGTGTACAATATCCATCACTTTTTTGTGACCTTTGGCATCCAAGTGCCCAGGCAGGTAGTCTGTCTCCAAGGACTTTACTGCTGCTATGACTGTCGGGTCACATGTGATACAACAGTCCGCAGGAAGCAGGCAGCTGGCCAGTGCAGCCAATGGGAGGGCAAAACACAGCCTCATTGAGCCAGAGCACTCAGTAGAAAACACCAGGAGGGTCCTCTCACCCAGGTCAAGAGCAGGTGGTGCTAAATGGAGAGAAATCAAACCTGTCTTAGAGATGCCCCCCAGGACCTCACATCCTCAGTCTCCCCCATGGGAAAGGAGGATGTTCAGGAAATCTCCAAACCAAGAAGACATGTGTCCTTCATCAAATGACTCAGAGTGTGAAACTAATCCCCAATCCACAAAGCCCCAAATTGGGGGTTTTCATTGCATCCTCAGACATCAGAACACTCTCAACCGTTCCCCACATCAGGAACCAAGATCCCCAACCCGTGCAGATCCTCCAAGCTCCCAGTCCATGGGATCCACAGCTCCCGCCCCCGCCCAAATTAACGTGATCCTCAACTCCAAACCTTAAGTGTATCAACCCTCACATACACAAAGTCCCCAAACCCTGTTGCACCTCAAGCTGAAAAGTCCTTGTCCAACTCAAATGAACTCTCCCGCAGGTTCTCAAAACTCCCTCAAGACCAAACTACACTCCAGATCCCTTACCCTGGGGACCCCACTAATGTATGCAAGACTCCCAGCCACCCTCCTATCCCTCCTGTCCACCCTTGCCCAAGGCTACGACCTCTTATTTTCAGGGTGCACCTTCTCAGGAAATGGAGCCCGCAAAGCACCCTAAACGCGAGGCACCCTAATTAACTAGCTCCTCTCCGACCTTGATCCTTGACTTGTGCCTTCAAACCCAGGATTCGCTCAGGATCCCATTCAGACTGTGAGGAACCCGGTGCCGCGTCCTTCTGCCTTAATATTTCCCACGACTGTAACTCAGGTTTTGTGAGGGACAGTTTGGCTGCGTGAAGTCGAGAGCTTTTCCAAGGGGATATGTGTCACGGGAGGTCCCGGTTCCACCAGGAACTCCAGTCACGTATCCTTTGGAGGGCCAAATCCGAAAAAGTACTTCCTAGGGCTATCTGGCCACGCCCAGAATCTCAACTCTGCTTCTGATTGGACCACAACAAAGGGAGACCCGCCTACCTCTCCATGACGTCACAGGGACGGTGACCTTTACAGACACCTTCATTCCAGCATCCACTCTAGCGAAGTTCATCCGTAGGCTCTGGCTTTCAGAGCCCAGGACCGGGCTTCTGGCCCTCAGCGTCCTCCCTTCCTGGGCCCTGGGGACCTGGATTCTGGCTTGGTGCCCCTGCCAGCCTCAAAGTTAGGGAAGGGGCCATTTCCAGCCTAAGATTAGCACTGCCAGAGGCGCTGGGGTCTTTTTCTCTACTGTGACTGGCGCCCCAAGCTTTATGGAGATTGATGTTCAGTAATGATTCTCTCTCCTCATTTCAATTCCACATTCTCCTCCCAGGTTAAGGAACGAACGCCCAGATCTCAGTGGGATGGGAGTTCTTGAGGCCATTAATGGGGGGTGCTAGAGAAAGGTATGGAGCGCTCCCACCCTTGGAATCCCGAAAGCGCTCTCCTTGCTTTCCTTCCTGCTTCAGGGAAACTCACAGGGTTTCAGCAGCGAAAGGGCTGCCAGATCTGAGTAGGAAGCAAAACCTAAAATATGAATAAAGACAATCTGGGAGCTCCCATCTTCCCTTCAGTGTTTTATCTTACACAGAGGGAGGGGAGGGGATGGCAGGGAGCACAGCTGCAGAGACAAGGGTTGGGAATGTAGAATTTTAATTCCTACCTCCCACTCACCTCCCTTTGGTAGCTGCTTGGGTTGGTACCCTGAAATCCTGAGAAGATCAGAGGCCTAGATTCCTGGAGGGGGAATGATTAGATTTGGCTGTGTCTGTTGAACCCTTTTCAAGGCACAAAAAACCAGCAAGGGCTCCTGAAATGAATGTAAGAGACTCGTGCTCTCTGGCCAGAACTTGTGCTCCTGGTGGGGTCTGACATGGGTTCAGAGGTCTTGGTATCTTCAGATCCTTTCATCTCAGACCTACCAGATTTAGTCCTTGAGTTCAGGGAACCACAGAGGTTGACAAGGAACAAATACCCTCTACAGAGACTTGCTGGTTGCCAGACATTAAAATCCAGATTCTCAGCATCCCAGCTAGAAAACAGGACACTTCCTTGATCCTAATCCCAGAGATAACAGATGCACATCCTGTGTTGGGAATTTTTGAGCTTACAAATTAGAAGTCACCCTGACTCACCAGAAGATTCTGCTGCAGAATTTGTTGTACTTCCCCAATAGGTATTCCTCTCCCAAGTCCCATGTTTTATAATGTTTGTTTGAGGGAGAAAAAAAAATAAAAGAATCTTGACTTTCCTCAGGAAATAACAGACATGGCTGTGGTGACAACTGCTCCAGCATTTCCACAGCACGTGAGCAGAGGAGGTTACTCAATGACACCTAGCATCACCCAGGGTTCAACAGGATTCAATCCCCAGTACATACTCAAAACAGACGATGGTTCACTAGAGGTCGTTTCCCAAATCTCGGTCATTCTGGTAGTGCGGGGAGTGTTGAGTATGGCAGTAGTCCCTTCATCAGATTCTTTGCAGAACAATGTAGAATTCTGGATCTTTATTCCCCAGTCTCTGCAGGGATATTCAAGAACAGTAGAGCTGGTTCTCCATAGAACAAACCCCAATGGGAATTAGTCCAGGAACCCTGAAGGAGAGCTAATGAGGGCCTGCTCTAGATCAGCCATGAGGTCCTTCAGTCTTCTGAACACCAGGGCAGAAGTAACACCTCTGCTAGGAAAGACCAGCAGAGTGGACTTTAGAAGGCAGGGTTCCCTGTTCTCAGGGGCAGCCATGCAGAAATACTATGGAAATGATGATCAGGTGGGCACTGTGGCTTCTGGAGCCACCATGAGCTTCACTGGGCATTGCCAGCCATCAGAAAAAATGTTCTGCTGGTTGTAGGTGTTCAGGCAGCTCCAGGAAGCCCCTACTTCTTTCCACCTCTGGCCAACTAGAATCTCTCTGGCCATGGGCACCACCTGTTCTGGGACCACCCCTGATTTCTCCAGAAGCTGCCAAGCCTCTGGAGACATGTCTGTCTGACTGTAGCCTGATGAGACCAGTCCCAAAAGTCTCCCTGGCTTCCAAGGCCCAGCCCCTGTCTGCACTGGAGACAAGTCTGCATTAATGCCCACCCACTCAGGCAGGAAGGCAGCCTCAGGCTTGAAGACCTTCAGGAACTCTGAGTCTGGCAGGGTGAGGTTGGCAAGGTAGACAGTGTCTCCACCAGCCAGGTAGGCAGCCCAGAAGCCAAAGGTACCAGTGGTCCTGACAGTGTGGTTATACTGAATGACAAGGACCAAGGCTATCCCCCGTGAGCCACATCACCATGGGAGCATGAATATTTTCCCAGCACCTTCATGCCATAGATGGTGAACACAAAGATGGGGGCTTCATGCCAGGCCCAGAACCAGTCCATAGCCTGCTGAATATAAGCGCTGTCACTCACCACACCCTTCTAGCACTGGGCCAGCACCCGCAGATGTCTTCATGGTAGACAACGACAACCACAAATGTGTGAGGTCGGGTTCCAGTGAGCCTTAGGCAGAGCTGACCCAATAAATGCTGGGCCTCCTCCTGGAGGTTGTCATGAGGGGGAACTTCCTGCAGATGCTGGAAGAAAATCCAACAGCCAGGGAAACCAGAGAGCCACAGAGTAGCTTCTCCCATAACATCCAGCACAGGAAATTGGTGCTGCCAAGATCAACCCACCACCCCACTAAAATGGACTCTCCCCTACTATCATCCTCAAAGAATGAAGCTCTCCAAGGAAACATTCCTCCACTTCCACAATGCTGGCCCCGCTTACTCATTATTCTACCCTTAAGATGGAGCCTTACAGATATTTCCCAATTCACTAAGATATTTCCCCTCTCTCAATATCCCAAAGGAAACAGATGTTTTAAAAGTCACTCTGGAAGAGAGTTAATGAGTGCTTGCTCTAGATAAACCAAGGGTTCCTTCAATATTCTGAACACTAGGGCAGAAGTAACATCTCTTGGAGAAAAGACCATCAGAGTGGACTCTAGAGGGAGGGTCCCCTCTCCTGAGGGGCAGCCATTCAGAAGACTTAAACAAAGGTAACAACCCAAAGGGTGTTCCATTGCCTAGACCTGTGAAGGTGCATTTCTAAGGTGAGCCCTTTCCACAGTGCATTCTCTCAGTTATTCCCATCCCTTACAAGGAAGCCTGCTCCAACAATGGACTCCTCTATTTGCCCTCACTCCCTTGTAGGAGGACTCCAAAGACATGCCCACAACATCAACAGAGGTTCTCACTATGCCCCTCCTTATAGGGGACACCTCCTAGAGATTTCCATAGAGTGGCTTTTCTAGTAATCATGCTTTCAAACACCTGCCTCAAGGAGAGAGCTTCCTACTTCATCCACTCCCCGAAAAGATGCATTCCAAAGAATCTTTCTTAAAAAGGTGCTCTTGTCTCCATTCTGTAAAAATGGAAGCAGTGTGTCACCTTTACAAAATAAACCGAAGACTGTGTGCATGTATGAACGTGTACCAACTAATTCCATCAATATATAAAACTATAATGTAACAAAGTAAAATAAAAATACATAAGTAAAATAAATCTAAAGTTCAAGTTCTCCCATTGTCACCCAAATGTGTAAATGCATAGAAGTGCCAGCACCCGCTGCCTGCATCCACAGTGGTCAAATGTCCCAGTGAAAACCATCACCTTTTACAAATGGGTTCATCCACTCCCCCACCAAAGAAATACAGGCTTTTCTAGATCAAGACCCCAGACACCAGTCAAGGACGTCCCTGCCCCAGCACATGCACTCTCCTGTCGTCCTCCCTCAAGAAATGATGTCTGCACAGGGTCTCCTTCCTGCAGTGGACTCTCCTTTGAAAAGACACAGCTTGCCCCCCTACACTTTCAGTGACAGGACCATGCCCTGTTTATGCCTCCAGTGTAATCTTTTTTTGTTGTTGTTGTTGTTGATGGATTCTTTTTTTTTAATATTTATTTATTTTTTTAGTTATTGGCAGACACAACATCTTTGTATGACACAACATCTTTGTTTGTATGTGGTGCTGAGGATCGAACCCGGGCCGCACACATGCCAGGCGAGCGCACTACCGCTTGAGCCACATCCCCAGCCCTCCAGTGTAATCTTGTCAGCCATCTCCCTTCTGCCTCCTCCACACTCACACTCTGCAACCTGGCTGTGCTTTTGCCTACCAGAGGACCTGAGGCTACGTCAACCAGAGGAATTCTGAGAACTACAGGTTTATCACTCTCCAAAGACAGGGGGGACATAGGGCTCTGGGTGGTTGGGGAGGCGATGCTCACCTGGGCATCCTGATAGCCCTGGAGCAGTAGAAAGTAGGGGCGATTGCTGGGGGCCTGGATGAGGCACTGAGTCAACTGATCAAAATCCCCAGGGTCTGCAGGTACTATTTGGGTATCAGCTGCCCCTGGGGCCATGCTAAGTGCTTGCTGCCTATGTTCCTGCTGCCGCCTTCTCCGACCCTGCAGGCTCAGCTCTGATACGCTGCGCCGTAAGGACAGCGTTCCTTGCCCCCAGATCCAGACCCAGGACCAGGACTGGCCAGTGCGGCCCCACCAGAAGCTGCCCAGGAACGGTTCTTCTGTGGTCGCCATGAGGTGGCGCCCTTGCCTACGGAGAGAATTAAAATGCCTGAGAGTAGAAAGACCAGGGAGAGAGAGAGAACTGAGATCATCCATCACAAGCTGAGTGCCCTGTCCCTCAGTGCACAGGGCTGCGCGCCTCCAGTCTCCCTGTGGCATGTGCAACCCTTGCCTCCTGCTTCAGGTCCCATGTAACAAAACTTCCTTGGCCTCTACGAACACCTCTTCCTCTAGCCCTTTGCTTTACCCTGTGCCCACACTTGGCAGCCAACCCAGCCTAAGGCCACCTAATCCAAGACCTGCCACCAGAAACACAAGTTCCTCTCCCTCCTAGGCTCTGCCCACATAGGCCCTGACCCTCAAGATCCGCCTCAGCATAGTTCCCTGAGCTGTCTCCTGACACACAGACCCACAAGCAGGTGCCACCACACCTCACCAGGCCCAACACCTCAGGCTCAGGCCTACTCAGTTCCTCAGACTCCACCCTGGCCCCGCAGGCCCACCCACGGCTCTGCACAGCCCTCCAGGACATTGTCCTGGCCTGTTCCTCATCTCCTAGTTCTCTCCAACTTAGATTTTCCCCTAACACTGGCCGAATCCCTGGGAATTCGCTAGGCTCTGGCGCTTCCCGCAGGCTGCTGAGCTGCCAGAACCCACCGACACCCCGCTGGGGAGCTACCACTGCTTTGGCCACCTACACATTCAGCCTCCTGCAAGGCAGCCTGGAATGCCTCCTAAAGGCCCTGACTCCATCCCGAGACACTCTGGGACACCTCCAACCACTGCCACCAACCGGGCCAGCCCCACGGGAATCCAAGCACCACTCTGTAGGTCCTGGGAAACCAGCAGGTCCCGCCCAGCGCTCAGATGCTGCAGCCCCGCCTTCTCCCAGGCTAGTCCCCCATTGGCTCCCCCCAACCTGCTTTAAGGTGCCCACTCGCCAAAGTTCCAATTGCAGCGTGGGTGAGTCAGTGGCTAGCTGCAGGGTTTCCTCGGGTCTGAAGATGAAGACCGGGGATCCGCCTCTGCGAACAGAATCGCAGAGAGTCATCCAGAAAGACAAGCAGACACGGAGATGGGGTCCCAGGAAGGGGGAAGGACACCAATACCCCAAGAGAAAGAGGGACAGGAGTGAGAAGGGAGCAGAGACAGTAAGGAAAAACAGAGACCCAGGGATGACCAAAATGGGTGGTGGGTAGACACAGCAGGAAAGAGACTCTAAATAAATAAAGGCCAGTCCCACAGAAGCCATTACCAAGAGGTGAGAAGGGAGGGGAGGGGAGGAAGGAAGCAGAATCAAAACCCGCCCTGTGTGGCCCACCCCAGTGCCTAAGCCCACCTCTCCCCCCACTGGGCCCAGGTAAACCAGTATCTGACTTCCTGCTCTCATCACCCAGGCTCCCTTGCCCATTCAGGACTGGAACAGGAGACAGGTCTCTCAGGATCCCTGACAAGAAAGCAATGCATGGGGCTGAGCCCAAACCAGGGACAGATGGAAGGCAGTTGGGCCAGGGGCAGGTGGACCACTTTGTGGCTACTCACATGACAGAGGCAGGATGGGCCTGTGGCCCGGGGCTTGGTGGGGAGGATGGTTCCACAGGCACACAGGGGAGGGAGCTTTCCAAAGTGGATGGGGTGCTTCCACCCTCCTTCAATACACCAGATAGCCTGGCCCTAAGGGAAGGTGGATATACATCCCCAATGGGCTGGGGTTAGGGGAATGAGGCAGAGGGACATCTGGGAGATGGAGGGGCATCTGGGGAGAGGGATGGGCCCTGGACTACAGGCCCAGGAGGACTGATGGCTGCAGTGGGACCCAGGAGTCTTACCTGGTTCTTACCTGTTGCAGGTTGGGCAGCACCCAGAGGGCCTGGCTCTGATGTCCTGGGTTAGTTCCTGATCCCTTTAGAAAAGCCTGTGCCTCTGACCCAGCCCCAGCACTGTGTGGGGACATTAAAAGGCAAGAGGAAACCCAACAGGAAGAGGTGGGAGGGGGTGTCCTGAGAAGACCAGGCCTGGGGCAGGAGATCTAGGTAGGCCTGGCCCTGGCCTGTTTCTTGGTTCTGGAATTATATCACAGTCTGCTGTCCCCTCCACCAGACCTCAGTGGTGCCATGTTCCTCACCTCCTCCCTGAGGCAGGAGCCCATCTCCTGATCTGTCCTCTGGGGGAACGTAAGGTATTAATTAGTCCAGAGGAGTGAGTCAAATACTTAGACAACAAGACACGTATTTAATTATTTTTTCACTTTGAGGTCATTGTCCTTGATGTCTTAGATGATGTATTTTCAACTCCCTTCGAGGTCGCTGACTTTGTTGTCTTAACAGATGACGTCTTAGAAGCTGTATTTGCAAGGCTGGATTGTGAGCACTGTTTCTGTCTGGATCTTCGCCAGTAAATTAGCCTAGGGGAGATTGAACGAGGTTGAGAGGTGCAACTCAGGGAGTCATGTTAGGTAGGAAGCAGTTGGGACCCACTCCCTAACTCCCAGCCCCACAGAGCTGACCTATTCAAACAACTATCAACGCCTGGCCCTCCTAGGTAAGCCCCCCACGCTGTAACTCCCACCAGCTCTCTGGAAACCTCAGTGGCTCTGCCAACTGCTCCAGCATTGGGCAGTAGGAAGCCCCCCCTCTCCCTCCAGGTCCCACCTTCCTCCCTAGACTCACCTGAGAAGAAGGGCTGCTACCAGAAGTATTAAGAAGGAGATCAGCAGCGCAAAGAGGCGGCCTTGCAGCATACTCTGGGCCTGCGAACGCTGGAGGGATGTGATGGGCTCTAGGTGTGCTGACGCTGCTGTACTTTCTGTGGGCCTTTCTGAGTTCACATCTAACGGGCTCCCCTCAGTGTCTTCAAGCTTTTCTTTATGTTTCTCATGGCGGATTTTAGGGGGCAGCACTGATAATAGGAGGGCCAATAGCAGTCAGAGAAGGATTGAGGCGCACCAGCCCCAAGACCCAGGCCCTCCAGTAGAAACCTCCTAGGGAACACCATCCCTGCCACCAGAGGCCACGACAGAGGCCTGAAGGCAGAACCCCATCTGAAGTTAAGCTTCCAAAGCTGAGAATACTTCCTGTACCTCCTTCTAACAATACCCAGGGCCCCAGTTCTCTATCACCCCAGTACTGACCTGTGACATGATATGAAATGATGGTGGCTGGGCCTGACATCACCGTGTCCAGCTCACAGCGATATTTGCCTTCATCCGCTTCACTCACCCTTGGCTTTGTCAGGGTTGATTCCTTCCCCTTGTACAGCAAGGTCTCAGAATTGTTCTCCCAAACCTAGACACAAGCTCCAGAGTATCACAGAGGCCTGGGGATTCCAGGAATTGGGGAAATACAGGGCTGAGAAACTCCCGGGGCCTCAGGAAGACAGGAATCCAGGGGATCATCAAGCAGGACTTGGGGTGCCTGAGAGTCAGGAGTGACCTCACCTACTAGGCCATGAGGGTTGGGTGTAGGCCAGGGGCTCATACCAGCTTGAGTGACTTGGGGTTTAAGGGTTACAGGAGTTGGAGGGCCCCACCCTGTAAAATTTGTAGTCTGTGAGGCCTTCAGAAATATGGTGCCAAGTGAGCAGACAGTCCAAGTTCAGTTCTTCCGATTGATGGACCTCCACATGTTGCTCTGAGGATGGAGCATGACTGTGAGATGGTTCTTCTGGGGTCACTGCCCTCCCCAAACAGTCTCAGCTTGGTTTGGGCCAGGCCCTTCCCTGCCTCCTGTCTGCATTCTGAGCTCTCTGGACTGTCCCTCCTGTGGTTCCATCCCTCTCCCACCAACTCCTCCAGCCTGGTCCCATACTCACCCCCGCAGTTTATGGGCTTCCGGCAAGCGTGAACCTTTTGCTCACAGTGCTGGCACCATATCAGAGTCTGAAACATGATGCCTGGAGGGGCAAGGTCAAGGCTGTGTTCACCCATTAAGAGGTGGGTTTGAAAAAGGTCAAGGGGAAGGGCTAAAGGGCTGGGGGCCTGCTGGGCCAAATCCCTAGGAGGTCATCCCTCCAAGGTCAGTAAAGAGTCCAAATAGGGGCCGGAGTTGTGGGTCAGTGGTAGAGCACTTGCCTAGCACGCGTGAGGCACTGGGTTCGATCCCCGGCACCACATACAAAATAAATAAATAAAATCAAGGTATTGTGTCCATCTATAACTAAAATAAATAAATAAATAAGAGTTCACATAGGATACACCTGCTACCTGCAAATCCAAGCCAGAAAAAGGTGGCTGGAGACCCAGGAACCTCTCAGATGCTGCAAATGTGCATCCAGAAGGCGGGAAGGGGAGGGGTGGGTATCATGGGCCACGATGAGGGTAGAAGAATAGCTTCTGCTGTCTGCACTCACCACATTTGTTGGGACATAAAGCTGCCTCAGAAGGGAGAAAAGAAGGAGAAAAGAATCAGACTTTTAAATGAAGAAGGGTGGGAGAGGGGCTGGGGAGGAGTAGAGGTATGGGGAAGGGCCTGAGGGAGGTGACCCCTGAGGGGTCAGCAGGAGGAGGGAACTGAGGAAGCCAAGGGCCTGGATGTGGAGATGCAGGGGGCTGGAGAAAGGGACTCAGGTGGTAGAAAGGGGAAGGAGTTGGAAGGGTCCAGGGTTCCCATCTTTCCTCACCCTCCTTCTGGAAATGAAGAGCTTGCAGGTTAAAATCATCCTTTTCCTTGATCAGTGTGTGGTTGAGCTCTCTGATAAAGTCCTCTCCTGGGAGAAAGCAGTAGTGCTTAGTTCTCTCCTCCCCCAGGTGTGTGTGGGTTCTGAATAGGGTCTTCATCTTTGGAGACAGGCATTCTTTTTTTTTTTTTTTTCCCCAATTGAAACAGCCTCTAGCTGTTGCTCAGGCTCTCTGGACTCCTGATCCCTCGGATCCTCCTGCCTCAGCCCTCCTGAGCACCAGGGGCTACAGGGAATGTGCCACCTGGAGGGGCTGACATTCCATCTTCTGCCTTCTCAGGAAAGGGCACAGAAATCAAGTACTTCACACAGTGCCAGTCACTGGGCTAAGCAATGCACAGGTATCAACCCATCTAATCCTCCCAGGAGCTGAGGGAGGAGGGCACTGTGATGCTGTCCAGTGTAGAGCTGAGGAAACTGCCCAGTTTCTCGCTCAGGGCCACAAGGATGGGAAGTGGCAGAGCCAGAATTTGAACTAGGCAGTTAGTCCCAGAGCCATGCATCACATCCCCAGGGTAGGTATCACTAGCAATGGCTCTCCTGCAAAATCCAGGACCCTCCTCCCAGCCCTTCAGTCATTAACCTTTTACATTACTGTCTGTGATGCGTTTCAGCTCCTTCAGCAAAGTCCGGGACACCTCTTCCAATGAGTTCTTATCTGTGGGTTGATACAGAACCCCAGATTCCACCTTTACTCCACTCTAAGGCTACTACCTCATAATATCTACCATGCCCATGGGAACACAGTGCAAGGATAGACCTAATTATGGAACTCACTATTCTGTTTCCCTCTGGGAATTGTTTTCTTACAGACAATTGCTAGAAAGGAAGTGGAAAAACAGTGTTTGCTAGCTCTGGGAGGGCCTGGAACCTGCAACTTGCCTACTCCATTCCCAAGACCAGGGGAACCTGGCCCATCCCCTTTCATCACTGGCCCTGGAAATCCTGGACCCAATCCTTCTTAGAAGCACCAGAGATGAATGGGCCCTCTCTGCCCTGCCCCTCACCTATGATTCCTGCATAGGAACCCTCGATGAACAGCCGGTCCTGAAAATCTTTCAAAATATTGTATACCATATCCATCACTTTTTCACGGTCTTTGGCTTCCAGGTGTCCAGGCAAGTAATCCTTCTCCAAGGACTTTACTGCTTCCATGACTGACGGCTCACATGTGACACAACAGCTTGCTGGAATCAGGCAGCAGGCCAGTGCAGCCAACAGGAGCACAAAACACAGCCCCATTGAGGCCTGAGCACTCGGTAGAGAAAACACCAGGAGGGTCCTCTCACGCTCGACAGAGTAGATGACTCTAAACAGAGAGAAGCCAAAGCCCATCTTAAGGTCCCATGAACCCCACATGTGCAATCTCCCCCATGGGAACAGGTCTTCAGGAAATCTCCATAGGATGAAGACTTGTATGCTTCATCAGATGCTTCAGAATTTTGTGACTTATGCCCCATCCAGAGGACCCCAAACTGAGGGTCTTCATTCATCCTCAGAGATCACCAATTTTTTTTTTTTTTTTTAGGTACCAGAGATTGAACCCAGGGACACTTAACCACTGAGCTACACCCAAGCCCTTTTCATTGTTTTTACTTTGGAGACAGGGTTTTGCTATGTTTCTTAAGCCCTCACTAAATTGTTGAGGCTGGCTTTAAACTAGCAATCCGCCGGCCTCATCCTCCGAGGTCGTTCAGATTACAGAGGTATACCACCATGCCCAGTGAGATCAGCAGACATTTAAAACATTCCCCACGTAAGGACCCAAGTCCGCCCTAACCATGCAGACTCTCCAAGCTGCCAATCCATGGGACCCACAGCTCCCCCACAATTAATGTGGTCCTGAACTTCCAACCTCAAGCCAATCAACACTCAGACACACCCAAGCCCCCAAACCCTGTTGCACCTCAAGCTGAAAAGTCCATGTCCAGCTTCAATATATCAGACTCTCCCACATGTTCTCAAAACTCCCTCAAGACCAAAGTACACTCCAGATCCCTTACCCTGGGGACCCCACGAATGTATGCAAGACTCCCAGCCACCCTCCTGTCCCTCCTGTCCACCCTTGCCCAAGGCTAAGACCTCTTATTTTCAGGGTGCACCTTCTCAGGAAACGGAGCCCCAAAGTGCCCTAAACGCGAGGCACCCTAACTAACTAGCCCCTCTCCGACCTTGATCCTTGACTTGTGCCCTCAAACCCAGGATTCGCTCAGGATCCCATTCAGACTGTGAGGAACCCAGTGCCGTGTCCTTCTGCCTTAATATTTCCCACGACTGTAACTCAGGTTTTGTGAGGGACAGTTTGGCTGCGTGAAGTCGACAGCTTTTCCAAGGGGATATGTGTCACGGGAGGTCCCGGTTCCACCAGGAACTCCAGTCAACGTATCCTTTGGAGGGCCAAATCCGAAAAGTACTTCCTAGGGCTATCTGGCCACGCCCAGAATCTCAACTCTGCTTCTGATTGGCCTCCACATGGGAGACCCGCCTACCTCTCCATGACATCACAGGGACGGTGACCTTTACAGACACCTTCATTCCAGCATCCACCCTAGCAAAGTCCATCCTCACGATGTGGCTTTCAGAGTCCAGGACCGGGCTTCTGGCCCTCAGCCTCCTCCCTTCCTTGGCCCTGGGGACCTGGATTCTGGCTTGGTACCTCTGCCAGCCTCAAAGATAAGGAAGGGGCCATTTCTAGCCTAGGACTAGCACTGCCAGAGGCGCTGGGGTCTTTTTCTCTACTGTGACTGGCGCCCCAAGCTTTATGGAGATTGATGTTCAGTAATGATTCTCTCTCCTCATTTCAATTCCACATTCTCCTCCCAGGTTAAGGAACGAACGCCCAGATCTCAGTGGGATGGGAGTTCTTGAGGCCATTAATGGGGGGTGCTAGAGAAAGGTATGGAGCGCTCCCACCCTTGGAATCCCGAAAGCGCTCTCCTTGCTTTCCTTCCTGCTTCAGGGAAACTCACAGGGTTTCAGCAGCGAAAGGGCTGCCAGATCTGAGTAGGAAGCAAAACCTAAAATATAACGAGTAATGACAAACTCAAGATCCCATCTTCCCTCCATTGTTTTATGCACACACACTGCCAGGAAAGCTGTAGATACAAGCATTGGGAATGTAGAATTTTATACCTCCCACTCTCCTCCCTGTCTTACCTTCGCTGGGAATGGTACCCTGAAACTGTAATTAGACCAGAGGTGTGGATTCTTGGAGGGGAATGATTAGATTTGGCTGTGTTTGAGGAAGCTTTTTTATCACCCCCAAAGCAGCAAAAGCTCTCTGGAAATGAGTCGAGTTTTATACTCTCTGGCCAGACCCTGTGCTCCTGCTTGGGTCTTGGTATCTCTAAATCCTTTCATCCCAGGCCTACACAAAGACAGATTTAGTGCTTCTGTGATTTTCAGGGACAGACAATGGTTAATAAGGAACACAGTATCTCCTGGCTTTCTGCAGACTTGTTGGATTCCAGATATCAAACCCCAGATACTCAGAACCCAACTAAAGGAGAAGACACTTGCTTGACCTAATCCCAGAGATAATAGATCCAGGTCTTGAGTTTGGAAGTTTTGACCTTCCAAATTAGAAGTCTCCCTGGATTGCTAGAAAGTTCTGCTGCAGAAGTTGCCACACTTCCCCAATGGCTATTCCTCCCACCTCTCCCATGTTTTAGACTGTCTTCTCTAGGAGGAAGGAAAAGAAAGAATGAATGAAAATAATATTTCAAAACTTTCCTCTAGGCATAAGGGGTTGGAGAGTTTTAGTCCTGCTCACAACTGCCCCAGCATTTCCAGAACCTGGGAGCAGAGGAAGAGGCTAATTCACACTGAATGAGCTTCCCCTGGGTACTGTGTTCAATCCCCAGTACACACTCAAAAAAGTTGCTGGCTCTAGAGGCAGTCTCCAAAATCCTGATCTTTCTGGCAGTGGAGGAGTATTGAGCTTCTGGTAGCTTGTTCATCATATTCTTTGCCATAACTATGCAGAATTCTGGATCCTACCTTCCAGTCCCTGCAGGGTTCTTCAAAAACATTAAACATGGACCTCCCTAGAGCAAACCCCCAACAAGAATTTCTCCAGAAACTCTGAAGGAAAGTTAATGAGTGCTTGCTCTAGATGAAGCATGAGTTCCTTCAGTGTTCTGAACACCCAGGGCAGAAGTAACACCTCTTCTAGAAAGACCAGGAGAGTGGACTCTAGAAGAGAGGGTTCCCTGTTGTGAAGGGCAGAAGCCTTAAACAAAGGTAATAAACCTTAAACAACGGGTCTTCCATTGCCTAGACTGAAGGTGCATTTCCAAGGTGACCCCTTTCTACAGTGCATTCTCTTGATTATTCCCATCCCTTGACAAGGAAACAGACTCCAACAATTTGTATTTCCCCCACTCACATGTAGGAGAACTCTGAAGACACGCCCACAACATAAACAGAGGTTCTCACTATGCCCCTCCCTACAGGGGACACCTAGAGATTTCCGTAGGTGGCTCTTGTAATAATCATACTTTCAAACACCTGCCTCTAGGAGCTCTGCCTCAGAGAAAGCTTCCTGCTTCATCCACTCCCTGAAGAGATGCATTCCCAAGAACCCTCCATTCTGTAAAATGGAAGCAGTGTGCTCCCTTTCTAAAATAAACCTAACACTCAACTTTTCCTATTGTCACCCAAATAGAAGTGTTCTTCCACCTGCCTGCATCAACAATGGTCAAATTGCTCCATTGTAATTCATCACCTTTTGTGTGTGTGTGTGGTTGGGAGCTTGAACCCAGAGACACTGTAACACTGAGCCACATCCCTTGCCCTTTTTCATTTAAAAAATACATTTTTTTAGTTGTTAGTGGACCTTTATTTTATTCATTTATTTATATGTGGTGCTGAGGATTCAACCAAGTAAGTGCCTCACACATGATACGCAAGTGCTCTACCACTAAGCCACAACCCCAGCCCCTCATTTTTTATTTTTGATAGGGTCTTGATAAATTGCTTAAGGCCTTGTTAATTTGGGGAGGCTGGCCTCAAACTTGTGATCCTCTTTCCTCAGACTCCCAAGCTAATGGGATTACAGGTGTGCACCCCCATGCCCCCACTATACCATCACCCTTTACAAATGGGTTCATCCACTCCCCCACCAAGGAAATTCAGGCTTCTCCAGATCAAGACCCCAGACACCAGTCAAGGACATCCCTGCCCCAGCACATACACTCTCCTGTCACTCTCCCTCTAGAAATGGATGCTTGAACAGGGTCTCCTTCCTGCAGTGGACTCTCCTTTGAAAAGACACAGCTTGCCCTCCACTTTCAGTGACAGGACCATGCCCTGTTTGTGCCTCCAGTGTAATCTTGTCAGCCATCTCCCCTCCACCTCCTCCACACTCACCACGCTATTTCCTCCTGTGCAACCTGGCTGCGCTCTTGCCTACCAGAGGACCTGAGGCTACCTCAACCAGAGGAATTCTGAGAACTTCAGGTTTATCACTCTCCAATGACAGGGGGGACATAGGGCTCTCAGATGGCAATAACCTAGGCATCCTGATAGCCCTGGAACAGCAGGAAGTAAAGGAGATTGCTGGGCCCTGAATGAGGCACTGAGTCAACTTATCAAAATCCCCGGGGGGGTTTGCAGGTACTATTTGGCCATCAGTTCCCCCTGGGATCAGCCAAGTGCCTGCTGCCTGTATTCATGTTCCTGCTCCACAGACCCTGCAGTCTCAGCTCCTACATGCTGTGCTCCAGGGACAAGTTTTCTTAGTGTTCCTTGTCCTTGGACACAGGAGGATTCCTGGGATGCATACTCAGGATGAGTATTGGCCACTTTGGCATCTTGCAGACGCTGACCAGATATGGTTCTCCTGTTGCTGCCACCAGGGGGCGACTGTGCCTGTGGAGTTAGAAACAGGAGAAGACTGGAAAGACAGTGAGCTGAGATCCTCCAAGAAAGAATTGTCCACCGAAGGGGTAAGGTGGGATCCTACACTGAGCTTTTGGCACATGCTGTTTCCTGTTCCTAAGACAGTCTTCCCACTTATCTCCTACTGATGTTGCCTTTTTCAGCTCAGAACTACTAGGCCATGCATAACAGAGATGACCTTGTCCTCATGGAGACAGAAAAAAAATATCTTGAACAGTCTTCCATAACAGCCCAGGTTGAAGTAGATAAATGAATACAAGAGATAACTGGGCTTTTTCTAGATCCGTAATAGGCAATGACACATAGTAAGTGTCCAATGGAATTGAATTTAATGAGTTAAACCAATGTGTTTCCCACTAAAGATTGTGAGACCTGATGAGGTGGGACTCTCAACTGTTAATAACCCTGCTGTATTTCCCACAATATGTGCTCATTGAACACTTTTGGAGACACAGAGATGATGATTATAATCATATTCATTAATAAGTCCATTATGTGCCAGGTCCTGAAACTTCATCTACAGTTTTGCTTAAATTGACAGGTAAAGTGGGTTGGGTTGGAGCCCAGATAATCCCAGCGGCTCAGAAGGCTGAGGAAGAAGAATCACAAGTTCAAAGCAAGCCTCTGCAACTTAGCAAAGCTGTAAGCAACTCAGCAGGAACCTGTCTCTCAATAAATTATTTAAAAAGGGCTGAGAATGTGGCTCAGTGGTTAAGCACCCCCAGGGTTCAATGCACAGTAACAACAACAACAAAAAAAATCGGGGGTGGGAGTGTTTGAAATCCAAGCCTGAATATGAAGCCAATCAGTTTCATCGCTAGAACACTTTCCCCGTCCACAGCTGACTTAGGAACAGAGCAGCAGTTAGAGGACTCTCAGTGCCCTGTCCCGCAGTGCCCACGGCTCCGCCACTCTATGTGGCATGTGCTGTTCCACCCTTGAGGTCACCTCCTGCTTCAGGCCCCATGTAACAAAACCTTCCTTGACCTCTACAAACGCCTCTTCCTCTAGTCCCTTCCTTTCCCCTAAGGCCACCTAATCCAAAGCCTGCTGCCAGAAACACAGGTCCCTCTCCCTCCTAGGCTCTGCCCACATAGGCCCTGACCCTCAAGATCCGCCTCAGCCTAGTTCCCAGAGCTGTCTCCTGCCACACAGACCCACAAGCAGGTGCCACCACGCCTCACCAGGCCCAACACCTCAGGCTCAGGCCTACTCAGTTCCTCAGACTCCACCCTGGCCCCGCAGGCCCACCCACAGCTCTGCACAGCCTCCAGGACATTGTCCTGGCCTGTTCCTCATCTCCTAGTTCTCTCCAACTTCGATTTTCCCCTAACACTGGCCGAATCCCTGGGAATTCGTTAGGCTGTGGGAAGAACCCACCGACACCCCGCTGGGGAGCTACCACTGCTTTGGCCACCTACACATTCAGCCTCCTGCAAGGCAGCCTGGAATGCCTCCTGAAGGCCCTGACTCCATCCCGAGACACTCTGGGACACCTCCAACCACTGCCACCAGCCGGGCCATGCCCCACGGGAATCCAAGCACCACTCCGTAGGCCCTGGGAAACCAGCAGGTCCCGCCCAGCGCTCAGATGCTGCAGCCCCGCCTTCTCTTGTAGTTGGCACCTGACGCCAGGCCAGAGCCAAAGATCTTGAGGATCCCTGGGGGCGCTGTGGCGCCGGACATCAATGGGGGCTGCCAGTTCTGGCATCTTCTCGCTGACCCATTGCTGCTCGCCCTCCGGAGTCCCTGTCCCAGAGCCCCCGAAGAGCTGGGAGATGCGTTGGGCGCGGCTCCCCGAGGCTCCCCCCACCGCCTTCAGTGGGCCCACTTGCCACAATTCCACTTCCGGCGGGGTGGGGGCAGCGGCTCGCTGTTGCGGCTCCCTGTGTCAGAAGACAAGACCTGGCAGTCACCCATGAACAGAGACGCAGGAGAGTCACCCAGAAAGGCAGGCAGACACTGAGATGGGGGCCAAGGAGGAGGGAAGCAGAGACAGAAAAGATAGACCCAGGGAGGACCCAGATGGGTGTGGGTAGAGGTCCAAGAAAAGAGTGAGTTCAAATAAACAAAGGCCAGTTCCATGGAAGCCATTTCCAAAAGGTGAGAAGGGAGAGGAGGAAGGAAGCCAGATCAAAGCCTGCTCTGTGTGGCCCGTCCCAGTGCCTGGGCCCACCTCTCCCACCCTGGGCCCAGGTAAGCTTGCCCCAGGCTCCCTTGCCCATTCAGGACTAAAACCGGAGTCAGGTATCTTGGGGTCCCTCACAAGAAGCAATGCATGGGGCTGGGCCCAAAACAGGAGCAGATGGAAGGCAGGTGGGGCAGGGACAGGTGTCCCACTTGGGTGGCTATGCACTTGACAGGCAGCTCTGGGCCAGAGCAAACCTCACTGGGCAGCTGCTTCCAGGGAGTGAACTGATCCACAGGCCCGCAGGTAGCAGAGCTTCCCAAAGCAGCATTTCTACTCTCCTCTCTTGTTCACCAGCTAGCATGGCCATGGATGGGGAAGGCCAAATGCCAGCGCTGGGTGGCTGGGGATGGGGAAGTGGTAAATCTGGAGAGAGAGGTAGGCCCTGGATTCACAGGACTTCGAGTACAGATGTCTGCGACCACTCTGAGTCCCTGGCTCTGAACAAGGGAGCCTGGCTCTGTTGGCCTCTGTTAGCTCCTGCTTTTGTAAAGCCTTTGCCTCTGTCCCAGCTCCCAGCTCTGGGTTCCGGGACAGGAAAAGGTGAGAGGAAACCTGGCAGGAAGAACGGGGAGGAGATGACCGACCACAAGACTAGGCTGGGGGTTGGGGAGGATCTTGGAAGGGCAGGTCCTGCCCTGTTTCTTGACTGGGGGCTGCCAGTTCTGGCAACTTCTTCTATCACAGTCTGTTGGCCCCTCCAGCGGGACTAAGGGACCCAGGTTCCAGACCCTCCTCCCTGAGGCAAGACCAATTCTCCAGACCTCTCAGGGAACCCAAAGTGTGGATCTGTCCAGAGGAGTGAAACAGATACTTAGATAAGACAAATCTTTATTTCTTCTGCAATTTTGAAGACATTTTCCTTGATATCTTAGAACTTTTACTATCAATGCTGGCCTGTGAGGACTTTGGTTTAGTTTTCTTCCTTTTCCGAGTGACTAGCCTGATAGAGGGTGGGGATTGCAAATAATGGAGTCCTGTTAGATAGGTAGTGGTTGAGAGACACCTGCATTAGCGTCCCCCACCAAATCTGACAGTCATCAAAGTCTGGCTCACCTAAGTAAGCCCCACCAAATTGTAATTCCCCCTACCTTCAAGAAGTCACTCAATGGCTCTGCAAGCTGAGTTTGGACAATATGAAGCCTCACCTCTCCCTCTAAGCTCTGCCTTCCTTCCAGGGTGACTCACCAGAAGATAATGGCTGCTATCAGGATTATAAGTAAGCAGATAAGCAGGCCATAGATGCGCCCTTTCAGCATACTCTTAACCTCCAGGTGCTTGGCAGTCGTGGTCTCCGGTTCTGGGCTCGGGGTTACTTCTTTCTTCCCCTCCTCCGTCTTAGCCGGGGCGAATTCACCCGTTGGCTTCCAGCCCTGCAGGTCACGGGGAAGCACTGACAGAAGAGTGGCAATGAGTGGTCAGGGCAGCGAGTCAGGGCAAGCCTGCCCCAGGATCCAGGCCCTCCAGCAGAAACAAAAGCCAAGGGACCCTGTCCCTGCAGCCAGAAGCCACAGCACAGCTGAGAAGCCATACCTCCATGGCCTGAGGCACACCCTAACCGAAATTTACACCCCCCATACATGGGACCCAGGGCCAGGAGCTGCACCCCAATACTTACCTGTGACAAGAAAATGAATGATCGTGGAAGGCCTGTTGTAAACAGTGCCCAGCTCACAGCGGTACCTGCCACTATCGTTCACAGACGCGGAGGGCCTATTAAAGACTGGATCCTTCCCTCTGTACAGCTCGGTCTCAGAATCGTTCTCCCAAACCTAGACCCAAGCTCAAGAATATCACAGAGGCCTGGGGAATTCAGGGGTTGGGGGACTCAATGCCGGGAGCAGGAATCCAGGGCATAGATGAAAAGGGCTTAGGGTGCCTGGGAATCAGGAGGGACCTCACCTAATAGGCCATGAGGGTTGGGTGCAGGCCAGGGCCATCCAGGGACCAGGGGGTCATACCCACCTGAGGGACTTGGGGTTTAAGGGTTACAGGAGTTGGAGGGCCCCACCCTGTAAAAGACGTAGTTCGTGAGGCCAACAGCTTCTTTGTGCCAATCGAGAAAACAGTTCAAGTTTAAAGCTTCGTGTTCATGGATCTCCTCAACACGATCTGAGGACAGGGCATGACTGTGAGATGCTTCCTCTGAGGTCATAACCCTCCCCAAACAGTCTCCACTCTGTTTGGGCCAGGCCCTTCCCTGTCTGCTGTCTGCATCCTGAGCTCTCTGGACTGTCCCTCCTGTGGCCCCATCCCTCTCCCACCAACCCCCCAGCGGGTCCAGCTCTCACCCCCACATTCTTCGGTCTTCTTCTTACAAAGTTGAATCTGCTTACTGCAGTAGTCGCACCATATCAAAGACTGAAACATGACGCCTGGAGGGGCAAGGTCAAGGCTGTATTCACCCACTAAGAGGTGGGTCTGAAAGAGAGGGCAAGGCAAAGGGCTGAAGGGCTGGGGCCCTACTGGGCCAGGTTCCTAGGAGATCAACCCTCCAAGGTCAGTTAAGAGTCCAAATGGAGTACACCTGCTACCCGCAAAATCCAAGCTGCAGAAAGATGACTGGAAACCAAGGAACCTCTCAGATGTTTCGAATGCACATCCAAAAAGGGGAGGGGGGAAGATGGGTATCATGGGCCATGGATGAGGGTAGAAGAATAGCTTCTGCTGTCTGCACTCACCACATTTGTTGGAACAATAATCTGCCTCAGAAGGGAGAAGAAAGAGGAAGGAACAAATCAGACTTTTAAATGGAGGGGAGAGGGAGTTAGGGGACAGCTGAATTGAGGGTTCTTATTTCCCAGAGAAGGACCTGAAAGAAGTCCCCCTGAGGGTTCAGCAGGAGGAGAGGATGGGGAAGAGGGACAGTCGGTTTTGGGAAATGGGGGGTAGGGAGGCTAGGGTCCAGGAGCCCTGATTTCTCTCACCTTCTTTTTGAAACATAGAAGCGTGGAATGCAAAGTTTATCTTTTCAAGGCGCAACATCTCTTTCAGGTTCTCAACGCTCTGCTTCCCTGTGGAAAAGGCAGGTTTGGGGAGACTAGGCAGTGGGTTTCTGGTCATGAAGCATGGCACTCCCTCCCCTTTTTTCTTTTGTCAGGGAGTCTCTCTATGTTGCTCAGACTAGTCTGGAACTCCTGGATTCAAATGATCCTCCTACCTTAATCCTCCTGAGCACCAGGGGCTACAGGGAATGTGCCACCTGGAGAGGCATTCCCCTTTTTTACAGAAATCAAGCCCTTCACACAGTGCCAGTCACTGGGCTAAGCAATGCACAGGTATCAACCCATCTAATCCTCCCAGGAGCTGAGGGAGGAGGGCACTGTGATGCTGTCCAGTGTAGAGCTGAGGAAACTGCCCAGTTTCTCGCTCAGGGCCACATGAGTAGGAAGTGGCAGAGCCAGAATTTGAACTAGGCAGTTAGCCCCAGAGCCACGCATCACATCCCCAGGGTAGGTATCACTAGCAATGGCTTCCCTGCAAAATCCAGGACCCCCCTTCCCAGCCTTTCAGTCATTAACCTTTTGTTTTACTTTCTGTGATGTTTTTCAGATTCTCCAGGAAACTCGTGATCACCATTTCATATCTTTTCTCACCTATGGGTGGATATAAAACCCGATTCCAGTTTTACTGTCTCATAGTCTTGTCTCCTAGTACAAGCTACAGTACCTATGAGGCTACTGGGCAAGAGTAGGACTGATTAAAAGACCATGGACACAGTTGCCTTCAGGGAGTTGTGGTTTCTTTACATAAAATTGCTAGATAAGGGGGAGAGAAACAATATTGGCTAGCTCTGGGAGACCCCTGGAATCTGCATGCAAGCCTTCTGCATTCCTGAACTCAGGATACCCTGACTCAGGCCCTTCACCCCTAGCCCTAGAAATCCTGGACCCAGCCCCTCCTAAGCCAGGGCCCAGGACCCAGGAGTTCAGCTCCACCTTGCCCTCACCAATGGCCCCCATATAGGTTTGCTTAGCATATGGTAGATCCGAGAATCCCTTCACGGTCCGCACTATCATAGCATACGTGCGATTCACTTCATCAGGACCCATGAGTTTAGGCAGATAATCCGTCTCCAGGGACTTTAGAGCCGCAAGAATACGAGTGTCACATATGACACAGCAGCCCGCTGGAAGCAGGAAGCAGGCCAGTGCAGCCAATGGGAGGGCAAAACACGGCCCCATTGAAGCCAGAGCACTCAGTAGAGAAAATTCCAGGAGGGTCCTCTCACCCCAAACCGCAGCTGACGCTAAATGGAGAGAAACCAAAGCCTATCTTAGGGGACCCACTGAACTCCATGTCTACAGTCTCCCCAATGGGAAAGGAGAAGCTTCAGGAAATCTCCAGATGAAGTTTTATATCCTTCATCCAAAGACTTAAGAAGTGTGAAATTTAATCCCAATTCAGAAAAGCTCAAATTTAGGGGCTCTGCATCCTGAGAGATCTTTAGATAACCAAACTAGAACACTGGACCCCCAACCCATACAGACTCTCCAAGCTGCCAATCCATCGGATCCACAGCTCCCCCACAGTTAATGTGGTCCTGAACTCCCAACCTCAAGCCAATCAACACTCAGACACACCCAAGCCCCCAAACCCTGTTGCACCTCAAGCTGAAAAGTCCATGTCCAGCTTCAATATATCAGACTCTCCCACATGTTCTCAAAACTCCCTCAAGACCAAAGTACACTCCAGATCCCTTACCCTGGGGACCCCACGAATGTATGCAAGACTCCCAGCCACCCTCCTGTCCCTCCTGTCCCTCCTGTCCACCCTTGCCCAAGGCTAAGACCTCTTATTTTCAGGGTGCACCTTCTCAGGAAACGGAGCCCCAAAGCGCCCTAAACGCGAGGCACCCTAACTAACTAGCCCCTCTCCGACCTTGATCCTTGACTTGTGCCCTCAAACCCAGGATTCGCTCAGGATCCCATTCAGACTGTGAGGAACCCAGTGCCGCGTCCTTCTGCCTTAATATTTCCCACGACTGTAACTCAGGTTTTGTGAGGGACAGTTTGGCTGCGTGAAGTTGACAGCTTTCGAAAGGGGATATGTGTCACGGGAGCTCCCGGTTGCACCAGGAACTCCTGCCACGTCCTCTTCCGAGATCCTAATTCCAAAAAAATATTTCCTAGGACTTGGGCCTCCGCGGAGAATCTCAACTCTGCTTCTGATTGGGCTGCAACAAAGGGAGACCCGCCTACTTCTCCATGACGTCACAGGGTGCTCGCCTTACGGAGAACTTCATTCCAGCATCCCCGGAAGAAAAGTCCGGGGTCCTCTGGCTTTCAGAGCCCAGGACCAGGCTTCTGGCCCTCAGCGTCCTCCCTTCCTTGACCTTGGGGACCAGGATTCTGGCTTGGTGCCTCTGCCAGCCTCGCAGATGCGTTTCTAGCCTAGGACTACCACTCCCAGAAGGCTCTGGGGTCTTTTTCTCTACTGTGACTGGCGCCCCAAGCTTTATGGGAATTGTAGTTCAATAATGATACTCAGCTCACTGGATTTCCACCTTCTTTCCCCAGGTTATGGGGGATGAACGCCCTAATGGGATGGAGGATGGAGGATGGGAGTTCTGGGGGCCACTAACGAGGGTGCTAGAGAAAGGTACGGAGCGCTCAGATACTTGGAATCCCGAAAAGCTTACTCTCCTTCATGATGTAGGGCACTAGGAACACTCACACAATTTCAGTAGCAAAGGGCTGCTAGATCTGAGAAGGTAGCATAACCTAAGATATAATGAATAGTGACAATCTCTGAGCTTCCACTTTCTCTCCAGTGTTTTACACACACACACACACACACACACACACACACACAGAGAGAGAGAGAGAGAGAGCCACGAAAGCTGCAGAGACAAGGGCTGTGAATGTGAACTTTTAATTCATACCTCCCACTCTCCTTGTGGCAGCTATGCTGGGAATGGTACCCTGAAGCCCTAAGAAGACCAGAGGCTGGGATTCTTGGAGCGGGATGAAAAGATATGGGTGTATATGAGGAACCACTTTCATCACCCAAAAAGCAGCAAGGGCTCCTGAAATGGGTCAAAAGTCTTATACTCTCTGGCTCTTGCTTGGGTTTGACTTGGGACTGGGGTCTACTTATCTCCAGTTCTTTTCATGCTAGACCTACAAAGACAGATTTAGTCGGGCATGGACACAGCAGCTCAGGAGTTTGAGGCAGGAGGATTGCAAGTTCAAAGCAGGCCTCAGCAACTTATTGAGGTCCTAAACAACTCAGTGAGATCCTGTGTCTAAATAAATGTAAAAAAAAAAAAAAAAAAAAAAAAAAGGGCTGAGATATGGCCCTCTGAGTTCAATCCCTGGTATCAAAAACAAAAAACAAACAAAAAAGTAATTTAGTGCTTCTGTGATTTCAGGGACAGACAGGGTTAACAAAGAACACAGTATCCCCTGGCTTTCTGCAGACTTGTTGGATTTCAAATATCAAATCCCAGATACTCAGAACCCAGCTAAAGAAGAAGACACTTCCTTGACCTAATCCCAGAGATAATAGATCCAGATCTTGTGTTTGGAAGTTTTGACCTTCCAAATTAGAAGTCTTCCTGGATTGCTAGAAAGTTCTGCTGCAGAAGTTGCCTCACCTCCCCAATGGCTATTCCTCTCCACTCTCCCATATCTACTCTAAGAAAAAAAAAAAAAAAGGATGAAAAAAATAATCCTTTGAGACTTTCCTCAGGGGCCAATGGTTTGGACAGACTTTGGTCTGGTCACCACGGCCCCAGCATGGGCCACACCTTGGTTCAACTGGGTTCAATCCTCAGTACACACACAAGAAGACACTGGCTCACTAGAGGCAGTCTCCCAGGTCTTGATCTTTCTGGCAGTGGCGGGGTGTTGAGTTTCTGGTAGTTCCTTCATCATATTCTTTGCCATACTTATGTAGAATTCTGGAACCTGTACCCCAGTCCCCACATTGTTCTTCAAAAGCATTAAACCTGGCCCTCCCTAGGAAAACTCCCTTCTGAATCACTCCAGAAACTCTGAAGGAGAGTTAACAAGGGCTTGCTCTAGATCAACCATGAGTTTGTTCCTTCACTGTTTTGAACACCCAGGGCAGAAGTAACACCTCTGCTAGAAAAGACCAGCAGAGTGGACTCTAGAAGGCAGGATTCCCTGTTCTCAGGGGCAGCCATGCAGAAATACTATGGAAATGATGATCAGGTGGGCACTGTGGCTTCTGGAGCCACCATGAGCTTCACTGGGCATTGCCAGCCATCAGAAAAGATGTTCTGCTGGTTGTAGGTGTTCAGGCAGCTCCAGGAAGACCCTACTTCTTTCCACCTCTGGCCAACTAGAATCTCTCTGGCCATGGGCACCACCTGCTCTGGGACCACCCCTGATTTCTCCAGAAGCTGCCAGGCCTCTGGAGACATGTCTGTCTGACTCTAGCCTGATGAGACCAGTCCCAAAAGTCTCCCTGGCTTCCAAGGCCCAGCCCCTGTCTGCACTGGAGACAAGTCTGCATTAATGCCCACCCACTCAGGCAGGAAGGCAGCCTCAGGCTTGAAGACCTTCAGGAACTCTGAGTCTGGCAGGGTGAAGTTGGCAAGGTAGACAGTGTCTCCACCAGCCAGGTAGGCAGCCCAGAAGCCAAAGGTGCCAATGGTCATGATAGTGTGGTTGCACTGAGTGAGCAGGGCAAAGTCCTTCCCTGGTGAGCCCTCCTGCCCATCACCAGCAAAGACCACATCACCCCGAGAGATGTCAATATTTTCCCAGCACCACTTCATGCCATTGCTGGTGACCACAAAGATGGGGGCTTCATGCCGGGCCCGGAACCAGTCCATAGCCTGCTGGAGATAGACACGGTCACCCACCACACCCTTCCAGCGCTGGGGCATCACCTGCAGATAGTCCCCACGGCGCACATGGACACCCACAAAGGTTCGAGGCCGGGCCCCAGTGTGGCCCAGGCGAAACTGACTCAGCAAGTGCTGGGCCTCATCACGAAGATGGTCATGAACGGTGAATTCCCTGCGGATTTGTTCCCGAAGGTGATGGAAAAATGTCCAAGAGCAGGGAAAACCAGACAGCTTCAGAAATGGATCCTTCAAGCAGAAATACTCCTCTGACATCCAGTCATGCAGCTGCAACTTCCGCCAGGGTGTCCGACTGTCTACCTCGGATGTCAGCACAGGTAGCGTGATGCGGAACACTGGGGCCAGGGTGGCATGCATGGCTGGCAAGATGAAGGCACGGTGGCCATTGAGCTGGGCCAGGGCAAGCAGTGTCGCATACTGCCCCATCTGGTTACCCAACCGGCCATCTGGGTGGATAGTCCAGGTTCCTGAGACAGGGTCAGCATTCTGAAGACAAGAGGAGGAGGTGTTTTGGGTGAGCTGTTTATCAGCCAGGCAGATGATGGCCACTGGGGCTCTCAGCACATGGCTGTCTGGACAAAGGACAGACAGGCGGAGGCCATATTGAAAGAGGTCTTGGTGGAAGTGGAGAAAGGTTATTGCTGAAAGGACACAGACAAGCAGGAAGGCCAGGCAGAGCTGGTGGCGGCTGGGGGCCCACATGGCTGCAGAGGAGGAAAGGTGAATTTAGGTGAATTCCAGGAATGTCAGGGAGGAGAGGCCTGGCGTGAGGGACTCCTGGTCCCAGACAAGGAGGAAGCTAAAAATGTGGGCTTCTGGGTCTTAGGAAGTGGCTGGGCGCTGATCCTAGGTTGGAGTGATGAGAAGCTTGGAATCTCCAGGGGGGATGGTGGGCTCAGCGGTGCACATCTGTAATTCCTGTGCTGGTGGCTTGGGAGGCTGAAGCAGGAGGATGCCAATTACCAGGCCAGCCTCAGCAACTTAGGGAGACCCTGCTTCAAAAATAAATAAATAAATAAATAAATAAATAAATAAATAAATAAATAAATAAATACAATAAAAAGGGGCTGGGGATCACAAACTCCCTTCTCAGATGTAGCAGTCTTTGAAGGGTCCACTCCACCTCTGAGGTGATGGGAAGCGACAGTTGGAATGGAACACGAGTGGCTGGAGGTGTGGACTGAGAGAGAGAGAGATCTTAGTGCCTGTAGAAGCAGGTGAGGAGGAGACTCCTGGGATCTCGGTGGTGAGAGGTCGGGGATGGCCTCCCGATCCGAAGGAGGAGCGGCTTGAAGGCCGGGGTTTCTGGCGCTCCCGCATCCGCCCCGTCCACTAACCTGAGGTCCTCGCAGTGGCCGGTCTACCGATGGCTCCGCGTGGCCGCAGCGCGCAGTCCAAAAAATGCAGCCCTCATTCCACCTCCCCGCGACCCTCCCCTCCAAGCCGCCTCCCGGGACAGGCCGCGAGGCTGGGGTGGGGAGAGAGGAGAGGAGCGAGTTTCTAAGGCTCGAAGCCTCCGCCCTCCCTCCGGAGCCGGGCAGGTAGCAGGCGGGAGGAGCCCCGCCCCTTACCTGGCGCGGGTCCTGGGCGCTGCGGGCTCGGGAGGTGCCCGGGCCCCTCCTCTTACCAGGCGAGGTGAGCGCCGCGCCCCAGCCCCTGGCTCGCGGCTTTCTGCCGGAGCCCGGGCAACAGCCGCATCTTGCGTGAACTGGACCCCTGCCTCTAAGCGGGACCCGGGAGGGAGTTCCAGTCCGGCCAGCTCCCAGCCGTGCCGGGGCTTACGGTCTGCTTCCAGCGCGGCGAGCACCGAGCGCGGCCACGCCCCAGCCGCTGTGCAGGGCCCGCACACCTGGTCCCGTCGGGTGGGACATCCTCCGGCCCTGCCGCGCCCTCCCTAAGGGATGGAGAACCTGTTTGCCCAGCAGCCGCTGGAGCGCAAGAGAATGCAAAGCCTCTGCCCGCCCTTCCAGCCCTGGAGGGAGGGCCTCCCGCCAGAAGCTGACTCGAGCCTTCCACGGCTCTCCATTCCGATTCACCCCCCGCCCCCGCCCCAGTTCCTCCTTTGGAGGAGTTCAGGGCCTGGCGATCAACTGCTGCTTTCTAGACGGGTTTTCCGCGAAGGCAACCTTTCCTGCAAACTGAAAATCCAGGGAAAAGAGGCCTCGTCGTCTCCCTGGCCTCCAACCCAGGGTCTGCACCTGGCGCCAGGGACAAAGGCTCTGAGCTCCTGCCCACCAGAACCCGTTTCTTGTTTCTGTTGTCCAAGGTCGATCCAAGGCCCCACTGCCCTGGCTCTGAGCACGCAGACCCTTGTCATTACACATAAAGCCTGTTCAAAGACACAGGCGTTTGACTTGACTCACCAGAGATTTGACTATTATTTCTTAAAACTGAAGACTCCCAGGCCCTCCTCCCTCCAACCCAGGAATCCAGCCCCTGCACTTTAGGGGTCCCAGGAAGTTACTCAACCCCTCTGGATCTCACTTCTCCCTCCAGGGCCTGGTTACCAGGGTCGGATTCTCACCATCCCCTCCCCCAGTCTATTTTGGTAGCACCTGTCTGGGCCCAGAGTAGCTGCTCTGGTGAAAGAAACACCAGGATTGCATCAGGACAGGCCACTGAGCAGGGGTTGAAGAGGGTGAAATTGATCCATGGCCTGGAGTGAGGTTTCCAAGCCAGGACACCTGCTAGGGACACTTCTTTCACGTGGTCTCAGCTTCCTGATGGTTAAGGAAAGGGTCAGACCCCTCAATACCCAGAAACCTAGAAATTGGAAAGGGATATAAATTTCATGCGTGCACCACCACCACCAACAACAAAAGTCTACATTGAAAGTCAGGAAAGCAGTTTCCAGGATCTTTACCCCACTTCCCTCAGACCCAGGGTCCGGACCCCAGGCCTCCTCCCTCAGACCCAAGGGTCCAGGCTCCAGTCCTCCACCCTCAGACCCAGAGGTCAAGGCCCCAGAACTCACCCTTCAGATCCAGGGGACCTGGCCTCAAGCCTCCTCCCTCGCACAGGGGTCCAATTCCCAGACCTCCTCCCTCAGACCCAGAAGTTTGAGCACAAGGATCCTCCTTCCCAAAAACCAGGAATCTTAGCCCTTGGCTCCTTTCAACTAGTCCCAGTTGATCAGGTCTTCATCTTCCTCAGCCCCCAGACCCAGGGGTCCAGGCCCCCAGCTCAAAGGACCCCCTCCCTCATTGCATCATCCATCCAGACTGCCCTGGCCACGGTGGAATTCTGGCTTCTGCCAAATGGGTCAAATATCATGTGTCGGAGTGGGGAGGGCAAGAGGGCGGGTCTGTCTGGGTATAAATTCTGGAGCTTCTGCATCCATCCCAAGAGTCCTGGGTGTCCTGTCAGCTGGGGATCCACAGGTAGGAGGACTCAAGCTCCTGGATGATCTGAGCCACAGTCGATCTGCTGTCCCGGACAAGCACAGCTGGAATTGATTCAGGACTGCTCACCTCGTCGGACCCCATACTCCAGACCCCGCACTCTGGACCCCGCCTGAGGACAAAGACACGCTGATGGACTGGGACAAGGCCAAGTTTGAGCCCCTGGGACTGTGGGTCCTTGTGCTGGCTGCCCTTGTGCTGGGAGCCTGCCAGGCATACCCCATCCCTGACTCAAGCCCCCTCCTCCAATTTGGGGGCCAAGTCCGGCAGCGGTACCTGTACACAGATGATGCCCAGGAGACTGAGGCCCACCTGGAGATCAGGGCTGATGGCACCGTGGTGGGGGCTGCCCATCAAAGCCCGGAAAGTGAGTGTGGGGTGGAAGATTCCTAAGGGAGGAGGCTGTGGGGCCTGGGAGAGGCACTTCCAAATGTCTAACCACTTTGTCCCCCAGGTCTCTTGGAGCTGAAAGCCTTGAAGCCTGGGGTCATTCAAATCTTGGGGGTCAAAACATCCAGGTTCCTGTGCCAGAGGCCAGATGGAGTTCTGTATGGATCGGTGAGTTTCCCAGTTTTGGGGTACCAACCTTCATGGTATCATCTTCACAATCTGGGTATCCTTTCTTGCACACTTGACCCAAGCTGGCCTCCGTCCCATGCTGTCTACACTGACAACCTGACTGCAACCCCTGCAGGCTGAGACAGTTGTTACCAATGTTTGTAAAATGAGGCGCAGGCAGTCACCACTGGCCTTATGTCATGTGTGAATGGCAGAATGGCCTGAGAGGCTGAGTCTCAGAACTATAACCCCTGCTCCTGGCCATGCGGCTCCTGCATGCCTCGCTCATCCTGAACATGGGGAGGGACATTCCAGGAATCCGTGGCTCACACTGAACATGACCTTTAGGCAGTACCCAGACCCCCTACCTGGCCTTAGAAAGCCATGACTGGTACCAGGCTAGAATGTTCTCTGTGAAGTAGGAAGGGAGGTGATCTCTGCAACTGCCCTGGGGTAAAGGAGGGATTTGCTTGTAGTGTTCTGTTTCCTAAGGGAGACTGGGGACCTGGACCCCTGGGTCCCTGGGTCTGAGGCGGGACACCTGGGGCCTGAGCTTCTGGGTCTGGGAAGAGGGCTGTGTCTGGACCCTGGGTCTGAGGGAAGAGGGCTGGGGCCTGGACTCCTGAGTTCTAGCAGACTTAGGTCTCTGAACCCTGTTCTCTGTCCCTCAGCTCCACTTTGACCCTGAGGCCTGCAGCTTCCGGGAGCAGCTTCTGGAGGACGGGTACAATGTTTACCAGTCAGAATCCCACGGCCTCCCTGTGCGCCTGCCCCCTAACTCACCATACCGGGACCCAGTGCCGCGAGGACCAGCCCGCTTCCTCCCACTGCCAGGCCTGCCCCCAGCAGCCCTGGAGCCACCAGGGATCCTGGTCCCTGAGCCCCCTGATGTGGGCTCCTCCGACCCACTCAGCATGGTGGGGCCTTTGCAGGGCCGAAGCCCCAGTTACGCTTCCTGAAGCCATGGGCCCTTCATTTTGGGGTCTCCTCTTATTTATTGGGGTATTTATCTTATTTATTTTTTTATTTTTTTTCTATCTTGGGATAATAAAGAGTCTGAGAGAGGAGTATCTAATGAGTATGTGTGTTTGAGAGAGGAAATGGGATCTGTGTCTTGTCTCTGTTGACCCTGAGATCAGTCCACATGTCTGTCCCCATTGCCTTAAGGCCCCAGTCTACCATTGGTCCTTATTTTTCTGTTCTGGCAAGGTATCCCAAGGGTCCCCAGGACTATTCCTACTCTCTGACACGACAGGAATTCTTATCCACCCCTGCCCCCATCCTTGTTAACATTATGGAACTAATTCTCTGAGGTAACATAATAATGGGGGACTTCAAAGAAAAAATCCACACTGTAGCCCCACAGCCTCATGGGAAATGTAGTTCCTTGGAAGTAGGAATGGGGAGATTCTTTGTCCTCAGAGCTGAGTGGGGCAGGGGCTCCTGGATCTTGGGGAGGGGGATACATTTGCTGCTAGGATAACACTGGAGTCCTGAAGGATTACCGAGCTGGACATCTAGATACCTGGGTCCCAGAGGGACAGGGGAATAGGAACCTAGACACAGTGGTGTGAGGGAGGAGGGGCTGGAGACTGGGAGTCCAAGGTCTCAGGAAAAGGGTCAGAAACTGTCCACCCAGACACTTGAGGACTTTGGAGAATATCCAATCCCGAAAATGCTTGTCTAGTCTCCTCCCCTCCTACAATGTAGATCTTCATGTTCTTCGTCATTTCCAGGCCAGGGAGGATGTGAGGCAAGGGTGTTAGACTACAGCTCTCAGGATCAAGCTCGTCCCTGCCTGTCCCAGGTGTCGGACAGACCAGCCTCAAAAAGTTGCAGTCTGAGGCTCTTGACCCTAACTCCAAGGTTCAGTCGACAGAAATATTGCTGTCAAGTGACAAATAGTCCCTGAGGGTTTCAGGTGGGACCTGATACCCAGAAGAAAGTCAACGTCCGGTAGAAAAGGCAGTTTTCCCCTCTGATGGAACAAGGCCGGCTCCATCAAGGAAAGAGAACCGTGAAGGCAACATTGCTCCCGGGAAGGAGTGACTCAGATCCCAAGGTGCCTCACATGAGGGGCGGGCTCCTCGCCAGAAGAGACCCCTTATCTTGACAAGAAAAGGAAAGTCACCCTGGAGTGGTGAGGAGCTGGAAGAAGCACTAGCCATCACCCGGCCACCTTCCCACCCACACACCATGTCTGGGTGGAGGCTCGGAGAACAGAGGTCAGAGGCCAGAAGCCAAGGAGGAGGGACTGGAGGAAGGGACTGTGTGATGGAGACCCACAGAGGCCCAGAGAGAGAGAGAGCTGGAGACCCAGAGAGGGAAGAACAGAGACTCCAAGATGGGAGAAGACAGAGTCCAGGAGAGGGCAGTTAGGAGGGTATTTGGGCACGGGGCTCCATATCCAAGGACCCTGGACTCTTGGGCCTCCTTTCCAGAAGGAGGAGTCCCCTTCTCTCATCTGGACACATTATTCCCCCCTTGCCTGGAGAGCTCAGCTTGCACCTCTCACCACTTCCAGACCCATACCCCTGTCAACTCCCAGCAGGTTTCACAGGATGAGACGACACAGTGATAGGTGAGAGACACAGCAAGCAGCGAACACGCTGCAAGATCTCGCGTGTTGATACTGACAGGAAATGGCCTGGGAAGGCTGGGATCCCGGGGTGGGTCATTGTCACCTGGAAATGTCTTAGAAATGCAGGTGCTGGGCCTACTGGATCAAAAATTCTGAGCCAGGCACCATGGTGCACGCTTGAGATTCCAGCAGCTCGGAGAGGTTGAGGCAGGAGGATCATGTTTCAGAGCCAGCCTCAGCAATTTAGGAAGGCCCTAAGCAACTCAGAGAGACCCTGTCTCTAAATAAAATATAAAAAAGGGCTGGGGATGTGCCTCAGTGGTAGAGCACTCCTGGGTTCAATCTCCATACCAAAAAAAAATTTAAAAATTAAATAATAATAATAACAACAACAACAACAATTCTGGGAATAGAGAACTCAGAGATGGAAGTTGCAGTTGCAGTGGGACAGTGGAAAGGGTAATGTCCACTCCTAGAGAAGCCACACAGCACTGCAAGCTTAAACCACACAGACCTGTTCTTCCATGGTTCTGGATATTAGAAACCCCCAATCAAGGTGTCTGCCAGGCAGTGCCTTCTCAGGAGTCTCCAGGGGGAAGATCCTTCTTTGCCTCTTGCAGCTTCTGGTAGGACCTGCAAGCCTGGGCATTCCTTGGCGAGTAGATGAACCACGCCTCCATGTCATGTGGCTTCCCTCCATGTGCGCACCTGTGCCTGCATGAAAATTTCTTCTTCCTTTATTTTTTGCAGTACTGGGAGGTGGAACCCAGGGCCCTGTGCATGCTTGGCAAGCACTCTCCTGATGAGTTGTATCCCCAGCCCCTTTTATTTTATTTTGAGACAAGGCTTCACTAAGTTGCTGAGGCTGACCTCGAACTTGCAATCCTCCTGTCTCAGCCTCTCAAGTTACTGGGATTACAGGTGAGCCCCACTATGCCCAGCAAAATTTCCCTTTTCTAGTGAGGATGCCACTCATTGGGTTAGAGCTCAACCTAAACCAGAGTGCCTTGCTGTCACTTGATGACATCTCCAGTGTTCCTATTTCCACAGAAGATCACATACTCAGGTAAGTTGGGTAAGGACTTAAATATATTGTTTGGGGGACACAATGCAATGCAGTACAGGGAGTGACTGCCTAATGGCTATGAGGTTTCCTTTTAGGGGGATGAAAGTGTTCTAGAACTAGAGAAGATGGTTGACAACCTGGTGAGTGTACCAAATGCCACTACACTGTACATGATAAATGGTTAAAATGGCTGGGTGCTGTGGTGCCCACATGTAATTCCTGCGGCTCAGGAGACCGAGGCAGTAGGTATCACGAGTTCAAAGCCAGCCTTAGTAACTTAGCGAGGCAACTCAGAAAGACCCAATCACTAAATACATTTTTTTAAAAAAGGGCAGAGGAGGGGCTGGGGCTGGGGCTCAGTGGTGGTGCACTTTCCTGGCATGTGTGAGGCCCTGGGTTTGATTCCCAGCACCAGATATAAATAAATAAAATAAAGGTCTATTGTGGGAGACCAGCCTTGCACATGACTGAGTCACACTGCCCGGCTGGGTGCTGAGATGCTCAGTCACAGAAATGTGGCAGAGCTTTCCCCCACCTTCTTGGGTTCGAGGGTCGGTGTCTCATGCATGGGTGTGTCTTGCTACAGGCCCATGGGTGAAGCTATGCTCACCTGTTCCTTTGTCATGTAACCCCTTGTCCTATTTAGGATAGAATCTTCCATGGAAGTGCCTTGTGTGTGTCCCCTTCTCTTACTGTGCCCTTGGGTGTGGCCTACCCAGGTGTCAGTCAACCTGCTGACAGTGGACATCATG